ACAAGGAAAAGAAGTCTAAAGAAAAGGTGCAAAAATCTCATAATAAATCAATTATGTGTGTTGAATGCAATTCTCATAGCGGAGATAATGACAAAATTAGGTGCATGAATCGTGGGAAGAGTCATCATAGTAAAGAATGCAAGAAAAATGTGAGGTGTAGTAAATGTACTAAAAAAGGACACACTAAACGAGAATGTCATTCAAGAATTGTATGCTATTGTTGTCATAAACAAGGACACATTAGGAGAAATTGCTATTACAATAACTACTATAGCTCATATCAATAGTATCCCAAGAAAAAGGTACCCAAGCAAGTCTGGGTACCAAAATCAACACTCTAAATATTTTGCAGGTCATTAAGAGAGCAGGAGCAAATGAATGGTATCTAGATACCGGATTCTCTCACCATATGACGGAAACAAAAGTCTCTTTTCAGAATTGACTCTTAAAAAGGGAGGTAAAGTAACCTTTGGTGATAATGGTAAAGGTAGAATACTTGGAGTTGGTACGATTGGAGAGCCTCCAAATCGTACCTTCACTCAAGTCTTATTTGTTGATAGTCTTCAGCACAACCTGTTATCTATTAGTCAATTATGTAGTACAACTAATAGAGTTGTGTTTCAACAAGAGACATGTCTTATTGAGAGAATCAAAGACAACAAATTACTATTCCTAGGGGTTAGTAAAAACAATGTCTATGTCATTGATCTTAGTGAAAAGGCTTCATTCAATGAAACCTCACTACAACAAATTCGGCCTATTAGGACAAAAATTTTAATTTGTCATTTTCTATTTGTCACAATAGGTATGGTGATATGACCAAAATAATATATGTCCTATTTGGTATGCCTAATGTGACAAAAATATTGTTGTCAGAATAATTCGTCAGTTAAAGTGAGTAATGTGACAAATATTTCGTGTCACAAATAATTTTGTCAAAATAGGCGTCTCATATCAGGATGTAAGAGATTCAACTGTGACAAAATTTTTGTTGTCAGAATAGTTTCTCATTTGAAGTGAGTAATGTGGCAAATATTTCGTGTCATAATTAAGTTTGTCAAAATAGGCATCCCATATCGAGATGTAAGAGACACAAAAGTAACAAATTATATCGTCAGAGTAACTTTTGCCATATTATTTCTCAAATTTTATTACGCCCGCCCAAATTCCCCCCAAAGTCCCAGTCAAATATTATTAAGCCCGCCCAAAATTCCCTCCCAAGTCCCACCGAAAAATGGGAAAGTAACCTTTGGTGATAATGGTAAAGGTAGAATACTTGGAGTTGGTACGATTGGAGAACCTCCAAATCCTACATTCACTCAAGTGTTATTTGTTGATAGTCTTCAGCACAACCTGTTAGCTATTAGTCAATTATGTGGTACAACTAATAGAGTTGTGTTTCAACTAGAGACATGTCTTATTGAGAGAATCAAAGACAACAAATTACTATTCCTAGGGTTTAGGAAAAACAATGTCTATGTCATTGATCTTAGTGAAAAGGCTTCATTCAATGAAACCTCACTACAACAAATTCTGCCTATTAGGACAAAAATTTTAATTTATCATTTTCTATTTGTCACAATAGGTATGGTGATATGACAAAAATAATATATGTCCTATTTGGTATGCCTAATGTGACAAAAATATTATTGTCAGAATAATTCGTCAGTTAAAGTGTGTAATGTGACAAATATTTCGTGTCACAAATAATTTTGTCAAAATAGGCGTCTCATATCGGGATGTAAAAGATTCAACTGTGAAAATTTTTTTGTTGTGAGAATAGTTTGTCATTTGAAGTGAGTAATGTGACAAATATTTCGTGTCATAATTAAGTTTGTCAAAATAGGCATCCCATATCGTGATGTAAGAGACACAAAAGTGACAAATTATATCGTCAGAGTAGCTTTTGCCATATTATTTCTCAAATTTTATTACGCCCGCCCAAATTCCCCCAAAGTCCCAGTCAAATTTTATTAAGCCCGCCCAAAATTCCCTCCCAAGTCCCAGCGAAATTTCCCTCCCTCCCTGCCTTCCTCATTTATTTGTATCTTGTGTTGGGTTGAAGAAACAAAATAATAATAAAATCAAATAAACCCTAGCAGTCGTGATTCTCTCCTCTCGTCTCACACTATCACCCTCTGCCTCACCCTTTCAAAACCACCACCGCCGTTCTCTTCCTCCACAGTTGTTCTTCCTTCACACACAAAAGGACCTCGTCTTCTCCGGTTGCCCGTCCGAGCTCCCAGATTCGTCGTTCGACCTTCCTCCCACTACACCGAGAGACACTTCTGGTCTCCTTTGATTTCCAACCATTGAATCCTCCTTCCGGCCGCCAACCATCGCTTGTCGCCTTTTTCTCTCCACATGTTGACCTCAACCACCACTTTAACCCCATCTTCCTCTGCCTGTAAACCCAGAAACATGCTCCCTCGCAACTTCAAAGGCTCGAATAGATCGAGATGCAGAGGGTAGATCCAGATCGAGGGTGGTTGGCACGATAGGCAAATCCATATTGGGGGTGGTTGAATTTGTCTAATTTCGATTCCCTCTTCTCACTTTCTTCTCTTTCGCTGGGGAAATCAAAGAGAATGGAAGGTATGTTTTGTGGGTTGTATTTTTTATTTTCAATATGAAGTTTGATTTTGGAAGATTTGATTTTGATTTCGTTTTGTTTTGTTTTCTTATATGGGTGTTTAGTTTTCAGCGAGGGGGCAGAGTCTAGAGATGGGGTTTTGAGATTGGAAGAAGATAGGGTTTTTGGATTCCAGAGATGGGTGAGGGGATGGTTTCTCGGCAGTCGTGGAAGTGAGGAAGAAGAGATTGGAAGAAGATGCAATTTGCATTTTCTGGGTTTGGATTTGGGGTTTCTTTTCTGGTTTGTTATTGTTTCTTGCTCGTTGTAGGCGACGGCTCCAACAGCGGGCATGAGAAGGATGTGTTGTCGGCGCGGCGGAAGTGAGGAAGAAGAGTGTATTGTCAGCAACGGCAGGGGCAAGGGCAGAAATTATTTCCTGGGTTTGGGGTTTTTCTAGATGGCATTGTATTTTCTGGGTTGGGAATTTTTTTCTATATGTTACAAGAATATTGATTTTTTCAACTATATGTTATTCAATATATTGATGAATAAATCATATTGGTCACAATATGCAATTATGACAAAATATGTTCGTCCTAATATACAGTTATGACAAAATATATTCGTCACACATGCATTTATGACAAAAAATTGTTCCTCACAATTATGTGATATCAAAATATAATGGTGTAATATGACGAACATTCTGTGAAAATAAGCAAATTATGACAAAAGTAATGACAAAATATATCGTCATAACATCTCGGTTTGTCACATTAGATTACCTAGAACCTCAGATATACTGAAATCAAATGTGACAACCTTGTTTTAAACTTTTGTCACATTTGACCTATCTTGACAGCGATAAAATGACAAACCTTTGTGACAACACCTTTTGTCATATTATACCTAATATTACAAAATGAGTATTTAATATTACAAAATTTCCTCGTCATAATAGGCCGAATTTGTTGTAGTGCCTGTTTTCTCTCTTTAGGTAAGAACAAGCAATTTCAATGGCGTCGAAGACTAGGACATGTTAGCATAAAGAGATTGGCTAAATTAGCTAAATTGGGTCTTGTAGATGGTCTTCCTCAATTAAAAGAATCAAAGGACTTCTTTTGTGATGCATGTATTCTAGGAAAACAAACTCGAGCAACCTTCAAGAGTATATCTCACTTCACCTCATCCAGGCCTTTACAGCTCCTACATCTAGATCTGTTTGGGCCTACGAATGTGATGAGCTTTGGTGGAAAGTATTATGCCTTTTTCATAGTATATGATTTTTCTAGATATACTTGGGTAATATTTTTGACACACAAAGATGAAGCTCTTGAGAAATTCCAGATCCTTGTCAAAAATATTAAGAATGAGAAATCCCTCAGTGTTAAAAACATCAGAAGTGATCATGGGGAAGAGTTTGATTCAGAAAGCTTTGGAAACTTCTGTGATCAACTAGGAATCTCCCATGAATTTTCAGCTCCTAGGACTCCTCAACAAAATGGTGTAGTGGAGAGGAAAAATAGAGCTCTTACAGAACTAGCTAGAACAATGCTTAGTGAATATAGGCTCCCAAAGTATTTTTGGGCTGAAGCAGTAGCTACCGCTTGTTATGTTCTAAATAGAACTATGATTAGGGCCATCATAGAAAAAACCCCTTATGAAATTTGGAAAGATCGGTAACCAAATATTAGTTATCTTAGACCATTTGGGTGTAGATGCTTTATACTTAACACTAAAGATACCCTAGGAAAATTTGACTTAAAGTCAGATGAGGGAGTACTTCTAGGATACTCTACTCGAAGTAAAGCCTATAGAGTCTTCAACAAGAGATCCTTGAAGGTCGAGGAATCAATACATGTTTTTTATGAAACTGACTATATCTCTGAGCATGAAAGAAAACAGGACGATGATAAAGATGATTTGGGACTAATTCGAACGACAACAACCTCAGTCACTCAAGAAGCGGAGCTTTCACATGATGAGTTATCCAAATCCCAAGAGCCAAGTGCACCACCTCATATTGCCAAGGCACATCCTCCGCATCAAATCATTGGGAACGTTAATGATGGGGTCAAAACAAGATCAAGTAAGGACTCGTATCAAGGTCAGACTTCTTACTTCTCACTCCTTGCTACAGTCTATCTATCCTTGATCGAGCCTAAAAACATTAAGGAAGCCTTACTTGATGAAAGTTGGCTTCTTGCTATGAAAGAAGAAATGATTCAATTTGCTAGAGCTCAAGTATGGGATTTGGTTCCTAGACCAATAGGTAAGACTATTCTAGGACTTAAATGGGTCTATCGCAATAAAACATATGATCAAGGGATAATTAATAGGGATAAGGCTAGATTGGTGGCTAAAGGCTATAATCAAGAAGAAGGAATAGACTACGATGAAACATTTGCTCCCGTAGCTCGTATTGAGGCAATCAGACTTTTATGTGCCTTTGCTTCCTCAATGAATTTCAAATTATATCAAATGGAAGTCAAAAGTGCATTTCTGAATGGAGTCCTTCATGAAGAGGTCTATGTAGAACAACCTCCTGGTTTTGAAGATCATAGGTTCCCTAACCATGTTTTCAAACTTAAAAAGGCTCTCTATGGTTTAAAACAAGCTCCCGAGCATGGTATGAACGTCTAACTCAATTCCTAGAGACAACTCTATTTCTAAAGAAACATAACAATGACCTTATGGTCGTCCAAATTTATGTTGATGACATAGTTTTTGGTGCTACTAATGAAGCTATGTGTGTAAAGTTTGCCTCCTCCATGCAACAAAATTTTGAATAGAGTATGATGGTTGAGCTTACCTACTTCCTAGGACTTCAAATCCAACAAACCTCAAAAGGAATTTTCATTAGTTAGACAAACTATACTCGGACAAGGTTGTCAAAATTTGATCTTAGTAACCTTAATCCTAGTTCAACCCCAATGGCTACCAATATTCAATTAGACAAAGATGAAGGTGGTATAGATGTTGATGAACGTAAATCTCGTGGGATGATAGGATCACTTCTTCATCTCACGGCAAGTAGGCCAGACATTATGTTCAGTGTCTGTATGTGTGCTCGTTTTCAGTCCAAGCCTAAGGAGAGTCATCTTAGTGTCTCTAAGCACATCTTCCGTTACTTGAAAGGTACACCTACTCTAGGCCAATGGTATCCTAGGGAAACAAATCCTGAGCTTATAGGGTTTAGTGATTCAGACTTTGCCGGCAGTAGAACGGATAGAAAAAGTACCTCTGGAACCTGTCAATTTTATGGTCGATCTTTAATTTCGTCGTTTAGTAAGAAACAATACTCCGTATCCCTCTCCACCGCTGAAGCTGAGTATATTGCCGCAGGATGTTGTTGTCAACAACTTCTATGGTTAAGGACTCAACTAGCGGACTATGGGATTACACTTCCAACCGTTCCTATTTTATGTGATAATATGAGTGCTATTAATATGTCCAAAAACCCGGTTCAACACTCTAGAACAAAACATATAGAAATCAAATACCATTTCCTTCGAGAGCTAGTGCAGAGTAAAACCGTGTCTATCTCTTTCATACCTACGAGTGATCAACCAACAGATATTTTTACTAAACCACTCCCTATAGATCAGTTCCTGTTTATTCGTAATGAGTTAGGAATGATTTTCCAATCCGATCTTGTCAGTTTTGAATCCTGAACTTACTTTTTCTTGAATATTCGTTCACTTCTTTGTTTTTTGTGTGTTGATATAGTACCCTCTCTAATAATAATAATAATAATAATAATCAAAAGAAAATACTTAAAACAAAGGATTAATTAGATGAATTTAAAAAAATGGAAAACAAAAACAAAAATCAAAACAGCCATCCCTGCTGCGCGACGACCTCGTCTCTTCTAGCGAGGTCTCAAAACTTTCCAGCGCGGCGCGACCCTTTCCCCTTCTACTTCGATTACGATCTTCGATCGTATCCTCATCACTGATTCTTGCCCAGCGTTCCACCTTCCCATTTTCCCATACATCTAATCGCGCTCCTTCTCCAATTATCGATTCTCAATCGCGCTCTTTCCCTTTCTGCCTTCCTTCCCAAAATCGCCGCCATGAAGCACTCGAGCTCTTCCGACGGAAACGTCGTGCTCCTGCATCTATATACTGGCCCTTTTCCTTTTCTCTTCTCATCCCTCACCACATCACCACTCCTTCTCGTTACTTGGTTCAATCCGCAATCATGTGCCTTCAGCCTGATGATTCATTTGTCATGACAACTGATCTCTTCCGCCGCCAGCAGTGTATTCTCACCTACACCGGTGTGCTGTTTCACCATCCAGTGGGCGAAAATCGTCATCGCCATATGCAAATTTTTGCTGAGAAGCCCATCATGCCGATCAACACCCTGGATCCCTATGCTTTTGCCTTCCTCGATTCTGTGGATCCGATCTCCCTCATTGATAGTCTTGGGTGGCTCGAAATGGGGGATTCTCCACCTCGCGTCTACTGCCCAGCAGCAGTTCGGGCATTCTACTCTAATCTTCGCACAGATGGCCTGGAGACAGGGAAGTTTACCACCTTGGTGTTTGGTAATCTTTTTACTCTCACTGTCGAGGATATTGTTGCCTTCCTTGTTCTTCCTTGTCTCGGCAAGCAGCTTGTGAGCTCTCTACAGTTCTGGGCGTACAAGTTTGATCTGCACCAGGCTGCCATGAATCGTCCTCTTGCAGAGTTGGACGATTCTCTCAAAATTCTTCATTATTACATCACTAGGGTGTATTTCCTACGGACGGATTCCCTGAATATCATTCTCCCTCATGATTGCTGGATTATGTCGCATGTTGTCTCCGACATGTCTCTCAATTATCCTCATCTGCTGTTTGGAGCGATCGTCGATGCTGCTGCCAACGAGTCTCCTGCGGCTGGGCTGCCTTTTGCTGGCTTGGTTACTCAGCTGCTTCATCGTGTGGGATTTCCTCTCACTGGCCTTGTCTTAGCCACTTCTGACTTTGTTAGTCCCACTCTTGATGATGTTCTCGGGGCTGTCGAGCTCCCCCTCCTTATTGATTTAACATCAGGGGGAGAAGCCTCGGTGGATGTACCTAATGGATTCAACGGAGAGGGAACTGCTGAAGGCGGCACGTCCGCTGAAATTGATGCATCTGCTTCCACCTCCATTCGCCCATTCAAGCTTAAACGCCAGGCCAAAGGACCTCGTCCTTCAAAGAGAATGCTTAAGCGCCTCAAAGAACAGAATGCGTCCAAGGGAGTGGTTATGTATGAAAATCAGGATCTTGATCAAAACAATTAAGAGCAATAGTTTAGGGGGAGTTTGGATTAAGACTCTTAGGGGGAGTATTTGGAAATTGTTTCGGCTTGTTTTTTTTCGAGTTTGTCAAATTAACTGCGAATGGTCTCAATAATGCCCTAAGCTATGCTTGGGATGAATGAAACTTTTAAAACCCTGAGCTATACTCAGGATGAATATCGTGGTCTATATAATTTGAAGTGTCTATTTATTAGTTGGATAAGTATTGAGATTTGTGATGGTTATATGGAAAAGCATATGCTGCAATAGGATGCTAAATCAAGCTTAGGGAGAGATTGTTGAGTCAAAAAGCTTGACTTAGCAATTTTTTTTTTATAATGGATGCAGCAACACCCTACCTTTCATTCAAAACCAACCGGGGTTCGGAGATCCCCTGACAGTCATACATGATCCAATACGAGAGCATAGGATCGGAACTCATAACCTCATGAAAACCAAATGGGACCACATGTCCACGACTAGCCAGAAAATCAGCACATCTATTACCTTCTCTATACACATGCTCTACTAACACCTCCCAGGGTCTAGACAGAAGCTCCCTGAACCGAGCTAGGACAGCTGCACAATGATGCTCCTCGGTATCCGTCCGACAAATGAGCTGGACGGCGCACTGCGAATCGAGCTGGACACGAACCCTGCGATGTCCCCTGTCCCACGCCACCTGTAAACCTTCCATTGCACCTCTCAACTCCGCTTGGGTGATAGTACACGCACCCAGGTTCAAGGTGAACGCTGAAAGACAACGTCCTGTATGATCTCGGATAAGGCCACCAGCAGCGCCGAGGCCTGTCTCAGGAAGTACGGAGCCGTCGGAGTTGAGGCAAACCCACTCAGGAGGAGGCGGCTTCCAAGAGATCTGCTCCTCCGTTCTAGCAGGCGGACAAGGCTTATGGATGAGCCTGTCCTTATCCATGGCATTCATCACTACAGGTAACCAAGCACGGACACGATGCTGGAAGGTCTCAGGGGTGATGATCTTGCCTGCGAAGACACGATCATTTATGGTCCTCCAAAGGGACCAGCAGGTAATACCAAACTCAAGACTGTTGTTCTAGCTTTGGAGGTTGTTGAGTAACCAATCATGCAAGCTCGCTCCGAAGAAAGGTTGGCATTCAGAAGAAGGGATTAACTGCATCCATATTAACCTGGAAAAACTGCAGTCCCGCAACATATGCAGGACCGACTCGGACTCCGCTCGGCAGAAAGGGCAGACAGTGTGTGTCATTAGATGACATCGGCCTCGTTCTCCATTTGTCAGCAGACGTTCACGAGCAGCTAGCCACAAGAATTATAGAATGCGGGCAGGCCCCTCCCAACGCCAGATGGTGCGCCAATCGAAGTCCCGGGCCAGATCCTCCTCATTGGTTGCTAAATCATACGCAGACCGAACCCGGAACCTCCCGTCCTCTTCTGGGAACCAGATGGCGACATCTTCACCGGACCCAGCAATAGGAGGTTGTACCCCAATCACCTGCGAGATAACATCAGTGGGTAAAAATTCTGACAACAACTCAACGTCCCACTCACCTCGGGTATTTACGAAGGCGGCAACAGGCTGTCCGGGGTCCAGATGGCGGGCGGACTCCAAGGCCCGATCAAGCAGTGGCTCACCGTCTCCCACCCATCGGTCCAACCAGAAACTTGTGCCACAACCATCCTTAATTGCCATCCCCATCCCGGCCGCCATAATAGGCCAGGCTTGCCGCATACCTCTCCACAGCGAGGAGGCTCTAGCCATAGACTTGGCCACCATTTGCCCGTTCACAGTGCGGAAATATTTAGCCTGTAGAACCTGCACCCACAGTTCATTTGGGTTTTTGACAAAAAGCCAAGCGAGTTTAGCCAAAAAGGACAGATTAAGCTCATGCGCCTTTCGGAGGCCAAGGCCACCATCCTTCTTCGGACGACAGATGCCCTCCCAGTGGACCAGATGGATCTTCCTAGCATCCGCCGTTGATCCCCAAATAAAACTGCGAATCTTCCTGTCAATTTCATCGCAGATCGAGATGGGAAGGAAAGATGTCTGCATAGCATAAGTAGGCAAGGCAGTTAGCACTGAGACAGCGAGAGTGACTCTAGCCGCGAGGGAAAGGGACTTCGCCTTCCAACCAGCCAGCTTTTTGTCGAGGCGGTCCCGGATGTACTTGTAAGTGGCCCGAGTAACCCGACCATGAAGAACCGGAACTCCTAGATAGCGACCCAAATCTTGGGTCATAGTCATCTCCATGCTGCGAGCTATCACCGAGCAAGTGCTACGCATCGTGTTTTTGGAGAAAAAGATGACGAACTTGTCTTTGCTCACGAGCTCCCCTAAGGCTTGGTAAAACCGCTCCAGACACTCCATTATTATCATTCCCTGCTCCTCACTTGCCTCTGCAAACAAAACAAGATCATCAACAAAAAACAAATGGGAGAGCAGAGGGCCACCTGGGGAGGTTCTAATCGGCTTCCAGTCTCCTTTCGCTACCGCTTCTTGGATCGTATGGCTGAGGTGTTCCATACAGAGGGTGAAGAGGTATGGCGAGAGCGGGCACCCTTGGCGCAATCCCCGAGACGGTTTAAAGCTGTCAGTTTCCCCGCCATTCCACATCACCTGCATGGTCGAGGAAGTAACACAAGCCATGATGGCGTCAGTCAGTCGAGGAGGAAAACCCGCTGCCAGAAGGGTCTCGTTCAAGAAGCTCCAGCTCAGCCTGTCGTAAGCTTTTGCTAGATCAATTTTCAGGATCATCTGTCCCTTCTTTCCGGTGCGAAGTCCCATAGAGTGAACCACCTCCTGTACAATAATAATATTGTCTGTTATGTGCCTGCCCGGGACAAAACTGGTTTGCGTTGGGTGCACCAGCTGTTTCATGTGGGGTTTGATCCGGTTCACTAAGCATTTAGCCAGGGCTTTGTAGCTCACATTACAAAGACCGATAGGCCTGAACTGTTTGATAGACTCGGGACTCTCCTTCTTAGGGATCAACACCAAAAGGGTCTCGTTAATACACTACACCTGCCCCGGGTTACAAAAACAGTCCTCCACAAACCGGGAGAAGGCCTCACCAACAATACCCCAACACTTCTGAAAGAACACTGGTTGGTAGCCATCCTTCCCCAGAGCTTTAAGGCTGCCCATGTCCATCACAGCCTGTCGTACCTCCAGATCAGACAGGTCATGATCAAGCACTCGTCTCGACTCCTCTCCCAGCTTCTCAAACGATGCGGGGACCCAGGGAGCCACACCCTCATCCGTTTGGTACAACACCACGTAGAAGTCCCGCGCCATGCATTTCAACACAGCCTCATCGTGCACCCAGACCCCTTCTTCATCCCTCAGGGCCATAATTTTATTATACCGCCGCCTCTTCTGAGTTGACAGGTGAAAGAAACGAGTATTCCGGTCGCCTTCATTAATCCAAATTACTCGGGATTTCTGGATCCACAACATCTGCTCCTCCCACAGTGTTCGCTCTAACTCCCGCCGAGTGGATTCCTCAAGGGCACGAGATCGGGCCGAGCTGGAGGTCTCATTCACCTCCTCCAGCTTCCGAAGCTTTGCAGTAAGAGCTCTCTTCCGCCGGAAAATGTTTCCAAAAACCCCGCTTATTCCCGTCTTTGAGCACATCAGTGAGACGTGCAAGAGAGATCGGGATAATGGGAGCGGGGTTCCAAGAAACCTCCATAAGACGAGCAAAATCCTCATGTCCAAGCCACGCAGCCTGGAACCGGAAGGGCCTGTCAAGTACAAGTTTAGCTGCCGGCTCCGATTGCACTAGGATTGGGCGGTGGTCCGAGCCGATCCTTTCCAGGTGACGATTGACAGTGTCCGGGAATTTCCGGAGCCATTCCTTATTACAAAGCGCCAAGTCCAGTCTTTGTGAGAGAGTACCACACCTCCAAGTAAACCGAGGTCTCGTGAAACCAACTTCAAGCAGGCCACTATTATTGAGACAAGAACGGAAGGGTCGTGAGCGAGCTTCCTGGTAATCCACTCCTCCTTGACGATCATTCGGTCCTAAAACGGAATTGAAATCGCCGACAAGTAACCATGGATCATGGGTGCGAGGAGCCAACTCACTAATGCGGCCCCAAAGCTCTTGTCTTGTAGCTGCATTCGGGCTCCCATACACCGCCGAGATAACCACTCCACCATCGCGGGCATTATGTATCTGACATCTGAAATGGATCATTTGAGCACAAGCATCCAACTCTGTTACTCGGAGCTCCTGATTATTCCAAAGAACCCATATACCTCCTGAAAATCCAACAGCGTCAATCATTAGAAGACCGTCAAATCCCATACGAGAGATTACCCATTGAGCCACGCTACCACTAATGCGTGGTTCAACAATTATGACAATATCAGGCCTAGTCGGCACAAAAAACGACTGCAAAAAAGAACCAAAACGATCATGACCTGCCCCTTGGCAGTTCCAAGCAAAAACATTCAACATAATAACAGATAAAACGGGAAACGAGAGAGCCGACAGAGCATTCCCTGAAACCACTAGCAAAGCTAGCGAGCCGAAACTGGAGCCTCCTGGCTCCCCGAGTCACCCGACCCCGACTATCCTTGCGTACCCTTACCCCCTGCCGAAGGGGCATAGGAGGTGGCCTTGGGGTTACCCTTTCTTTTGTCTTTACCGATTTGATCATCTGGCTGGCCTACCGTGGCCTGCGTTTTTGCTTTAATGGCAGCTGGGGGCTTCTTTGGTCCTGTTCCTTCACCCGGGCGCCCATGCGGCCGCGATAGGAGCGTCTGTCCACTCTTATCAGAGTGTGAGTGAGCACCAACCCGGCTCGGGCCCAGGTTCTGACTAGCTGCTGGGGCTGCCCCAAACTGGATGGGAACCGTCACAAGTTTCACACCCGCATCCAAAAGAGAGGGTGACGTCGTGTTTGCCATCGCCGGAGACACCCCCGACTCGTTGCCTATAGTTGGTAAGACGACCGGACTGGTGGTTTGTGCTCCAACCTGGTGTTGCCTTCCCCCATTGAAGTTACCTCAGCAGTCTCTCTCATGGTAATTTCCAGTTCCATGTTATCCTCGGTAGCTAAACCTTCCTCCGTGCTCAGGACATCAAACCTCGAGCCAGGAACCTGGCGAGATGGCGAAGAGTTTGCTGCTTGAGCTGGTCCTCCAGATTTTTGTTTGGTAACTTTGTTTGCTCGGTTCTGCGACCTGGGCTTCGCGACCATCCATTCACCATACAGCTTGGTCGGCTTCACCGGAGCCTCATCCACCGGCTTGTCCGTGGTTGCCTCTTTCGTTGGCTGGAAGAGTGATGGGCAGCCGGTTGAATTATGCCCATATTGCCCACATTCAGTACAAATGCGATATAACCCCTCAAACTCAATGTAGTAAGTTCTAACTTCAATTTTGTATTGAGAGAGAAGCGGTTTGGTGAGGTCCACCTCAACACAAACTCGAGCAAACCGCCCAATATCCCCATTTTGAGTAGCGCGGTCCACCTTGATTGCCCGACCAATCCTTGACGCAATGTGTTCCACTGCTTCGCGGTTGATGAACTCAATGGGTAATCCCGGCAACCGGGCCCAGACCATGGTTGTTGCTACCTCCGCTGTGCGAGGGTCAAATCCTTTCCGCCACGGTCGCACCGTAATGTAGTGCCCACCCATGGTCCAAGGTCCTCCCTGCGCCGCTTGCTCATAATCCATCTGACTGGTGAAACGAACTACATAGAAACCCCAGGAGAGGCTAGAGATCTGTAGGGTCCCACACTTAGCCCATAATGACTCCAACCTTCGGCTTATAGCCTGGAAAGGAAAAGTTTTCCTCAGCACTTTCACAATCAATGTCGATCTCCACTTTCGCCTGTACCTAAGCTTCTCCATTGCTTTGAATGGGATGGTTGGGCACTTCGGGTCGTCGTCTTCCGGTATTTCATCATCGAGATCATCTTCGTGCATGGCTGCATTGACGTCCTCAGAATCGGATTCGGCCACGTACCAGACATCCTCCTGAAGGACATCGCTAAAGAGTTTATTTCCTTGGCCCCATGCTGACACCAGAGGCGTCCGCACAGGGTTTTGAGTGCCATCTACGTCGTCCTGGCCATGGATACCCTCCATCTCTACCGTTTCCTCCATGTCCAGAGCAGCTTCGAACAACGGGTTCGCTTTCATGGCCTTAGCCCTCTTCTTCGCTTGTTGCATCTCCCTGTCGGCCTTACTATTCGGCGATGACGTGGTTTGCGGCGGCCTCCTTGAACCCGCGTTAGCATCCGGCGGGCGAGGATCCGGGAGAGAGGCTCCCGGAACAAGGCTGGTCATGGCGGTCGTCACGTCTGCGCAGTCTCACCGAAGTTCGCAGCTCCGAAGAAAACGGAGCTAGGGTTAATTTGTTGTAGCTAGGCCTCCGTTTTTAGCAATTTTATGTTGTCTTGAATATGTGCTTTCATTTTTTACTAACATTCCTTGCAGAAATATCACAATCAAGGTTTTGAAAAGATTTGCTAAGAAAAGGAAAGAATTCAAAGCAATTGCTTGGCCTTCAAGAAGCTACCATATCAAGTGAAGAGCATATCAAATCAAGGAGATACTTGCCATATAAAGGACTACAAATGAAAGAAAATGAAGTTTTGCTTTCACTATAAATAGAAGAGTCATTTGTAGTTTAGAGCACCTTTTGCAAAGCTCTCTTCTCTCTTGTAATAACGAAATTGTGTGATCATATTTCGTGGTGTGAATATCTTGATATCTCGGGGGTTGAGATATTCAAGCTAGGTCGAGTTTTAGGGTATGAAGGGTATTTGTAATTGGGACTAGTTCAAGAGCAAGAGGGGATTCTTGCTTGGGAGTTGCACTAGGTGGATTACTCTCTAATCAAGTCAAAGTAAGAGTGTTGGCTTGATTGATTGAGTGGGTAGTTTAGCTTGGATTTAGCCAAGTGTTGAATAGGTGTGGAGTTGCACCTATTTGGTTCTTGACACGAAGTGTCAAGGTTGTTTCAATTTCATAGGTTAGAGAGTCTTTTATTTTAATAAAAGTTAGAGTCTCTCGTGAGATAGTGGTAACTATCTTCGGGACGTGGATGTAAAGCCATATTGGCCGAACCATGTTAAAATCGCGTGTCCCGACTCATTTCTCTCTCTATACTTTCTCTAACTTTGTTCTATTCATCAGTGCCAACAAATTAATCACTTCAGGAGAGATTCTTGGCAAGTCCTTTTGGATTGCTCAGTCAAGCTAGTGCTAATCTCTCACTATTTAAATCTTAATTAATTTGTGCATTGACCACGTCAAAAGTATTCATTATTGACCTCGCTTGGTCTAACATTCACTAGAGTGTCGCTTGTAGAGGGTTCCTGGGTAGTTTTGTTTGTATAACTCTTGTCTTCTCTTGATATCACTCGAAAATAAATAAATAAAACCCATCACAATCGGTAATTCTTCCTTCGGTTCAATCGAAAACAACACATCTACCCTATACCATTGAAAAACCGTACCGAGTACCAACAGTTCAATTAGCAAAATCTCTTAGCAAAAGTGAAATTGATAGATGGTACATATCATTATGAAACAGTTGAATTATAAATGAATCACAATTTTATAATAAAATACTCTACTGCTAACTTTTCAAACACAACCTTCAAAACAATTTTATATCTCACTCCCATCAACCATCCATCAATTTTTATTAATCTAACAGCATCTCCATCAATGCAATTGCAAAAAAAATTGCATTTGTGTTTTTTATTGTCAACTCAAATTTTTTGCAATCCACATCACATTCGTTTCATTCACCTACATCAATGCAATTAACTTCCAATTGCAAATGTAATTAAATATTATATTGAAATTATAGAAAATTAAGTAAAAGAGAAAAGAAAACAATATAAAATAAAAAGTCCCCATTTTTTTAGGTTTTTTTACCTGCATATGCAATTGCATTTGTTGCAAGTTTGCATATATGCAATTGGTAGCCACATCAATGCAATTGCAAACACCTATGCAATGTCATTTTGCAATTGAGAATGCAATATCAATGTGGATCCTCTAACGAATATGTTGACAATTGGGTCGGATCTTCTGCTCTGGACGTGGGAAGCGAATTCTTTTTTTGGGATTTTGGAGCCGTGGGAAGTTTTGGGTTTTGGTGATGTCGGTGAAGGAAACCAAATCAGGGGGTTTTGCAGGGACGATTCGCAATCAATGATAAAACAAGAAGAAGAAGCAGCAGCAGCATATCAACCTCTGCTGCAACTCAGCCTGCCCCCACACAGTAAGATTCCACAAAAGAACCCACTTCTTTATTTTTGCGCATGACACATTATCACGAGTCCACACAGTAAGATAATTGGAGCAAGTTTTTTTTTCTTTTTACCAAAAATGAAACCCAATCGCATTTGTTCCGATAGTAATGAAAAGACCCGTGTTCTGTTCCTGATAGTAATGAGAAGACAAACTTTACAGATAGAAGCTCATCAGCAGCCTACTCTTGAGAGTTTCCAAAGAGTAAATGAGTGTCAGGGAAGGTTATTTGGACTTTTTAAAGAGGAAGAAGCAGTTTATAGGCAGAAATCCAGACAGCTTTGGGTAAAAACAGGAGACTTAAACACCTCCTTTTTTCATAAATCTGTAAAGTCTCGCCAGGCTCGATCCACTATTAAAAAGCTCATCACAGAAGATGGAACTGTTTTAACTGATACAAAGGAAATGAGTGAGGAAGCAATGAATTTTTACCAGAAGCTATTAGGCACTAAGAATACAGAGGTCCAGAGGGTAAACAGTGCATTGGTCTCTCAACTTCTAAGCAACTTTCTTTCCTCTGATCAAGCAGAATCCCTGTGCTGTCTTGTCACCAGTGATGAAGTAAAAACAGCTTTATTCTCTATGGATGGGGACAAATCCCCTGGTCCAGATGGCTTCATAGCCAGATTCTTCAAGCTCAATTGGGAGGTTCTGGGAAGGGATGTTACTGATGCAGTACTGGATTTCTTTAGAACAGGGAAACTTCTCTCAGAGGTAAACTCTACTTACCTTGCCTTAATCCCTAAAGTGCAGAATGCTGATTGTATGAAACAGTTTAGACCAATTTCCTGTTGCAATATATTGTATAAGTGTATTGCTAAGATCCTAGCAAACAGACTTAGAGAAGTTCTCCCTAGTATCATTAGTCCAAACCAATCTTCTTTCATTAAGGGTAGATTGATTAGTGATAATGTACTCTTGGCTCATGAGATGGTAAAGTTGTATAACAGGAAAACTATATCCCCTAGATGTGCTTTAAAGGTTGATGTGATGAAGGCTTTTGACAGTGTTGATTGGGGGTACTTAAAAACAGTAATGGAGGCCATGAAAATCCCTGCTCAGTTCATAAAATGGATTGAAGTTTGCTTACACAGTACAAAGTTGAGTGTATGTTTTAATGGTGGATTAGTGGGATATTTCTCTGCTCAAAAAGGCCTGAGACAAGGGGACCCTCTCTCCCCCTATCTTTTTACCATAGGCATGGAATTACTTTCATGTATGTTAAACAGGGCTTATGCCATTAAAACCCTTCCCCCCCATCCACAAACCCATAGAATAGGCCTATCTCACTTGTGTTTTGCTGATGACCTATTGGTCTTCACAAAAGGAACCCCTGAAGCTGTAGAAAAAGCAAAATCCATTCTGGATGCTTTTTATGCTGTATCTGGATTGAGATGCAATCCTGCTAAAAGTGAAGTGTTCTGTGGGGGTGTGGACATTGGGGTGCAGACTCAGATTTCTTCTAGAACTGGGTTTGCTATAGGGAAACTTCATGTAAGGTACCTAGGGATACCTCTTATTGCTGGTAAATTGAATAGCTCTGACTGTCAAGCTCTGGTTGATAAGATAACTGCTAGGATTAGGGGCTGGAAGGTGAAGACTCTGACCTATGCTGGTAAAATGCAACTTGTTTCTGCTGTCATTTCTAGTATTACACAATAATGGATGGGGATCATACAGCTCCCTGTTAAGGTGATTAAAATGGTTGAGAAAGCCTGTTCTGATTTCCTGTGGAGTGCAGAGGAAGAGGGGAAAAGGGCAAAAGTTAAGTGGCAATTGATAGCTAGGCCTAAGAAAGAAGGGGGATTAGGGTTCAAAGACCTCAGGAGCTGGAATATGGCCTGTTTGGTTAGGCACCTCTGGGCTCTTTCTTCAAATTCTTCTTCTCTGTGGGCTAGCTGGGTTAGACACTATCAGCTCACCTACACTTAACTGTGGGATATACCTTCTTCTATGCCTTGCTCTTGGGCCTGGAGGAAGGTCCTGAAGATTAGATCAAAAGTTGCTCAACATTTATCAGTCAAACCTACAGGTGTGTATTGGGGGGACTGTGTGATGCACAAGTTTTCAGTAAAAGCAGTCTGGGAGACCCTTCGTGATAAACATGAGGTAGTGCAGTGGTACTCATTGCTTTGGAAGTCCTATGGCACACCTAGAGATAAGCTCCTAGTCTGGCTTATCATCCTAAATAGAATTGCCACATTAGACAAGGTACAGAGCTGGAATAATGCAGTGGTAAATCTTTGCCCATTATGCTCTTCTGCAGAAGAATCCAGAGATCATCTTTTCTTTGGATGTGCTTATTCTAAACGTGTGATGCAAGCAATGTTTGCAGGCAGAGATGTGGTGGGGGCAAACTGGGAAGGTTCATTGGCAAATGCTGTATCATTGTTCAGGGGGAAGAACTTTATGTCAGAAAGAGGTAGACTCCTTTGGGTAATGGTGGTGGCTGAGCTCTGGCGGGAACGTTGCAGACGAGCCATGACTGGGGAGGCTCTATCAGAAGTTCAGTTGCTGAAAAAGGTGCAAGGGCTGCTGCAACTTCTCAGGAACGGTTTTCCCCAGGTGGAACTTGTTGTTTCAGAAGACTATATCAGCAGTATAGTGGTGTAGTATTAGAAACGGTTAGGGGTTTTGTGTTTCGCTGTAAGTTGATTAGCTTGGTAGTCAAAACTCTTGATTGTAATCTGGTGTTGAACAGTTACTGATTGTTTTGGTTCCAGTTGGGGGGTTCTCCTTTTTGGAAAAGCCCTCCTTCTTGATGAATAAAATCGGCTTATTCATAAAAAATAAAAATAAAAAGACAAACTTTACAGCATTAACACTCTAAGTAGGCAAGCCCAAGCTGTGACACAAAAGATGCTCAAGAGCTCTCGGGGTGTACACTTTTGAAACAGAAAGATCATTACTCGAAAACATGTTATCTAGAATTGCAATGAAGAGAGAAGATCAAATCCAAAACAACAAGTCAATCCTTGTATCTCAATATCAATATCTAGAAACATACGACTGTAATGAAACCACGAGTGAGGAGTTAAAAAAGACTTTATAGTTGGTCAACAATGTGGCATATAAAATAAAATCATTGCATTGGCACAAACACGATTTAGAAAAGAAAAACTTAAGTCAGATGGATCATTCGAATAAGTTGCAAGTAATTTCTGAGACATGCAAAGAGTATGCTTCAAAGATGAGTAGCCAATTAGTAAACATCAAAGAGTAAAAGACAACGGCTACAATAAAACTTAAATCGGATTTGATCATTCAAATGACTTGCAAATAATGGAGACATGCAAAGATCCACAAAATATGCTTCCAAGACGGTAGCCTAATGAAAAGACAACAGCTTTTTAGCATGGAGATCTCTAGTTCGGATCCCATTACTTCATTGTGGAGAATCATCAACCACCATGTTTGAGCCAACTATCATTACAACTTTCGCAGGCAAGAAAGGTTGGGTGGGATGTGAGAAATAGATCAGTAGCAGATATTATACTGTGGCAGAAGCTAATTCAATTAACCTGATCAAAATGTAAGAGAAGATGGAGATAGGATAGCCAATCCATGGTGGAACTTGGAAGGCGCAGCGTCCATCCTCAACTCCAACCAACGAAAGAACTGGCAATAATTTCAAACAAATAGGCCAAATTACAAAACACCAACCCTCCTCTCAAATTTCAGGTGTCCTATCTGCTACTTCACTGTACACACATACACAGTTTACCTTCCCAACCAACGTATAACACCCTACCGCTTAAATTATCCTTCCATTACAAATCAAATTATGAACAAAATGGGAAGAATAAAAAAGAAAACATCATGGACCCTCCTTCCATCTTCCTACTAATGAAAATCCAAAAGATACAACCAAAAGAAACTAGAACAATGACCACATGAACCTATCCAATACCGATATGCACATACCAAAATAAAACCAAACTCAAGAATGGATCCTCTAATGATAAGAACACAAACGAATTGGTACCCAGTTATTCCACCCCCTCCCTTCCCCTTCCATCTCAGATCTCACCCTCTTAGCTCTTGTAGCTTTTGTCAAATGTGTGAGGTGGTCTCTCCATGAATCGTGTTGTTTGTTTCAGTCAAGAGTTAAGACCTCCTCCTGCTCTCGCCTCCCGGTGCTAATGGACGATCACTATCTGAGTTCTCCTTTTGAGATTCTATCTCCATACTACCCCCATGGGCTCTTCGATGTCTTCTATCCTGATGATGATTAAACATAGTTTCAGCATTCGTTTTTCAGTCTACTAGATTGGTTTTGATATGATAACATCAAAGTAAGAACACAAGCAATGGAGGACATAGCAAAGCGGAGAATGGAGGATAGGATTTATCGACGTCACCTCTCTCGGAACAGGATATTCCTCGGACTCCAGCATTCTTACAACTTGCCCCATCTTTGGTCGTTTCTCAGAGTCAGGATCCACGCATCTCAAAGCAGTCAAAAGGGCTCTCTTCAGGTTTCTTGTTGATGGTTTTGTCTCCATGTTGGGGTCTACAACTTCTTCAGACATCCTGCTCCCCACCATCATTTTCAGCCAATCTACAAGATTTACCTGAAACACAATCATAATCACCCTTAGTTCCACATAGTAGAGCTCATGTTCTGGGGCAGAATTGAAAACTTTTACGAGGCAGGAATGCACTTGCTTGCTAGCTACAGTTACAAGCTTGAACAATGAATGTTTCAGTGATCACTCAGAATGCAAATGGCAAATGTGAAAAATGCAGATCACTGCATACCTCATGCTGGGGACGACTGTAGTCCACGGGGTCTCTTCCCGTGATTGCTTCTAAGAGCACAACCCCAAAACTATAAACGTCGCTCTTTTCGTTCAGAAGGCCACTATTGGCATATTCAGGAGCCACATATCTGCAACGTTTTTCATTTCATTGGGTTAGAATGACATGTACAATTCAACAAGCACTACAGCGAATCAAAAACCCTTGAAGAATAAATGACCGACCCGAAAGTTCCCATCACTCGAGTAGTGACATGGCTCTTTCCAGCTCCAAGCAACTTGGCCAAGCCAAAATCAGAAACCTTGGCGTTGAAGTCATCATCGATTAATATGTTGCTAGATTTAATGTCACGATGCACAACTTTTGGCTCAATGGCCTCGTGCAAATAAGCAAGCCTGCAAAAAAAACCATGCCATAGCATATCCTGTAAGAAATAAGAATGAGCATAAAGGGGAATAAAAACACATATTTCATCAAACGAAGGTGAGTAGACATCTTACGCCTTGGCTGTGCCGAGGAGAACTTTCATTCTGGCCTCCCACGTAAGATATCCATGGTGAGACATGGCTCCATGAAGCCACTGTTCCAAGTTTCCGTTGTTCACATACTCATAAATCAACATCCTGTACGCATGAGGACAAAAATTGAAGAACAGAAATCTAAAATTAATAAACGTGAGGCTGCAAGCTGCCCAAAGTTAGAACCTTCACTCCTCTCACACTATCGACTCCTTTATCCACCAGTAGCTTAGAGGCTGCAGACCCCAACCGGCAGAGAAGAAAAGGGTCGAGGACTCAAGGTCCTTAGTTTGGTTTGGAGAAGATATTAATATTCATAAACTTACTGATAACGGAGTTTGTCATAAGGGTTGTAGAATACCAAGTATGGGAATACTCAATAGAACAGTTACTGGTGTTGTACATAGTTGGCTCTTGGTATTCATGAACTAACTGATGATGAAGTTTGTCATATGGGTTGTGGAATACCAAGTTTGCTGATAATAGTAATTGGAGCTTTTTACTTATTTGGCTCTCTAGCCTTGATTGTTATAATCAGGTTTACCGTCGTTTCCTGCCTTGAGAAGGAAACGCATGGACAAGCTAGGTGACTAGTCTTGCATCAGATAAGAATACTAGTAATAATATTCAAGCTTTTCTGATCTGGCATTTTACTGAACTTAGAAGGAATTAGTGTTGTGAGTAACTACAAGATCGTGAATGGGATTAGCTGCCAGCCTTGCCACAGCCTTGTCTAAGCCAATAAGCTAAGGGACGGTAGGTTTGGCACTGACCATAAGGAATATTAGTTTCTTTCAAATACATATCTCCTTTAATGTAGTTTTGAATACAATCATACATAATACATTGTTACTAACTAAAATTACATGTACGTTTCTTTCTGAGAAATAATGAAGTGCCAATAAAGAGGCTTTCAGTGAAATTTGGGCAAGGGCTGGAGGCTCATTGAAAAACTCCTATATTAGCTTTTTCATGTGCTTATCCTTATTTCGTTCGTTGCTGATCACTTTTTTTACAGCTACCATTATTCATTTCTGTATTTGGATTTGTATTATTAGTTTCGTTTGGTTTAGCTGATAATAGATTGATGATATGTCAAATTGATTGATATTGTATTCTATTGCAGCTTCGACCTTCTGTAAAACAGCAGAGAGTAACAAGGAGAGGGAGCAAATTCTAGAGTGTCAGGTTTTAGTTTGCTATTAACTAGCAAATATATCTGCTCACTTCTTTCTTTTATTCAGTGATATTTGTTTTGCTTTCACAGTAGAGATACTGAACTCTCAGATTCTATCTATTTCATAAGAACTAGGAATTAGGATGTCCATCTAAACCATTAAATCAGCCCCAAACTTCAACAGAAGGTTGCTTCTCTGATTCCCTACTTTGCTCGTGTTTTCCCAATCTTTTGGCTGTATCCCCTAATTGATGCTGAGAGTTTGTGGTTCCATATATTTCTAGTATCTTATTCCGACAAATATCACATGGACTTGGAGAGCTATTTACTATTCCATTTAATCGATCTTAAAAATTACAATCAGTTTTGAAGGTTTTCCTATTTCCTAAGTTGAACAAGTGAATACAAACAGATGAGTATTGCCAATTATTTGTGCCCATTACCAAGCACTGCCAATTTATCACATTATATGACTCGGCCTTTAAATGATTCAGGAACAAAGAAATGTTAGCTTACAAACAAAAGAGAAACAGTTTTGAAATAGTTTCGTAGCCATGCAATTTCTTCATACGGTAAGACTGCTCCCGTAGCAACATGGGCCAATTAACTAGTGGTAACTAAAAAGGTAGTCTTTCACTCTTTCTACATTATTCCAGAGTTAAAGACGAGCAAAGAGAAGGCGAAAGAGTACCTGTGCGTGCCTTCTATGCAATACCCAAGAAGACGAACCAAATTCTTATGGCGGACATGCCCAATCGCATCAACTTCAACTCTGAACTCCTTCTCAGCTTGGCCCCTTAAAGAACAGAACAGTAACTAGCTATAAGGTTCAGGCAAAATGACAAATGAATGTTTCACAAGCTGACAACAACAAAAAAGCACACCCACAAGTTGTTGAGAATCTTCTTGACAGCAACGGGAGTACCATTGATGAGATTTCCACGGTAAACAACTCCATAACCGCCCTCGCCGAGGATATTCTCTTTGGAGAAGCGGTTGGTAGCCAATTCAAGGTCCCTGAGTGTAAACCAATGACCCCAACCCAAGTGAGAGAATTCAGGGAGCCCACTGAGCGGAGAAGGAGCAGTGATCAGGTAGTGTTGGGAAGCAACAGAGGAAGCCCTGTAGCCGGTGCCGGCTGAGCTGCCGTCTTGATCACCAGAGAGGGAAACAACGCCGTCTTTGTCGTATTGGTGGAAGGAACCACCCGAGTGACTGCTGTTGTCACCATTTCCATTGGCGTTGCCGTTACCGTTCTTGGACTTGGGCATGCCGAGATGGACGAGCACCTTATCGGCATCCTTGTCGCTCGACTTGTCGTGGATTGTCAGAAGGATTCCTTCACGAGGGACGAACTCGTCGGTTGGGATTTGCTCCACTCGGACTTCCTTGATCTCCTTGGACACAGACGGGATTTGAGAGAGCGGAAGCTGCTGCTGGTTAAGGTTCGGGTGCGAGATTCTTTTGGTGGAGGAAGACTTCTTACGAGAGAGGTAGATGGTGACTGTTAAGATGATGATGGTGAAGAGTGCAATGCCAATGCAAATGAGCTCCCATAATTGGAGACCTAGAATAGTCTTCTGCGACATCTCCGATTTCAGACTGCCCGCCATTTTCCTGGATAGGGGAGAAAATCTGAGAGCCAAGAACAGAACAATGACAACTGCAGGAGTCCTGAGACAAGATCAGCTGCCTATGGAGGCATGCAATTGTGGCATGCCAAGGGACAAGTAAAATGGATTCCTAAGTAGGCCATCAACTGCCACATAAAAAGCACCCCAGTGAAAGAGTTACCATGCTTACCTTATTCAAAGGGCGAGCCTTGATCCGAGGGAATTTGTAATCAGTATAATTTGGGTTCATACACTTGATCTCTTCCCTTGTTGGATACCCAAGTTCTGCAGATAGAATAACAGAGCCACATTGCATTCAGAGTGGCACAACTAATCAGTAATGAACCAAAATCGACTTTCTAAAGTGGAAATCAGAAACATGGAACTGTTGAACAAAAAACCAACTAATCAGTTACCTTAATAATCTCCACAAGCTGGTCAACTCCAGTTTATCACCGGGAAATAGAGCCTGCAAAAATCACAACTGATAGAGCTATTGCTAATTGTGCTGTGCTGGATTATGCAGACGTATATCATCTAGCAAGCCTTGACTGCTCAAAGAAAAATATCACACTGTCCAAGCAGCAGCTCGGCAATATAATCAATAGCTTTATAAGCTAAAGCGCTCTGCACTGTTTTTTGAGCAAATGTAAGCTGTGTGGTTCCCCCTTTCACCTGATGAAACCCAACAAGCAGAAAGTTCAAAAGACTGGAAATTTTGTACAATCAGAACAAAAGGCAAGTGAAGAGCCATTAAGAAAGCACCAAAAGAAGACCTTTTCGCTGCCAAAACCAGATAAAAATTAACCTGGTGTGAGTAAAGGGTATACATACATACGGAATAAACTGAAACAAGAAAAATGCACACAGAGATCCGCATACAGCCAAGGAGAAAGAACAAATCAACTGGAGAAACTGAAGTTCATGTTTAGAGAATTGAACAGCGGAAAGTAGCTCGGTAAGCAGCAATGACAGACGCAGCAAGCAAATATCCAGGAAGGAAAGCAAAGATAGAATCAAAAACCAGCTAAGATCTGTTCATATACAAGTCGATCTAAACCCTCCAAAAGCCGAGCGGAGAGAGAGGGAAGATAGACAAAGAGAGCGTAGGAGTAAGGGGAGGACAAAAGTCAAAGGAAGAGAAATGGTGAGAGGCGAATGGGGAGGAGTAGGAGCTGCGACTTACCGGTGAATGCGGAAACGGCGATGAGGGGAAGAAGAAGAAGAATCAGACAGCGGAGAGAGAAAGAGAGGGAGACGATAGATCCATAGACGTTGGTGTTGGTGGTACTCTGCTACTGCTGTTGCTGGTGGAAAGTTAATCGTCTAGTCACCTAATTCGCCTCTCTACGAGTGCGATTAGTTCGTCAATGGACTGCCAAAATTTAGTATTTGACTATCTTCATTTCCATCTCCCAAGGAATTTGTTTCAAAGGTTCTCTAAATTCACGGAGTGTAAATTTGATTTCCAAAATTTACGGATTATACATTGCCAAAATTTTAGTATTTTTATTTACATGTTCTTACGAAATTTGTTTCATAAGGGTGGAGGACCGGTTGGTTCGGTTATAACCGAAAACCGAAGGATCGGTTACTGGTTAACCAAACCACCTTTCAACCCTATCAACCACCGACCGAAAGATGGTTTAAAGTTTGGGTTATCTCGGTTTTCGGTAAATCGAACCGCCTCACAAGACCAAAACCATCTCGCACAGCCTCCAAATACCGACCAACTTTCGGTTATCTCGGTTTTTGGTTAGTAGATCACCGGCCAGTTTTTGGTTGTAACCGGTCAGTTAACCGCTAACCGCTAACCGATTATCCAACCCTAGTTTTTCGGAGCGTGATTAGGATGTAGATTTAATTCCAAAATTCAATGATTGTATCGTCAAAAGAAGTCACCCCTTATACATTGTTGGTTGAGATCCATTAGACTTTGTCAAGTAATCTACAAGTTGGTTGCTAAAATGTAAAATGTTAGCAAACAAGTTGACTTGTATCATGTCTCACATAATTTTAAAGTATCGTAATGGTTTCATTCAAGATTATCCCATCGTGGACCATATCCTCACTAACCGTGAGGTCACCTGACATTTAGAAAATCATGCCAGTGAGAAGCGAAATCTTGTGTAGTCCAAGAAATGAACTTGGAAAACGCATGTGATGGAATTGAATGGCCTTATCTTTTTTTAAATGACAAAGTCGTGGGGATTTGCCAACCAGGTTTATTTTTATAAGATTCGCCACTATTTCTTTCTCACATCAAGTTAACAGAGCTCGTCATGGTTACTTACATCCCTCTTGAAGTCTTTGACAAGGAGCTCTTATATTCCAGTTATTATTCGCCATCTGTTCAAACAGACTTTTATGAATTTTCACTCAGACAATGGAAGTTGGATTACTCTAATGCTTTCAAATTCAAAGATACTGCCTCATCATCGCCTATTTGTGCTTCGCAAATGAGTCTTACCTCTTTTTACAAGAGTCTCCGCAGACTTGTACGAGACCCTACTTTCTCTTTTAAATTCATATGGAGCTCTTAATGGGCATCAGAGTAATTTGAGAAAGTCGGTGATAAGTTTTAGCAAAAGTACATTGTCTCAGGGTGCTCATGCATGGCTACATTTCTAAATGTTGGATCTGTGTGGGCTCAAGACCTCTATTTTGCTTTACCTTTCATCCCCTTCGGGACTAATTGTGATGCTTTTTAAAGTGTCGAAGATCGTCACATAAGCTACAATCTTGAGAACAATAAATAGAAAACCCATTAACTATAGTTCTTGAGATCCATGCCAACTGTATATAAAGGAGGTTATGCACCAAAATCTCACCCTTTTACTTGGTTGTTTGATTATCGAATTAAAGCATTGTTCTGTCAATTAGATGATTCTCCACGGAGAATATTTTTTGAGACGTAAAATTAATAAATATAATACTCAATAATAGTATGAATTACCTTAAAAATCTAAATAATATTGACAGAACAAAATAATATTATGGTTCAAACTTGGATTCAACAGCTTGTCTATGCATATACATGCCATGTAATGTTATGGTTCAAACTCATAATAGATTTGTGGCACAAACTAAATGGACGTCCAGTCAAACTCTAGAGAATTCGACATAAGACCAACATCATCCATCTACTTGATCCTCCTGATATATTGTATTGAAAGGCTTTCGACACCAGGATTTACCATGTGCAGATCTTCTTTGATCTATTAGACAGACACAAATTTCTCTTGATCCACCAAACAAATGCAAATCTTCGTTGTATCAACCAAATATATTCACATACACATATATCCATTGATTCGCTAGATAGATGCAAATCTCAAATTCCGAGGTCACAAAATGATGGTCCACGAGACTGAAGTCCACAACCTCATATCCGAACTCCAAAACTAGACTTGGATACCACTTGTTGAAATCGGATGCTCTATTAGTACGATATTATCCGCTTTGGGCAAAACCGAGACGAATTTATTGTTAGGTATCCTCCCCAAAAGGCCTCATACTAATTGGACCAGTCTACACTAAAGTACAAAGGATCATGCCCTTATATTTCCAATGTGGTACTTAAATTGTACATACAATGTTTCCTTCAAGACAAGAACCACAGCTTCTTGTCATTCCCCCAGTGATTATCTTGATCTACTAGACACCTTGTATCGACATGCCTTTTGACTCGAGGATTTACTAGATGCAGTTATTCTTTGAGCTGACAAACATGCGCGAATCTCCTTTGATCCGCCAAACAAAAGCAAATCTCAAACAATGAGGTTGTCAAGTGAGGGTCCACCAAAGCGACGCCCACTTCTCCGGATCCACGCTCGAAGACCAGGCTTTGATATCATAAGTTGAGACCGAATGCTCCAATAACACGATATTGTTCGCTTTGAGCCAAGCCCGTACAGATTTACTCTTGGGTTTCTTCCCAAAAGACCTCGTACTAATTGAGCTAGGTGGACACTTATATACAAGAGTTATTTCCCTTGTATTTCCGATGTGGTACTTAGATTGTACCATAACAATACTCCCCTTAAGACAAGAAACACGAACTTTGTGTCCTCCGCTCAACAATTATCTTGATCCGCCAGACGGATTACCAGACGTAGATTGAAGAATTTGATAACGCGGAAGATCGAAAGAACACAGAACACAAGATTTTACGTGGTATCCTCGTTCGATTGATTGATCGAGACTAATCCACAATGAGCTCCAAAGAGCTCAAGACTGACGTTTTATTAGAGGACTAAACTGTGACGGCTTACTTACGATAGGACGGTAGCTAAGCTTATATAGAGATAGACGTAGGTTTAAAACCCTAATGAGAACCAAGTTTCCTTCTTTTACGATGACAAGAAAACAAGGGACTTGTAAGACAAGGAATTAATTACTTGGACTAAGTAATTAATATCCGCAACACTCCCCCACAAGCGAAGACATGAATGACAAGAATGTCGAGCTTGAAACTGAACAACACTCAAATAACATCTTGCTGACAAGCACGTCCAACGGGATGTGACTTTGTTCGCTTGCGCGAGAGGTAGAAAAATGATGGAACTACTCCATGTTTGACCCAGTTCTTATGACAATGAACTCAGCATGGCAAAATTCCTTGACGTCTTGGATGAGACTGGAGACTGATGAATGCGTTGCTGACTTTGGAGACTACTAACTGCATTGATGACTGTGCTCCTCCTTACAACTTGACTGATATATAAACGCGGTCGACTTGATGACTGAACTGGTCAACCTATGATTCCATATTCTCCCTCTCAAGCTGGAGCATGAATGACGTGAATGCGCAGCTTGAAATTTAGAATGGTGAAGACTGAAAATTACCTGATTCTGAACTCCGAGGGGACAATTGCTCCTTGGATCGTGACCTTGTTGTATGACTTGATTAAACTTTGTTGATGAGAGCTCCTCTATCGTCCCAACACTAGCTATTTAAGTGGCGACCACTACTGCTGCAGGTCACGAGTATCTTCAATGCCATGACTTTGATGTTGGTGAAGATTCTCCTCTCTACGTGACCTTGAGCGGCCGTGAATCGTGATGAAGACACTCAGACGTCCGGAACAGATGGAGACAACAGTCGCCACTTCCATTCGTCTTCTACATCTTTCTCCTTCTATTACAAGACAGCTGCAGAGGAACGGAGAATAGAGGTGTTGTGACGGCAAGTGCAACACAGAGTTGGTGAGGTGGATGGTAATCGGTGCTGAGTCAGAGGCCGGAGTGGACATAAGCTCTCCTGACGTCGAGTAAGTAAGAGGTTGTGACTTGGCGACGACAGCCGACAGGGACTGATTACTCAACTGGACGGCGATGAGGCTTGACTTCCTAAAGACGACAGCCGATGCCATTGATAAAAAGAACATCGCCAAGACGATGGCAAACTGGTGAGGGAATAGCAACACGGGGAAAAGATTGGACCTCTTGCGTGTAGCCTTCTGTGGTCCACGCTAAACGGGTCGTCGGAGGCGGACGACGCCAACGTGACCAAGAAGAGCAGTCGAGCTCTAAGGAGATCAACAGTTGTGATAGGATTGTCGTGGACGGCGGCTATGAAATCTCCCTTGTTGGACGCAGCGACGGATACAGAACACAGTAAAGTACTGGGCCGCATTTCAATATAATATATATACCGTAAACATAAATAGTCAATATTTTAAAATTTTAGTATTTCAAATAAAAAAATAGTTACAAAATTACCAACGGTAACAGGCAAATAACTAATATTTTGATGCGTTACAAAAGATTTAGCTAATATTTTGTAGGTTTAATTCACCCGTGTAGCCATAACTTTCACGGTTTTGACAGATATAGCCACTTTTTGAATAATACACAGATGTAGCCATTTCCGTCCTATTTTTTGACGGTCCACTTAACTAGCTGACTGGACTAACGGTTGCGGCTGATGTGGCGCGTTTTGGTTTTCGTCTTTGCCACGTGGAATTTTTTTTTATTAAAAAGTAAAACGACATAGTTGGAGACGAAAAGGGGATTCAGATCACTTTCCCCTTTTTCGTTTTAGGGTTCCCAACCTACTCTTTTCCTTTTCTCTCGACTCTTCCCAATCGTTCGCGATCGCCGACAAAGGGAAGCCATGCATTCCGCCGGTGAGTAGCATCGGAGGGTCGCTCTTTCGTCGGCGTTACGGACTTCGGCGGTTCGGCTGGCGGCGGCTAAGAAACATCGGCGGAGGAACCCTAAATCGGCGGAGGAACCCTAAATCGCGTTGCTAAGAAACCCTAAATCGTTCGGCTGGTGAGTGATTCTGGTTTTCTTCTCTGGTTTTCTTCTTCGCACGGTTCGAATGAATGAATGTTTTGTTAACGGGAAGTGGGTGTTGTGTATTTATAGGTTGAAAGGTGGAAAGCGACATCACAACTTCGAGGGACCAGAAGAATATTTTTTTCACGAGATTGCCCCTGCAAAAGACAGTAAACGCCATAAATCTCTGGTTATAATCGTCATTTACTATTTAAGCTTCCCTTTTTCGTGATTTTCTTGGCTGTATGTAGAGTTCCCCAATTTGTTTAATCGCTTCTTGGATGTGTGTGTCTGATTTGTTTATTAGCGATTAATCATTAATTAGTAGTTAATCGAATAAACAATCAATTTCTGCAGAGAGATGGCAGATTCGTGGGAGGAAGGAAATGGTGAGAATGTCACAAACCAGGAAGGGGAAGAAGATGATTTCCTGTCAGTAGAAGATGGGGTAGCAGCTTCTGTTGCAAAGGAGGTGTACCACGTTTACGATTCGGATGATGCTGATACTTCGGATGATGAATATCACGAAGCACGTGACAACTTACGAGCATATGGCGAGACGAGGAGGAGGAGGAAGGTGCATACAAAGCGTGCTGCTGATGGGGAAGAGGTGGACCAATTGGATGAATTTGAAGATGTTGAGGTTGAGAGTGGAGAGGAAGAGGAAGCAGAGAATGATAATGGTGCACATGGAGAGGATGTAGGGGAGGATGCTTCCGGGGGAGATGAACCGAGGAATGAGGCTACAATTCATTCTATATCCAATCAGGAGCCCCCTATTCAAGAACAAGCCGTTGGTGAGAATTCTAACGACTCATTTTACAGATTGTCTGAAGATTCGGATCATGTTCGTCCGAACTTATCTAATGAAGAAGCTAGGGAAATGTACGATGATGCTCCACATTATGATCCAAAATGTGATCATAAGAGCTTGTAATTTGTGTGTCGGATGAAGTTCGCCAGTGTAGAGCAATTCAAGGAAGCTGTTGTTAGACATTCTGTCGCAGCAGGTGCAAGTCTGAGGTGGCTTAGGACTAACCCTAAAAGGAGGGAGGTGAGGTGTAAGTCTCTGAATTGTAAGTGGAAGTTGTATGCCAGTTGGTTCAGGAAGGACAGGAGCTTTATGATCAGGAAAGTAGGGCTGCCACATTCGTGTTCAAGGCAGCTTAGAGTGAATCAAGTCACTGCTAAGTGGATAGCAAGTGACATGTTAGATAGATTCAGGATAAATCCTGAATGGGCTCCGAATCAGATAATGGCCGAGGTGAAGCTGAAGCATAATATGGAGGTTAATTACAGAACATGTTATAGGGCGAAAGTTGAGGCTATCAAGCTGCTCAGTGGTTCATTGGTTGATGAGTATGTTAAGCTCAGAAGTTATATGGCTGAATTGAAGAAACGAGATCGAGAAGGACATTTCTTTTTGGAGGTAGACCCCCATCCTAATGGCGACAATGTTTTCTTTCAACGTATGTACATCGGGTTCTCAAGTTTAAGAAAGGGATTTCTGGAAGGATGCAAACCGATGATTGCGTTGGATGGATGTTTTCTGAAAGGAGAGGTTAAAGGGATGATATTGACAGCAGTTGGGAAAGATGGAAACAATCAAATGTTTCCTATATGTTGGGCTGTGGTGGAAGGTGAAAACACCAATTCATGGTGTTGGTTCGTGCAAGCATTAGCTGAAGACCTAACTCTAGTTGATGGAAGGGGATGGACTATTATTTCTGATCAACAGAAGGTAATGTCCAATACCACTGACTTTATTAAATGTCCACTTATGATTAATTTGCTGACTTTATGTGTTTCGACTTATGTCTTTCTTGCTGTCTTTATTCCAACCTCACATTGTAGGGTTTAGTTGAGGCAATCCACACCATATTGCCTGATGCTGAGCACCGGAAATGTGCAAGACATGTATATGCTAACTGGAAGGCGAAGAACAAAACAGATCGTGTCAGGAAGCTCTTTTGGTTTGCTGTTTATGCTTGCAATGAAGTGCATTGGAACCGCGCAACGGCTGAGCTGGAGGCCATTGAAAAGTCAGGTGATGGTTCTACCCCATATACAGACTTTATGGCTGCTGAACCTCGACGTTTTTGTCGTGCCTTCCTAAGATGTTATTCGAAATGTGACTCTGTTGAGAGCAATGTTTGTGAGACATGGAATGGTTGTATTGTTAAATATAAGGGTTTAAGAACTGTAGACATGCTGGAGGGTATAAGGCAGTACATGATGGACAGGGTAGTACTTAAGTCAGAAATGTTTGCAAAGTGTACAGACACCTTGCCTCCAAGGATTAGGAAACGTGTTGAAAGGGAAAAGGAGGAGGCAAGGTTATGTGTAGCTAAGCAAACTCTCAATGCAAGGTGTGAGGTAAAGAAGGGGGGTGAAGGGTTTATAGTAGATGTGACTGAATGTACTTGCTCTTGTGGCTACTGGCAACTTAGTGGAATTCCATGCTGCCACGCGGTTTCAGCTATTAGCCATCTAAGAAGAGAAGTTGATGATTATGTGAATTCATACTATCATGTCTACATGGCTAGTTTCGCATACAACTATGGGATACCTTGCCTTGATGGTAGGCAAGCATGGCCAGCATCTGAGGGAATACCTGTTCATCCTCCCAAGACTAGATCGATGCCTGGCAGGCCAAAAAAGAAGAGAAGGAGGAGTGCAAATGAGGTGGAGGAGACCAGAGCACAAAGAAACGGGGTTGGTGAAGAGGTTACAAGGAGAGGTAATCTCATCCACTGCTCCAAGTGTGGCGGCGAGGGGCACAATGCCAGATCTTGCAAGGCACCCCCTGTTGCAGAAGTTGTGGTGGTAAGATTCTTGCCTTTAGTCTTTCTTATAAGTGGAATGTGGTGTGATTAGTCTGTTTGCTCCTTGCAGGAGAGAAGAGAACAAGGGAATATCCAATCGGGGCCACCTGCTGCGCAAGAATCAGGCCAGAATACTAGAAGGAAGAGGGCCATTCATTGTTCCAAATGTCAGAGTTCAACTCACAACGCAAGGACTTGTCCTCTGAATAGAGGAAATGGTGTACAAGTAAGTGGTTTCCTTCCTAATGCAAGCATGGCCTTGATTGAGACAAATTTGCTTATCTGTCCTGTTGCATGTATGTAGGATGTGATACTTAATGTGGCTGATAGAAGAACAATTGAAAGGGAATTGAGAATTGCAACATCTGGAGTTGGCGTTTATGTTAATGAGAGGACAGGGAACCAGTATGTTAGGGTGTTTCCAACCTGTCTTGTAATTGTAATAAGTCTTCTTAATGTAGTTGTATTGAATACTAATATGTTTGTTACTCATTTCAGCTTAATGGGGAGCTGCTGGCAGGCCAGTTCGTGGACCTCAGCCAACTGTCGTGGACTTGCATGGAAGTCAGCCACCACCTAGTCAGCCTTAGATGTAGGAAGAATATGATGCTTAAGTCATCTTTTGTGTAATGTCCATAGTAGACACTTATGTGCACTTTGCTATGTAATGACGATTACATGACTCAGGAAGCAGTTGGTAGCAGATTAGTTTGCAAGTAGTTTTGGTTAGGGAAGGTTATGAACACACTTTTAATGATGATTACATGACTCAAGTGCAAGTTGTTAGTTGCAGGTGTATGATGTACTCTTCTAATCGACACCATTTTGATGTGCACCCTTTGCACTTGCTTAATATATGTGTCTCATTAGAGAGACCAAACATTTGTTACTCGCTTTAGAACATTACATTGTTACTCGCTTTAAAGAAATAGAGAGACCAAACATTTGTGTCCATTAAAGCTTGCATACATTTGTTCAATGTACTCAAACAACAACTCGTACAAATTGCCTAATCCACATAATGCTAACTACATACCAGATTCTGGCCTCCAAAGAACAACAACCAATATAGCATTCATAAATACAGCACCAATCAACATATATCGAATAATACGGACATCATCATCCAATCGCTTAACACGAATCGCCATAACCTCATGAGCAAGCATCAATCTGCTTAGTTCTTCAGCCAAGCATTCATTTTCCTTCTTCATCTTCTCTGCCTTCCTTTCTGCTAGCATCAGACTCTCTTCCAGATTCTTAATAGAACCCATTTCATTAGTCCATGAGCCAGTTTCATCATCGTTTGATTCCACCCACTGAAAAAATCGACAAGTTTTTTTCCTATCCTGCAGCGAAATAATACGCATGAAACTCAAAAAATCGACAAGTTTGATTCCACCCACTGTTAAAACCCCTGTATTGCTTACCTTCCAATAAGGACAACCGTAGAACTGCCGCCCTGGGTTCGTATAAGTACCCGAAGTTTTAAGAACACATGGGACGTTGTGCTCGCATCGAACAACAATCCTACTATTGGTGCTTGCTGATCCGGAATCGGCAACATTGAAATCCACCTTCTTTCCAGACCTATTCGACATGGATTCGGAGATGAAGGGTTGACCGGGATATGGAGCGGCTGCGCTGGGATTCGGAGATGAAGGAACGGCTGGGCGAAACTGTCTCGGTGATTATCTTGGTGTATGGAGCGAAAATGGAATCGGGAGAGGAGTTGGGGTGGAGAGGAGGTATCGAGGGAAGGGATTGAAAATAGAGAGGAGTCTCTGTTGTGCGAACCCTAGAAAACAAGAGAGGAAGGGAATGAAAACGACGGCGAGGCCAAGAGAGAGAGAGAGTGTCAATTTTTTTTTTATCCGATGTGGCGTCCACGTGGCTAAGTCCACCAGGTTGGCGATGATGTATCATCCATTTGGCGTACAGGTCAGCTAAACGGACACTTAACTGACGGAGACGTTAACTCCGTCAAATCTTTTAACGGAAATGGCTAGATTAGACAACGAACTTTAAAAAGTATGGCTACATCTGTGTATTATTCAAAAAATGGCTATATCTGTCAAAACCGTGAAAGTTATGGCTACACGGGTGAATTAATCCTATTTTGTATTTCGAAAAGTTTGGCTAATAGTTTGGAAAGTCTAAAAGGTTTGACTAATAAATTGTATTTACCCAAAGATATATGATAACAATAGTTTTCATTCATTACAAAGCCAATTGTAATATAAGGTTTTTTAATTTGACAAATCCATCAATAATAATAGAATCTCCATCAATATCAATAGCATACTCTCTCTCAAATAAAATAGCTAAGCAATCAACGAGAAATTATTAGCATTTTGTTGCGCAAATTAGTTTTAACATATTTCATTGCTTAAAATGTTCTCTCCATGGTAGCCGCTGAAACGGTCAAGGTCAACACTAGACGAATCAACCAACAAATCAATTTGTTTAGAGGATTTTCTTATTTCAATGAAACTTTATACACTCTTTTACATTTTAGACTTTTAGGTTTTATTGTTTTTTTCAAATGAAAATCATTCGGGCTAAAATTCCTAGACTAAATTGAGAGTAATGGTTTGGATATGTTCATCTAGACCATTTTCTAAATACACAAAATTTATTATCAAATAGCACTAGACCGACCATTAAATAATACTGGGACGAATACCTAAAATCGTAAAATTTATAAGCTCTATATTAGCTCTGGATCCGCCGGAGGGCTGGGCCGTGGCCTCGGTTGGCCCAGCCCTAGATCCGCCGATGGTTGGACGGATGAAGACACGAAGGAGATGTTGGACTGATGACGGTGATGATGTCGCGGAGAGGCAACGTCGCAACGAATGCTGATGGGCGGAAGCTCAAAACCCTAGACAATGATCGAGTTTCGCTCTAATACCATGAAGAATTTGATAACGCGGAAGATCGAAAGAAACAGAACACAAGATTTTATGTGGTATCCTCGGTAGATTGATTGATTGAGAATTGAGACTAATCCGCAGTGAGCTCGAAAGAGCTCACGACTGACGTTTTATTAGAGGACTATATTGTGATGGCTTACTTACGACAGGACCATAGCTAAGCTTATATAGAGATAGACGTAGGGTTAAAACCCTAATGAGAACCAAGTTTCCTTCTTTTACAATGACAAGTAAACAAGTGACATGAAAGACAAGGAATTAAGACTAAGTAATTAATATACTCAACACAGATCTCCTCTTGATCCGCCAAACAAATGCATATATCTAATCCAGAGGTAACAAAATGAGGGGTCCACCAAGCCGAAGTCCACCGTCCCAAATCCAAATATTGAAATCAGACTCTGATATCACTTATCGAAATCAAATGTTTCATTAGTACAATATTATCCGCTCCGGACCAATCCCGTGCAAATTTATTTTTGCATATCCTCTGCAAATGGCCTCATAACAAAAAGGGGAAATGGTGGGCTATCATTAAAACTTGAACTAGTTACGTTTGTTTGTCTTGTTGTTTTTGTCAAATTAGGTCACACATCATAGGAATAGAAAGTAATTAATTAAGGCCTTAGGGGCAGGGGTATATATACTTAGAATATTTTTATACTTAAGTCAATTCCAATTATTTCCTTTCCGTTTTGATTAGTATATGTTTTTCAGCGCATAATTTCCAACTACATAAATCCAGTTTGATGGCAGCAAAGAGCCAAAATAAACTAGTATGCGATCTCATCACATAATTTAATCATCCTCCAACTTATGGTGATTAGGAATATCGTAAAAACAAATATGAAGTTTGAAGGAAACAAACAGGAAAAAGAAGACTGGTGATTAAAGAAATGGCACAACAGCAACAGCTCATTTCCTTCCATTCTTTCTACCCATTGCGCCGAAAACAAAAGCCCATCCATTTTCCTTGCTGTTTTTTGCTTCCCTTGTACTTCACTTCTTGTTTATAAATGCTGTGGATCATAAACAACTTAAAAGCAGATCCTTCCTGCCTGCTGCCTAAATGAATTAATTCCCAAGCTAATTGCTGCTGCTGCTGCTGCAGGTGGCAGGTAGCTGGTATGGAAATGTAATCGGGGGAAGTTGAGTAGTCTAATACTTAAAATCAAATATTGATTATGATTTAGTTTGTTGTGATTCATGCCCTGATAATGAAACCCCAACCATGCTTTAGACCATTTCTCTTGATCAAAACCTTGATTTGATGCCTAATTCCACCATTAGCTCTCCCTCTAACAGCATACTGAATTTCATTAAATATAATACAAAATATTAATTATTATTATTATATGATGAAAGGACGGCCTGATGCATGTATTTGTGGCCGTTGCTTGTCATTTCGTTTCATAATTAATCAGATACGCATGCCATTGATTATGGTCAAGCTTTTCCCTGTATGAATTCAGATAAAGGTGGCTTTCACGATCTGTAGCTAAGAACCCCACAGATTAGCTTCATCAGCTATATATGTATTCACACCGGTACCAAGTACCAACCGTTCTGTATTACAGAAGAAAGGGAAATAATATTAAAAAAATGAGGAGACTATTGAGTTCTGTCCTTGTTCCTAATTCTCCGCACAACAACTTGTTTGTCTGGAATTTAACTATAGAAAATTACTAGACCGACCACCAACAAGCTAGCTACCACCACCTGGAGATATGTGGATTTACCAATGTTGGTTGATCACATGTATTACGATCACACATATTTCGATGATGTGTTTTTTATTTTGAATTTTTTCTTTTTCGAGTTTTCCGCCTGCTCGATTAAAATCCAAATGATCATGTGTGTTCGGATCGCGTGTATTTTGGCGATGTGATTTCCAATCTCTGTGAGTTTTCCGGCTATTCAACTAAAGGTCGACGAATCAAAGCGTAGTTTTCAATCACGTGTATTTCGGTGTGATGCGTGTTCTATTCTTGAATCCTTATTGATTGAACAATCTTTGTGAGCCTTACAACTATTCAAATAAATATTTTGTTTTGGCAATAAAGTCATATTTTCAATATGAAACCTAATTGGCAATCGAATCCAATTTACTCACGCATAGCGTAGAACTATTGTATTCAAATGGGAGTTTGACTCATTTTAGCTTTAACTTAGATCTTATATTGGACTGAAATTGAATTGATTTTAGGTTACATTGTTTCGTTTACCAATTCACATGAATAAAAATTGTCTTGTGCGGGGCTTTTGTTTTCTTTTTACCATATGACTTCGTATTTTCTTTATAAAACAAGAATTGAACACTAAACAATATAAGATCAAATAAATTTTGTGCTTGATTAGTGTAGGGCTGTCCGCTGCCAAGGGTAAGGGTGGGCGCAGTCCATACCATGTGCAGGCTACCAAATTTATTGATAATTATGGATGTATGGATGGATCACATAAAAATAATTGCAGAGATTATTAGAAGATCTGCTGCGTCTGACAAATGACACTACCTGCTGTAATCGGCCCAAAATAATGCTTATCTTCTCATAAATATCTACTGATCAATTTCAACACTAATGTTTTCCTTTTATTTTGCTGTTGTTTGTCAGTGTTATTGGGAAGGATGTTGGGCACAGGCGGGTCATAGTCCAACTTGACCAAAGCTATGCAAGTACAGCTGCGTTTCTGCGCCAACAGGAACAACACTAGGGATAGCAACAAAACCCGAACCCACGGGTACTCACCCGACTCAACTCGGTCAACGCGGATAAAATCCATGTTGACGGGTTTTGGGCCCGGTTCGGGTTTAAACCCGCTACACTATTCACCGGGTCGAGTTGGGTTTGGGTTTAGATAAACCCGCCCCATTGGTATCCGCCCACACACATATAATTACTTTCCTGGTATATTTAATATTCTAAATAATATATCTTCCTTAAACAACTGATATTCTTTATGTTTGTGGAGACATGTATAATTTGTTTTTTCTAATTGTTTAGAATGAAGTTGATATTATGAAATGGAGAGTGAAGAAACTTAGTTGACGAGGAAGAAGCTTTCAATTAATCTTATTGTTTATAGATGTTTATCTTTAATTTTGAACAATTTGCATTTGATCATTTGCGGTTTGCCCGTATGCTCTAGATTGGTGTTTTTTGTATGAATAATTTGTATGAGAACATTGATGTTAAACTTTTATTTTGAAAGAAACTTGTTATTGTAAATTTTTTACCACAAAAACCCACGGGTACCCATGAACCCGCAGATACCCAACGGGTTGGGTTTTCAAACCCAGCGGGTTTTACCCCGAGTTTTTTTGGCGGATAAACCCATGGGTTTGGGTTTGACAAAACCTGCTCCAACTCGACCCATTGCCATCCCTAAACAACACTCATCAGCAGGGCCGGCCCACGATATTCGGAGGCACTGTTCGAAAATTTAAAATTTGACCCTAAAATTTAATATAAGACTTCAACAACTTTAATTTCGAAAAGCTTCTTCATGCTATACCAACAGTCACAGGAATAGTTAATAAGATTCTATAAAATATGCTTGCATTAGAAAAACAATCAAAAAGTTTTAAAAATATTAAAATTTAAAAAAAAATTATATAAATACGTTGAATAATTCCAAAAAAAAAAAAATTAGCTTTACCACAAGAATTAGCCATATCACATAATGTCAAACTGTTTGTGCCCAAACAATTCGCCTTACTGGTCACACCTTAGGCTCCTTACCTTGGAGCCTGATCTTCTGAGCGCCCGATTCCTACTTAACAACCTGTAGGCGCCTCACCTTGAAGCCTGCTCCTTGGGGCGCCTTGGTCCTGCTAGCCAATCCTTAGGCGCCTGACCTACACACACGCACTTGGAGCTTGATCTTCTGAGCGCCCGATTCCTACTTAACGCCCTGTAGGCGCCTCACCTTGAAGCCCGCTCCTTGGGGCGCCTTGGTCCTACTAGCCAATTCTTAGGCGCCTGACCTACACACGCACTTGAAGCCCGCTCCTAAGTGCGCCTTAGTCCTGCTAGTCAATCCTTAGGCGCCTGACCTAATACACACACTGAGGGGGGCGCATGGGCCCATTAATCCTCCGACGCCCAAGTTAGTTCCAATTATAGAGAGAGAAGTATGAAACTATAAGTTTTAGTGAGAGAGTCCAACCTGTGTAAATGCTACCAACTGCCCCTATTTATACTCACTGAGCTCGAGGTGGATCTCCTCCATGTCACCATCTCATTAAATGCTTTGTACCTTCACTTCTGTCAGAAGCCCCAACCACCTTGTCAGACTTCTGTCGGCTGGCAGGCGCCCACAGGCGGGGGACCACTTGCCAGCCTGGACCTCTTTGACCCTTAGTGCTTTGTCTCCATGCCTATGCTGCCTGGAGTGCAATGGGCTTTGCGGGCTTCTTCTCCTGGCCCATTGCCTTGGGCTACTTTCACCTGAATGGGATCTTCTTGTGCCCCTTTAGTGATGCCCCCAACAATTCCGGGCTTCTTCTCCTGGCTCATTGCCTTGGGCTACCTTCACCTAAACGGGCTCTTCTTGGGCCCCTTTAGTAATACCCCCAACACAAACTATTTATTATTGATTTAGTTATTTTTTTCATTTATACTATTGTTGGCTTGTACCTAACTATTTTGGTTAACGTTTAATAAATCAATGTGAATTATTTAATTAATTTAGAATTACTTCCTTGGTAGTACAAGCAAATTTAATTGCCAAAATTGAATTATTTTCCCCCTTGGAAAGCTGAAAATGAACAAAGTTAAAACAATAAATTTAATAATGATAATAATGAGGTATCATCAATTACCTCTTTTGTTCTATTTTGGAAACAAACGACAAAGAATAAGATATGTTATATGGTTTGAAATTTTTTTTAAAAGAAAACAAGTATTCGCCTTATGTGATTCGTTAGTTCCTTTAACCTTCGACTTAAATGTTTTATTATTGTATTAGACCCATAATCAAAATCCAATTCATAAATTTTCTATCATTTTAAATTTATAATCAAAATCTAATAATCCGTAATAGTAATTAGTCATATACATAATGAAAGTCCGGAGGCCCCCAAAATTTGGAGGCCATGTGCCGAAGGACCGGCTGGCACACCCTTTGGGCCGGCCCTGCTCATCAGCATGGGACAGTTAACTTATCCATCATTTCCTTGACTTGCAAGCATGCTCTATGAAACCGTATTGTATCGGCAGTTCAACTACAAAATATTAGTATCAGAGAATAAATTGGTAGGCGGTCAACAGTACTACCAATTGAACTACGATTAAATTATGTTTTTGTCATAAAATACGCTATTGCTGTCTTTTCAGGTATGATTTCATGAACCATGCTTGCAAGAGAAAGCGAGATGGCATTGTGGATCATATTAGTAACAAGTATATTAATTATCGGGAAAAATTATATGTTTATTTAACTGATTCATTGTGATTTTGCTTTAATTAGATGGACACACATAGGGATAGGTTTCTGATCCCTGTACCTTTTTCCTGTGTGAAACAAGACAAATTTCTTTGCATGATTGTAAATTCGTATTAGAGAGGTTGTACCAAAAAATTTAATGATAGAGTATTTTATGATAAAATTGTGGTTTAACTATTTATGACGTTATAAATTATTGTTATGGTACAATTCAAATATTACATCGGTAATACAAAGGAATGAACCCCTGTATATAGGTGTCCACCTAGTCCAATTAGTACGCGACTTTTTGGGTAAGGAACCCAAAAGTACAACAGTACGTGCTTGACACGAAGCAAACAATATCATACTAATGAAGCTACCCGATTATAACAAGTGGTATGAGCCAAATTCGGTTCGGGACGGTGAACACTAATTCGGTTAAATTTCGATAAAAGATTTTTCCAAACCAACCGTAGGTGTAATACCGTTTCACTTTCACATGGCTTCTTTCTCTCTTGCCGTATGAAATGGGATTATTGGTTCTGACAATACATGAAATTTATGTCGGTAAATTAAGCTAGCTATTCCTGCAACTATTTTCATCAGACAAGCACCAACCTGACTTGTCCGTGAGTTTCTGGAAAGCTACAACTGGCAATGACTCAGTGAAAACATGCAAAACTTTCATAGGACCACTAAAATTGAAACATGATCACATGACAATCTAACACTTAACTGTTTCGTACGCTGGTTATTAGTCTGACTATTAGCTCATTTAACATCCGAATCATTCAAGACATCGATATTGTATGTGATCGTTTTGCTCAAGGATTTGAAAAATAATGGTTTGTGTTAAATTCCAAGATTTTTAAAATGAAGGATTAAGAACGAATGAGGTTCGTTTGGGATTTGAGATAATTGTCATTCGAATTAGAGATGGCAACGGGGCGGATCGGGGCCGGGTACCCCGGATCCGTTGCCCGCCCACCATGGGCCTCGGGTATCCCCGTCCCCGGCCCAAACGGACATCGGGCCATGTTGGGCAACCATCCCAAAACCCAATGGGTATTCGGGTGCCCGCGGGTCCATTGTACCCGCTAAAACATGAACAAAAAATTGAAAATATTCTGGAAAACTGGACTCTTCTCACTGTATTATTAATAACTGATCTGTCAAAGACTCAAAAGGACTTGAAATGAAAAACAAAAAGCTTGCCAAGCTGCAATTGTTGCCACTACACCAGCAGCTCAGCAACAACAACCAAAAACAAACATTTATTTCGTGTATCACTGATAGAAATTATCAAATCAACCAAACAACCAACATGTATCAGCAGACTCTGAATTCTAAATGTCTAATTCTTAAGAAAAAAACTGTATAATGAAATGTGTTCCAAGCAACAGCAGCGCAGCAACATTCCATCTAGGTTCCAGCAACATCGAATCATTGAGCAATCTGCAATCATCCACCCGACCACCCCTGACCCTCATTCCAATCGATGTAAACCAGCAGTCTAGCAGACATCAATTGAAACTGTGTAAAGAACATACAAGAGGAATGAATCAGTTAGTAAATGTCCAATGAATAACACGTCTGCATCAACGACAACAAATAAAGACCTTTACCTTGGTCCCACAGCAGATTACCAATCAGTCTTCATGGGCAAATGGTGATCTCATTAAGGTGAGTTCTGGATCTGAAAAAGGGAAACAATGCAAAGGTAAGTATTCCTAAATGAACTAATAAAAATTAGAACACACAATGGAATTATGGAAAAATGATCTATTGATCTTACCACCAGGTTCTGCCTCTTCCACAGTTGTATCTTCGACTGTCATTGTTGAGAAGAGTCCATCCAATGCCTCCACAGCAGCCTCCGAATCTGCAGAGAACCAGTTCAATGAGTACATATTGTTGTTAAACGTAAAACAATAAATTTGAGAGTTTTAGTTGCATGTTACCTCGTTGCATGTCCTCCATTATCCAACTCCTAGTACACATCATTGCCTCAACAGTCGAATAATGCAGCCTGCTCCGGTGAGGGTCTAACAACCTCCCACCAGAACTAAATGCACTCTCAGAAGGCACAGAAGTAATAGGGATTGCCAGAAAGTCCCTTGCAATTGATTGCAAGGTGGGATACTTCAAACCATTCAATTTCCACCACAAGAGCAGATCAAACTCTGCTGTGCGAGGAATGATATCCTCAGCAAGGTACATATCCAACTCAGTTGTAATCAAGGAAGTCTTACTCTTTTTCCTTTGACTTACAAAGAGTTCAAAGTCAAGTTCAGTGGCAGAGGCAGATCCAGAACCAGAAGAAGTTCCAGTTTCAGAACCAGATTTGTTCTCAGCTTTGGTTTGATAATCACGAATCAAACCACATATCATTTGCTTGATATTCTCAGCAACCAAATCAGTTTCTGTATTCCCAAACTTTCCAGCATAGTATTCAATCACATGGAGTTTATATCTAGGATCCAAAACAACCGATACAGCAAGCACAAGATGTATATCATCCCAATACTTATCAAACTTCATGGACATTTGACTAGCCATTCCAAATATCACAGGATTGGGATCAACACCCCACTCATTCAGTTTAAGTCTGAGATCACAAATCTTGGGGAAAAACAGATTGGCAGTGGGATATTTGGAACCAGAGAACAACTCAGTAATCTCAGAAAAGATTTCCAGCTTCCCAATCACAGTAGAAGCAAATTCCCATTGTTCACTAGAAGGAACTGATGTGTAATGATTGTCTCTTAAACTCAAACGAAAGAACACATCCTTGTAGGGAATAGCAACAGAGAGCATATGATAGGTGGAATTCCACCTGGTTGGACAATCAAGGACTAATTTTCTCTCAACAGACAGCTTAAGTTGCTTAGCAACTTCGAAGAAGGTTTGAACCCTCTTAGGTGTAGAATTCCAGTAAACTACACTCTCCCTAATCAAATTTATAGCATCCTTGATTGCATCCAAACCATCCCTTACAATCAAATTCAGAATATGAGCAGAACACCTCATATGAACCAATTTACCATCAAGCAACAAGTCACTGCTCAGAAGCTTATTTCTCATGTGGAAAATCATGGAATCATTGGTGGTACAGTTGTCCAATGTGATTGAGGACAACTTACCATCAATGTTCCAATCCAAAAGACAATCAAACAACCTATCAGCAAGCCTTTCACTAGTGTGAGGGGCTGGAACATACATAAATCTCAGCATTATGTTACGCAGCTTCCAAGAATTATCAATGAAGTGACCAGTTACTGCCATATAACCCCTTTTCTGATTTCTGGCAGTCCACAAATCAGTTGTAACAGAAACCCTCCCCAGATTACCATCAATAATGGTATGATATTTACCTCTTTCAACACCAAACAAACTCAAAATGTCCTTTTTGACAGTGTTTCTACTAGGAACAGCGAATTGAGGTTGAAGAGAACAGCAAAAACGTTTGAAACCCACATGATCAACAAGGCTAAGGGGGTACTCATGGACCAGAATCATTGAACAAAGTTCCTTCCTAGAAACCTCATAATTGTATTGAGAAGCAGAGAGTTGAGGATTTCCAGCAAGTTTATAGTTAGGGCCAAGTATTTTTTGAGAACCATCATGTATCCTCTTTTGGATACATGTTTTGATATGGCTTCTTAGGTGTGAAGTTCCATTACTTGTTTCCCCACCAAGGGATTTACGACAGTACTTACACCTAGCCTTCATAACCCCATTAACCCTAACTCGGTTGAAGTGAGGCCACACATCAGAGGTTAACTTACGTTGAGCTTCAAGCTCCTCAACATTACCAGGTTGTTCAGGTTGAGGTTGGACAGGTTGTTCAGGTTGGACAGGTTGTTCAGGGACATTGACATTGGAAGCAAGGTCAACATTTATAGCAGTAGGAGCACCTTCCATCTGAACATAAAAAATTTATGTATTACTACTTAAGCAGTTAAGCCTTAGTTATTATTTATTAACTTAGTTACATTCACATTTCACAATGACAAGACTACACTTGCAAACAAAAATCTTTAGCATCAAAATCACGATTACAGTTTCATTAATTTTACTTATTAGCATTACTTATCAACTGATTGTCACAACAGCATTATAATCAAACAGACAACACAGTGAGTTGAGGCTTAGGAGAGGAGGACGGGATTACCTTCTCAATTGTAGTTTTTATGTGGACTGTCGAGTACCCAATGACAGTAGATTGACCCTCACTGCTCACTGAAGTGCTCACTGACTCTGTTCCACTTCAGTTCTCGATACCAGATCCAACCTAGGCCAAACAAGAGTGAACAATTACAACGAACACAAAGCATTAGAACTTAGAAGTTAGAACTGCAATGCTGCAAATGAATGCATGCATGTCTGTATTGACACCACTAACCCATAAATTAATAAAAAGTATAGACGAGAGACCAAGCAACTTACCCTCGATGACTGGACTTTGTTCCACTTCAGTTCTCGAAACCAGATCCAACCTAGGCCAAACAAGAGTGAACAATTACAACGAAAACAAAGAAAGTTAGAACTTAGAAGTTAGAACTGCAAATGAATGCATGCATGTCTGTATTGACACCACTAACCCATAAATTAATAAAAAGTATACACGAGAGACCAAGCAACTTACCCTCGATGACTGGACTTTGTCTGGACTCTGGAGGCTCGGCTAAATCCCTCGATCTCTGCTCTCTCACTCTCTGTGGACTCGACTGGGGTGGTCTTGTTCTCGATTTCAGAAGATGGCGTGGCAAGAAACGACCCCTCCGCTCTGAATCCCCCCTATATATACCAGTACAAGAAGAGTTAGTATAGAGTTGGGGGAACGGGGAATCAGGGAAGATAGGTGAAAGAAAAGAAAGCAACCCAGAATTAACTTATCTTTTCGACTCGAAGAATCCGCGATTTGAACTTCGAACGCCTCGTTTTTGGACTGCGGCCGACGAAATCTTCGTCGGATGGTTGCTCTTCGCCTCTTCCAGCCATGCAATTGGTCGAATGGAGGAATTGATGAGGGGGAATGGCGAAAAATCGGCCAGATCGCGATTATCTAGCGATCTGATCCCTAATCGCTACAGAGGAGGCAGAGAGATTGAGAGGAAGAAGGAAACTAGGGTTTCCGTTTTTGGTGAAGAATGAAAAGTGAGGCGGCAGCTAGGGTTTCTCAAGGGGAAAATGGAGAATATATACTTCCTTCCAAACGCCGTTGTATTCAGCACGGGTAACCCGTCGGTCGGGTCGCGGGGCGGATACTGGACGAACCACCACCGCCCGAAACCCACGGTTGACGGATAACGGGTAAACCGCCACCCGTTGACGGGCCCAAAAAATCAACCATTCAAGGCCCTTATCGGGCGGGCTTCGGGCGGATACCCGCTTTTGGGCCCCGGCCTGCCAAGCCTAATTCGAATATTATATTTTAGGAAGGATTGGTTCATTTAGCATCAAGGATTTGGTTTCTTCTCTCATATCTATCCATTTGGGGCTGTTTGATTGATGAATTTGGTGATCAAATTGAATCTGTCATGTACTTTGTCTAATTTTTTTTTCATGTATAAGCAATAAATATGTGGGAATTGAATATAAATTTTGAAGTCCATCATTTGTGAGATACCTGCCTTGCATATTTCCTTTCTCACCTCATACCAACGAGGGCAACAAAATGTCAATTCTGCTTCATACATACAAATCTAATTAACAAAATCCATTATAAAATCTATGAAACAAATCTAATTAACAAAATCCATTATAAAAACTCTTCATTTTCAAAATCCACGAAGTAAACGAATTATGTGGGTTTTCCAAATCCTTGTGGTCCATGGATTTGGCATGAAAAAAAAATTCAAATCCATGGACACACATATTTGATACCCACATTTTTCTGCACTCAAACATTGGATCCGAACAATTCAGTTGAGTGTTGGATTTGGGTCCAAATCCTTGATCCAAAATGACTCGTCGGAACTTAGGACTCAACAATGGTACATTATTTTGTCTCGATAAAAGACCAAGACATCGTTGGTTTGCTTTATTTTCTAGACTTGCAGAAAAAGAACACAAAATCTAGTAGAAGATCGCCTGGAACCGGGGCAACTTGCCCAGTTACCGCCAGAGAAAGCTGAAAGCTACAGAGAAACCACAAGAGCAGAAGAGAGACGACCTTGCCCAAGGTTGCACTTGATGCATCTCATTATACTCTGTTCTGTACTTCTGTAATTACAGCTGACATATGAATATCAGTGGGTGCATGTACCACTTTGAAGCCAAAGAAGAGTGGAGAAACAGCAGCACGTTTTGCAGTCTGTCATTCCAGGGCGTCTGTCAAACTCGTCCCTTCATCGAGCAATGCAACAACCAATAAAGCCAAGGGAATGAAGCTAAGAAGCAGGCCTAAAGTTCACATGCAGATAGATGCCAAGGGAATAAGTAGGGATACACTAATGGTAGTAATATAACAATGTATAAACCCGAAGAAGAAGAAGAAGAAGGTAACAAATACTAGTTTCAATGACATGTGTGATCATCTATGAGTTGGTAATCAAATGAGGGTTGCATTCTCTGCAATAGAAATCGTTTCGCTCAATCAAAATTCTCAGCATGTCGGCAGTGAAATTGGGAGCATTAGGGTCACTCGCAGCGGTGGGCAGAGACGATGACTGCTGCGACGCTGGAATTGGAGGAGGAGGTGATGAACCTTTGTTGAAACCGCAGCAACAGTGTCTGAAACCGATACATTTACCTGGGGAACAGGAACAAGAACAAGAAGGCCGCCGCGACTCTGTTTTCTTCTCTGCCTTGGTCTTGGTAACCGCCGCCGCCTTGGCCAGACTCCTCGGGAAACAACAACCTAAACCGATTCCGGACCCCAGGTTCCGCTTTGCACCGTTGTTGAAATCGTGCCTTTTTTTGTTTACCTTCTTGTTCGTCATCTCCTCTCCCTCTGGCACTTGTTGTTGCTGCTTACAAGACCCATCATCGTCTCCGCCCCTGCCGCCAACTCTGCGAATCTCTCCTCCGTCGCAGTCGGACCCGGACATCAACAATGGCAAAACATACAGGTTGGTTGGTGCCGGAGATATTCTCAATGAATTTCAACCTCAGCCACGGAATTGGCAATCAGGAAGTTGGATTCCCACTAACCACATACTTCGTCGCAATCGGAAAGCCAGCCAATATGGGGCTGGCTTCTTTCCTTTTTATTCTTTTTCTTTGTTGCAGTTTTGCTAGGCACGATTGTCGGCCAAACAAACCGATGACCCATTGATTGGAACATACACCAACCAGCAACTTAAAACTTTGTTGTGTTTCCTCTTCCAGTATTCTTATTCCATTTGAGGCGGGGATGGCTTGTTATTGAAGTATATAACTTGACTTGTAATCAAGCACTGATTGAACACTCATTCGCTCCGTAGAAATTCTGCAAACAAACCACGTAAAATCGGTCTACAGATAAAGTAACCAAAACCTAATCACCCAACACAGCTAGTTAAGATGACAATCAAAACCTGAAAGCTGTACTACTGTAACCACTCTACATTGTTTATGGCATCGAACGTATTCGTATATCTACAAGATGATCAACGCACTATCAGCACGACTGACTGATGCAAATGTAGGGGAACATGAAACCAATGCAAGCATTCATCCAGATTAGCAATGAATAAACTATTGGCATAAAACAATACATCAAGTTTTGCTCAAGCACACATCATGTTCCTCGATTCTCTGGTGGAGTGCAGACAGTCTTCAACCTGTTCGCGCTCAGCACTTCCATGGTTTGTGTCACCTCGTCCCCGTTGTATCAGTTGCAGCAGGCACCTTTACAGGGTAACTGGACAAATCCATGTCAATGAGTGACATGTCATATGGGACGGACAAAGAATTTGAAGTATCAACGAGTAGAGAAGATTTCGTGGCATCAGAATCAGCAGCTACTGAAGTAGATGTGTTCTTGGGGGTGCTTCCCCCGGATGATGACTGACTGCTGAGCTGGATCTCGTCCAACTTGCTTCCTGGCAAGTGTTTGTTTCTTCTCGCAGCATCCATTTCTTGACCAGTAGGCACGAAGGTACGAGCTCGATACTTTACTGACCCCTCCTCACCTTCGTGATTATGATTGTAAAGCACGTAGTCATGATAAGTTGGTGCAAACTGAAACAGTATTAAACAAGTCAGTCATAACCAAGTTTTTGCCATTGTAGCAGGTAGGTATTGGTAGATCAACACTATGGCCTACCTGATGAACAGTGTCATGGTAGAAATCATTCAACTTCACGGCATGAGCAAGACTTCCAGTTAAACCACAAGATCCACCAATATTCGCACCAGCATATTCTTTGTAAGGAAATGCATAAAAATGACCCACAGCAGCTATAAGCATTTCAACACATATGATAAAATCCTGAAACTGAGCAGCTTCCTCCCTATTCTTAATAAATCCAGACTTTGCAGCGAGAAAAACCAGAACACCCTGCAAGAAAAAGGTGAAGGATTTGTGAACATGGCTTTCAATGTTTTAAGTAGCCCTCACAAACTTTAAAATCAAGGGATAATCCATTCCTTCGAATGATATGTCAACAAGGCAATGAATGCACAAATTAAAGCACTTATAGAACTATGACGTCCAGAGAGGTTCATGAACTCCACAGCTCCATCACATGTCCTCTACACAATTAAAAACGTACTGGTAGCAGGAATTAAAATAACTTCATCCTTCAGAACAGAAATATACAACTCTTTCACATCATAACTCCTAAAGTTCTTCAAGTGGCAGTCATGAATTACCACTGCTGACCATCATCTAATCTCACTAATCTGGCAGCAGTTAGAAATTTTAGAGAAGTGTCAGAACAAGGTTCAGTAACTTGTGAAGCCAAACTATGTGCAGTTGACCGGCCAGTATCCTGAGTTCCTGACTTCTGTATATATACACCAATTTGCTATTACTAACAGAGGGATATTGCACTTCCACTCAAGTACAAAAGATGATCAACTAGACAAACAAATGATTCAGGAAAGACAGCAACAATCCAAAACAAAGAGCCCATGCAAGCTTTGAACCAGACATGCAAGAAGATACAATAACAAAACCAATTCATTGGACAATATGGTGCCACCTAGTTACCTGCCAGTAAGTCAAGAAAACAACCGACTTGATCATAACAAACTTTGGAACCGGATTAAAGGGCTGAAGCAGATGCCGGCATGCGACATAAAATAATGCCAAGGCATAAAGAGCCATCGTGTATGAAATCGTATATATTATCGTGAGATACAGGTATGCTTGATCGGGACTGAAGTTTCCATCTTTGTATTTCCATTTTGCATACAGTATCAAAGTAACGGTGACTAAGATAGGCTTCAGAATCACAAACTGCAAACAACCCTGCTTGCACCTTCGAATAAATCGCCTGCGCCCAATCAAATGCATCCTCAGAAAGTTAATAGTAATAACAGTGATTATCCAGTTATGGAAACAGAAGATAAATTAATATTATAATTGGAAAAGAAAGTGCATCCTTTAAAGCAAAAAGAGAGAACCAATAACAAGAAATGCAGAAAACTTTTTTAGTTTTCAGAAACTTCAGACAGCGGCAGGAAGCTTTTTTTTTTTTTTCTCTTCTCATATACCAAAAGTCACAAAGGGAGAAACTGACCCATCCAGCGGTATGGGAGGGAAGCAACATGTCATCAAGCACCATGATGGCTTCATTACTCGGCCAGTTAAGCTTATAACGACGGAACCAGGGCCACCAACCCAAGCGAGGCACAGTGATAAAAAGTTGTAAATCACCCATGCTTCATACCTGAACCAGAGATCGAAGCATCAGCAACAACAATAGAAAATAGTATGGATGGACTAAATTCACAGCATTCATTTAACAACAATAACAAGCATACTCAGTAAAAGACCTCCAGCCTAAGAAATATTACTATCATTTGTGGGCATATTGCTCTCCTACGGTAGGAGGCAAGCGATAAACATTCTTGATGACTTGTTGCCACTTTGCTATATAACAAGGTAGAGCAGAGGTATTTGAAGAATGGATCAAATGTTAGGTGAGTGCAATCCTAATCGAGAACGAGATGCTAGAGAGATAAGTTATGAGAACAGTTTGCACAGTGTGGAGGTTCCATTTTCTGTAAATCACATGTTCCAAGCAATTGACCAAAATATATACCACTTTAATGTCCCAGTTAAACAGGTGGAATAACTAATTTTTTCTTCTATAAGGAATGATCCATATAAGTTCACATCCACAGTTCAACAGCAATAATCTTCAATTGATAATTTACTAGGACAAGTAAATTTGTTTAAGCTCTCTTATCACATACTATGCCTTAATAGTTTGCGGTTACACAAAATTCATGTAAGAATGGTATAACTGATTGGACAAAATGAAAATATCTCACAATCAAATCCAGTCAAAAAGATCCTCAGATGTGAAAGAGATCCCCAGACATGAGTAAGTGAACCAAGCATTAGTAATTGATCTACATAGAGCAAACTCAAACTATACCGATATGCATCCAGACTGTCACATTATCAGAGATAAAGTTCCTTTCAAGTAGAACAAGAAATCTATATCAGTCCCAGCAAATACAATGAAGACTGAAGGATTAAATGTGACCCAACAGTATTGAACATCTGTTCATGCCACTAGGAACTGTTATTTGACATTCTCCGTGATCATATTTTAGGCAAGCCAACGGAGTTCGTCAATTCATCCAGGGACAGAAGGAAACCTATAGTAGTGTGGCACTAGAAGAAATTTCCCCTAAAGACCGTGTCACTAAATGTGAACAAAGTCAATGACAATCCTAAAACTGTTAGGACTTACAGAAGGATGAACTTTACAACATCTGAGAGTTCATTTATAACCTTCACTGTGTAACAAAGAATAGTGCGTCATCACCGATGGCTGAACATAATGACACTAAGAACCACACAAACGTCTTCAGTGTTTTCTTTACTTTTCTTCGAGGTTATTCCTTTAAGTTACAGGTTATAGCCGAATCACGCCCAAGATAGAGATGCACTTCTATTCAACAAGGAAAACAAGATGATGTTCCAGAGGAAGGGGAAGTACTTACACTTCTCTTATGGAATTAAAATATATAGAACTCTGTGGCAGGATGAGAGACAAGAAAGACATCAATGCATAAACCTGGATATAAGAAAGAATGGATGTGGTTATAAACTCATACTGACTCTAAAAGAATATGTCAAAGATTCATTTTCAGAATTTGCAGGCAATCAAGCACGCAATTTCGAAACCAATAAGGAGCCAACAATGCAAAGGATCCAAGACGCATAAGCACAGACGCTACTCCAACCATGGAAATTTAGTCATCGAAACTGCTAAAAGTAGCCTACATGATTTTTTACACATAAACCAACAGCCAAACCTTAAAATTAACTATAACTAAATTTCCAACATGAGCATCAACTAATAGAATTCTTGGAGAACATTTGAGCAGTCAAGTATATTATTCCAGCTCTAAGTACTCCGCCTAAGCAAGGGATGGATGGCTAAGCCCTCAATTTCACAGCCAGATAAGCCAGAATTTCGGTTTCCAAATAGCTAGATATGAAGCAAGAACAATAAATTATGCATTGTAGTAAGGGGGCAGCTGAAAATGACGGGGATGAATGAAGATAAAGCAAGCAAGAAATGAATGAAGAGCAAACTGCACATAACAGATAGCATTGCCCAAATCAAACCCATATCTCAAGTAGGAAATGAAGGACTGAAAACAACATGATGAAAGCAAGCTGTTTGAGAATGAAGGACTGACCGGGACCATAAAGACCATACGAACTATAAATCTCTGGTAAGTGGGCTCAGTGTAATTCCGTAAGTGCCTGTATATGTGAGCAACAGCCAAAGCGATTGCACCAAGAGTGCAAACGAAGGCGATAATGCTGTAGTAGATTGGGACCAACTCCGCCATTGTGAAAAAAAGGGGAAAATGATCCGACCCCTGAGCAAGTAGAAGCTCGTAAGAAACCGAAGCAAATAAATAGATAGCTAGCAGGATGGAGAAAGCAAACCCAAGAGATATAGCGGTGAAGGTACAATCAAGTTTGCAAAACCACAAACCCTAAATCCATAGAATTTACGGCGGCCGTAGCAAGCAACGCCCAAGTAAGAAATGATGCTGAGTGTAGCAATGAATGAGAGAGAGAAATCATTTCGATGGGATTCCACACCTAGATAGAAAAAAAAAGGTCTGATTCCGCCGCAGACGAGATTCAACAGTGCTGCGTCTCAAGTTTCTTCGCCTGCGTATGCATCAACTTCTTACCTACGACCAGATTAACTTCGCGACCAAGCAAACCTCCTCCTCCGTGAATACTCGCGACTTGCCAACTTCGGCAGCTTCTCTATACATCCAAATGAGTTCGTTCCCCTGCGTCGCCATGGTTTATTTCTTCGTTCCTAAGAAGAAGAATCAGCAGAAGCTCGAGGCGCATGAAGAACAAGGGTAGACGATTCCCGACGTTACGCTGCCGTTTCGTACCGGCTTTGCGGGAAGAAAATGAAGTCCGGAAGGCTAATCTGGTAAATGTATTGTTAATTAATGTGCCGCGAGCGACCCAGGTCTGGAAGGTGGGGACACCGCTGTTGACAACCGATGGACTAGAGAAGAACGTAACGTTAAAGTCCGATGGCAGCGGGGGTTAAGTTTGTTCCAACTCTCTAAAGTCTAAACTCAAAACCCAACATCTATTTAAAGTAAATTAGTTTTTTTTTTTTTTCAATAGATCGGGAATGAAATAGATATTACAGGACGCTAGAAAACTAGACGCGACAGTCGGCACAATATCGAGCTGTCGATGAAAGGGCATTAGAAGCCACTAAGTGGGCAGCCTTGTTGTACAACCTCTGCGTAAAAGTACAAATAAAAAAATTAAAAGACACAGACGCCAAACAAATCTCTTCCAAGATCGCTCCACTTGTCGCATGCGCCACATCACGAGATTGAATAATAATGGATGGATACTTGTATGGTCAAGGGAAAACTACGTGCCCCTGCAAAAACAAACAAACACACAAGCGCCCATAGAGGAGGACAACTAAGCTCCACTGAATGGACTTAAACAAGCCATTGAGGCTTAGTCAGATACTCAGAATCAAAAGCTAACAAGGTCAAAAGAAAAACATTTTTTATTACTTTTTTTTACAATAAAGTTAATGAAAAGTTTATAAATACGAGCAGTTAAGGAAAATAAATTAAAAGATTTTAGAATTATAATTCTGGAAATAAATAAATATTAAAATTAGGGAGGAAAGAGAAAGAACAAGCGTATCTGAAACGGATCGCAGTTGGAATCGCCTCTTGATTTGTAACTGATGCTCTGGAATAGTAACCGTCGGACCCCAAAACTGAAGCCTCCTAAAGTGTAATTGCCGGCCGTCGGGATTCGCATCGTCGAAAGCAAACTTGGGGACGCCGGCGTTAAGGTCGTCGCCTTGCGGGTGGTTGATGATGGTCCCTGGCCTGGGATTAAGCTCGCTGTTAGCGATATCGTCGAACATTAACACCACAATGTTCTCCTCCTTCAATCCGCAATCAACCCACGATGTTCTTCTCCGCCTCTGGCCACTGCCACCATGAGATTGGTGCAAGCCCTGGGGGCCCAGATCACGAAAACTCCAGATATGACGAACCTGATACCCCCGCCCGAGCTCCGTTTCAAGGAAGTTGTTGCATGAGATGGAGGAATCATCTAAGTACAGACCTTCCAAGTTTGGCCATCCTTGATTCTGGATGCAGGCAGTGATATGAAAGCCTTGTAGTGTAAGTCGTCTCAATTCTGGAAAGGCAGAAACAGAGAAGCATTGATATCCGGCTTCGCTTGTGAATTGATATAAGAATCGTAGGGATAATCAAGAAAGAGATCAGTAATTTTCCCCGTGACGGGATCGCAATCAACTCCATCCCAGTGGCAACAGTCGTCATCGTCGGAACGGTTTGTTCCCTTTCCGCTCCTCCAACTGCTCAGAGCAGAAGGCCATCAAGTTCAGGTTAAGAGCGATACACGCTCAAAGTAAATTAGTTTTTTATCCGGCTAAATCCTAGCATTGATTGTGAGCGGAAGAACCACTATTTCGAGATAATTGTATATTCAAATTGCTGATAGAACATTAATATTATTTTATTTTAATTAAAAATTATTAAATACATTATCAAATTTTGAACAAAATATTATGGCACGTCTAAAGTTTTTAAGTAAATATATTCTATATCAAAAAGGAAATCATAAAAAAAAAACTAATAGCCCATTCAAACAATTTGTTATTGATATTAGGCATAAATTTTTTGTTGATGTGGCATGAAGTCAAAGCTTGAACCTGACACATGGATATTTGAATTCATTTTACAAACTAATTTTTATTTAAATAAAATTAAATCCTCCATTAATATATGGCAGAGTTTTGTGTACTTTTCTCCATTTCAAATTTCCTGCATCGAGAGTGAAAGTAGGAAGGTCATTTTTGTCTTTGCACATTTATTATTTATTTCATATAAAAATAACAATATCAAGATTTGAACCCGGGTCTCTTCAAACAAAGATAACAATCACAACCAGTTACACTAAACAAATTTATTGCATCATTTTTTATACAAAAAATAGACAAAGTCAATCTTTGAAAATCATAGGACTTTTTCATCATAATTAGCAAGCTCACTAAGTCTACCGTATGTATTTTTATCGAGCTTGATACTTCTATTTTCATAGTAGAGTTTCATGTAATTCTCTCAAATTTAAATTCCCGCTCTCTCCTTAATTTTTTCTAAAGGTAAATGGGTAATTGGCCAACATGGAAGAAATTGATTATGTAACAACTGTTGTATCCTTGCATTTTTCAATTTAAATTTAAATTTTGTGTTTTTTTATCTTTGTTCTTTTCTCTTTCTAACTTCCTCCGAAATTTCATCCATCGTGCAATAGTTTGCTCCTTTCACTTCCCAGTACAAGACTGTCATTGAAAATCAATCTTCAGGTATCTCTTGGCACTACGGTTTTATTGTTGGGGATTTTAAGCTGGGCGAGTAGAAGATTTCAACTGCGACATCAATTCATAGCGAATAGAATGGAGTTCATCAATAACTGAAGCTGTAGAAGGAAGATTAGAAATTGAATTTTTGGTTGAATATATGCCTCTTGAGATAGAAATTTGGTTGTACAACGAAGAGTGGTGGCTATTGGATCTTTAGGTTTATGGTTTTTGGAACTGTCATAACCTATTTCTATCTTAAAACGAGGAATCATTGATTGATTGTTTGAAATAGGTCGCTTCTTTTTTCAACCTACTGGAACTAATAGATAAGGAGTGTCTAATTTTGCGCCTTATTACTTTGATCAAGTCTATTCGTATATTGGAGATAACCCTGATTTTTTCGTTTGCTCTCAAGTTGTGATGGTCCCCTCTTAGCTGAGTTTTTAATATATAGATGACTTGAATCAACAACTCTCCATTTCTTTTTGATTAGTGACATATTGTTTCTAAAAGGAGAGCATTGAACCCTTTATATAGGATTGTGAGGTTTAAGATTTAGTTTCAAACTATCTATGGGTTGTGTGCGAATTTCAGTGAGCTTTTATACTCTATATTTCTTGACTATCAAAGAAAACTAACCAATAGCATTTTAACAGGGACTTAATTAGCATTATGAAAATGGGGTCAATGATACATTTTTATATTTTATATTCTTAAATAATTATGATATTTCTCCGAATGTTCGACCTATATATTATTTCTTTATGTATCAACTCGATCGAATAATTATCAATAAGATTAAACGGGTTAGTAGACTTAAAAGTAACATAAAAATACAAATAATCAAATATGAGCATTCCGGCCAAAGGGCCGGGTTATAAACTAGTAATTAAAAAGGAACCCTTATATTTTCCGTTTGAATCTCTCCCCGTAGTTCATTCCTTTCCACTTCCATATCCTGACCCCCGACAAAACCCAGCCCAACGTCCACCACCAAACGATTAATCACAACCTTCAGTCGTCGGTGTCGACCCAATCATCGTCGTCGCCTCATCACCTGTTGTTCGTTGTGCCTTATCTCTTGGCGACGTGATTCCGTTAACTTCCGTCGAAATGTAAGCGTCGAAAAGTCGAGTCTTTCCCAAGTCCTTTTTGTTTTTGTGATTGAATATTCTCCCTTTTATAGTAGTTGAATCGAGGAATTTGCTTGGGAGGACCATAAGGGACCATTAAAGAAATCGTCACGATTCTGCCCCTGAACTAAGAGGTTAAAAAATGAGAATATTGGATTAAATCGTCATTGTATAGCTATGTTCTTTCTTACGACAAGCAACTCATGTGAATGACTATTAATTTGTCACTTGCCATTGTAGATGACTGAGTTTCTGGATGTTCAATACCATCATGGTGGAGTGATGGACTTCTCTCAGATTTGGAACCAAGATATGTTGGTGGGTTTTCTGTGAACATATCAGTGGATGTTGATGAAATGTCATAATTTGAACTGTTGAACGTGGCTACAGTCCAGTTGAAGTATGTAGGTGTACGGAAGATATGGTACTTGAAATCGGGAGCAACAATGACAGATGGTCTACGTGAAATACGTTTTGATAAGGATGTGGAAGGGTTGATTGTCGATGCAACCGAAACTAAAGAAGTTTCCGTATTTGTAGATACTATTGAGTAGGATGATCATAGGCGGAGTCAACCCTTTGGGCATTGTATCGTGACAGGGGTAAATTCTGGGAGTACCAAAAATACTCCATATATGTTTATACTAAGGATGGAATACAATACCCAGTACAACGTATTTTGTCACTATATCACAGCTCATTACTTATAATAAAATCGACATTAAATTAATTTATTATACTATAAATGAAATTTCAATGGAATAGATCCCTATTCTATTATTTGACCAACAATCTTGAAGCAGTCCAGTGGCAGCGCCGATTCCACTAGTTTTGACAGCAAGTGTAGATAAAATATTTTCAACTTTGAGCTATATCAAGAACGAACTTTAAAGTTGAATTCACGAGCAGTTTGCTAATGGTTGCTTAGTGAGATCCATTGGAAATGACTTACTTAAGAGTGTAGGCAATAAATGTATTTTGTGTTTCTTTCAAAATATGAAAACTCGTCATGGTTGTTTATGAAGATACCCATTGTATTTGTCGTTATTTTTTATATGAAAATAAAATATTTAGATATTATTAATTCAACTATATTTATTAAATATCTATATATTTATAATACGAAAAGAGGACGAGGTTAGTTTCAAATCCTGCCTCCGCCACTAAGGATGATGGACTTATGGGAGATAATGAGGAGCTGGACGTGTTTCAACTTTCAAGGTTTACCGGAGGGTGTTAAATACATATATGAGAGCTCTGTTGCAAGGAAAATCATCAATGTGTCTGCCCCTGGTGATTCCCTCGTGTCAACTGAGAACAATTTAGCATCTTGTCCCACATCATATGATTGCTCTGGGGAAGAAGTTGACCAGTCTCGTGTATCTGAAGATGGGGAGGAGGAGCCTTCAAAAGATTACTTGGAGATGGAACAAGAAACATCTTATTCTTCAGACAGAATATCTACACCAGGCAATCAAAGTGTGTCGAATGTTTTCAATGAGGAGCCCGAGGAACGGTATGCAAATCTGCCATTTTATGATCCTGATTGTGATCATGAGGAGTTATTTTTCAAGGTTGGGCTTAAATTCCTCACGCTTGAGCAGTTCAGACTTGCTGTGTACAAAGCATTTTGTTGATATTGGGGCAAACGTGGCATGCACAAACAGCAACGAAGGTAGGCGGGAGTTTAAGTGTGAGACTCCACTTGTGAGTGGAGGGTACATGTTGCTTGGTGTGTGGGGGGGGGGGGTGCAAGTTTCATGGTTAGCCAGATTGGGAAGCCTCGCACTTGTTCTAGAGCTATTCGAGTTAACCTAGCTACTGCAACGTTTATCGTACAACATTTTATTGAGTGGATTCGAGTCAATCCAAAATGGTAATCGAGCCTTATTGCGGAGGTAAAGGAAGAATCAGGTGTTGACGTTGAAGTTAGAACATGCTACCAGACTAAGGTTATTGCTAGGGAGATGTTGAATGGAACACTTGAGGAAGAGTATCACATGTTGAGACCGTATATGGCTGCTTTGAAGGCATAAGATTATGTGGGACGTTTTGTTCTAGATGTTGTTTTTGATGTGGCTGCAGATAGAGTGTATTTCAAGAGGTTCTATAGTGGGTTCTCTATTCTGAAAAAGGTTTCCTCGCTGGTTGTAGGCATATTTTCTCAATAGATAGTTGTATTCCAAATGGTGAGATAAAAGGTATGCTACTCACGGCTTTGGCAAAGGATGGGAATAATCACATTCTCCCATTTGCATGGGTTGTTGTAGAGGTAGAGAACAAGGATTCATGGACTTGGTCCTTAGCATAATACAAGAAGAGTTACAGTTTGCAGATGGGCGGGGATGGAGTATTATTTCGGACCAACAAAAGATATTGTGACACTTTTGTGATTTATTACAATCCCGGTTTATTTTCCTAGTCGGTTTTTTGAATCACGTTACTCTACTTTTTGTCGGGGATGGTCGAAGCAATTCATGATATAATGCTTAGCGCATAACATAAGAAGTGATCTTGACAGGTGAATGCAAATTGGAAGGCAAAAAACAAGAATGATAGAATGCAGAGCCTATTCTAGAAGGCGGTATACGCTTACAATGAGGCAGATTTTAAGGCTGTCACAGCTAAAATGGAAAGTTATGAACAAGAGCAGACCAATGAGAAACCGTGCAAGGACTTCATGGATTAAGACCCAACCACCTTTTGTCGTACTTTTATATCCATAGTCATGAAGTCCAATAGTGTTGAAAGCAACATAGGTGAAAGTTGGAATGGTGTGATTGTGAAGCACATAGAACAGAGGATAATATATATGCTGGAAGGGATAAGAGGCTACATGATGGTTCAGATGAAGAAGAAGCATAGAAAGTTTCAAAGAAACAGACGACTGATATTTCCTCTAGCTTTGACCATCTTGGTTGAGGAGGATGTGAATGCAAGGAAGTGCCATGCACGTGCTAGCACCAACAATATGATTGAAGTGCGTAATGGGATATCATCATATGCTGTTGTTTTATGTAGTTGTTCTTGTGGGGCTTCGGAACTGTCTGGAATCCCTTGGTGCCATGCTCAGTTGTCCATTGGATTGATGAGACTCACTGTTAATTATTTTGTTCATGAGTGCTACCTCGTGTCAACTGCTAGGAAGGTAAATGCTTGTGAAATGCCATGTATGGGCGGACCACAAACTTGACCTAGAGCTGAAGGCTTTCCAATCTACCCGCTGAAGCAAAATGCAATGGCGGGGAGACCTAAGAAAAAAAGAAGAAAGGAAGTAGCTGAACTCGAGGTACGGATACTAAAGAGTGGTAAGAGTGTGTTGATTGGGCGAGAAGGCATGGTCATGCATTGCTCCAAGTGCCAAGGTACAGGACATAATGTAAGAAAGTGTCCCAATCCACCTTTTCTTCCAAGACAACCAGATATGGATAATTTCAAAGTTGGGAGAGGGCAAAAAGGTGGGAGAGGGCGATCCATTGAACCCCAAACAGCTAAAACAAGACCAAAGGTTATAGTTCACCTCATGAACCAATCAACTTGTTATCTCCTTGCATTACCTAGTGGTTTTTTCTAATTATTTTTCACCAACAGAGGGCAATCCACAATTCTACTTGTAAATAGCTGAACCATAGTGCAAGAAGTTGTCCAATCAAGGAAGGAATTCAAGTACGAATATATTTGTTGCAATCTACTTCCCGATTTTGCCTTTTAATTCTCGCGTATGTAATGATGATTGAGTTTGGTTGGTTGGTTGTCTAGCATGCCAGAATTGAGGTTTGGGATAGGAACCAAATTGCCAGAGATGGCAGAACTGATCTAGGTGGGATTGTCATATATACAAATGTTACGAGATCGGGCCATCGTAGCATTTAGTAGGAGACTGGGCTTGCATATCTTTAGTATTTTATTATTATTACATTATTGGGCTATTATTATTATTGTCTTTATTATTGTTTTCCTTGTTTGTATAGGATTTGGTTATTTGTTAGTAATATCCTTAGAGGTTTAAGGGAACGACTACGGTGCTAATTGTACAATAGTCAGCACCGTCCTAACCAAGGGAAAAACTACTACTAGTTTGAATTAGTAGTGATTTAGCTTAGATGTTGTATTGATTTTATAATAATCCGTAGTGATTTTTGCTAGTTATCACGGTGCTAACCCCTATAAGAGTTAGCACCTAATCCCATCCCGAGGTTTAAGAGTCATAATCTAGATAGGTAAAGGTTGAGGCTTTGTGCCTAAAAATATGTACTTGGTCTTTCATTTAATGGATAAGAAGATTGGAACCCAAACCTTTAGCTTTCATTTGTTATTTGCTATTTCCTTTGAAAGTTCTTTGTGTTTTATTCCTTTTACGAGAAAACCCTAAAAACGACACCCCCTACATCACATTAGCGTAAACAGTTGGTATCCACTATCCAGAGCCCGGCTCTCGGGATGTCGAGTAAGCAACAACAACCATCAAAATCCAGGGGAGCGGACGGCAGCAGCGGTGATGGGTCAGAACCTAATCACCCCAGTCGCAACCGCACACCATGGAGGAGCGGATTGGGAGCGTGGAGGGTCGGCTCAATCATTTGATCCAGAAGCTCACCGACGTCACAAAGTTGATGGCTGATGGCTGGAACCCAATAGTTGGGACTTTGATTACTAGGCCGATACAGTCCATGGTTGGACCCGAGGTGGGTGTGAACCCCAGTTTGGGGCAACTAACGGGCGGGAACGGAGGATCGGGACCCATGACCATCTAGGCCGGGTTTCCAGGTGTAGGGGAAGGTCCGCCATGGTTGGGCTTTTAACACGTCAATGGAGGAATGGGCTCAACAAGCAATTGGGACGGAGCAAGTGGAACAGGGGCCCAAGGAGGACATGGCAACAAGGCCCAAGGAGGAAGAAGCGGCGGACAGGGAGAGAGCGGGATGGTCGATGACGGATTAGGCTGGAATCTGCAACCTGGCTTGGGTAGTACGTCTGTGCTGCCAACCGGGCCGACAGGAATGGGCATGGGCCTCAATTGGTGACAGATGCCTAGCGGGGGAGTCGGGCCCGTGGCCGTCTGGGCCGGGACCACACGCGCAGAGCACTAGCTAGCAAGGAGTGGGCCTGCCGCGAGTGGGGGACTGCGTCTGAAGTTGGAAAGGCGAATATGGGACCGAGCGGCAGAAAAGAGGAGAAAGCAGGTGGTTCAAACCTGGAATTCCCCAAATACAAGGGCAATGAAGATCCATCCGGGTGGTTCGCAAGAGTGGAGCAGTTTTTTCGGTTTCAGGAAACACCCGAAGAAAACAAGGTGGCTCTTGCGTCATACCACATGGAGGGAGATGCGAATCAGTGGTGGCAGTGGCTGGATCGCACATATGCCACATCGGGGCTGCCGATCACATGGGCGAGGTTTAGGGAGGAGCTATGGGCTCGATTTGGCCTAGCATAAGGAGCATCTATGATATGATCCCAATTGGATCAATCCACAATTCACGATTACTTGTTAAAGAAGCTATCTCACCTCACTTAAAGAATTCTGATTTTTGGTTGTGTTGAAACAGTTTCAGATAGCCTACTTTGGAAGCTTGTATCTCACAAATGGCTCAATGGAAATTGGAGATCAAGAGCTTGTTTTACAGATAAAGTTGCCATGTTTTCAATGGTATGCTTTTTGGATCCATATGATGTCATTAAGGTTGTTTTCCATGGCCTCAAAATTGCTACCTCAAAACTGGAAAACTGCCTGAAAATGGCTAAGGCAGAAAACTGTTTTGTGAAGCCTACTTTAGAGCTCAATTCAAGGAGCATGGAGGGGATTCAAGTCAAAGGACTTCCACGACATGAAACTAGGTATGTTAATGTACAAAGGGAAGGAATTGGATGAAGGATTGGAGTTCGGGAAGGCCTCGAACGAAAGGCATGAAGTTAGTACGAAAACTGCCTTTTAACTGTCTTGCTGGCAGCTTACTTGTGCGCCAAGAAAGGAAGTTTGTTGCCGCGTTTTGTACTGTTTTAAGAGTTTGTTTTCACCTTAATTGTTTCCTAGTTACATTAGTCTTGTATTAGGTTTTATTGGCTATAAATAGCCTTCTATTTTCGTTATAAAATTAAGAGTTGATTGAATTGAATACAAACCGAGTGTTTGAGTTCTTGAGTTGTGTCTCGAGAGTTTACCCATTGTCATTAGCTATGAGTGGATTGCTTAGCTAATTACAAGACCCTTGTGAAGCTATTCTGAGTGGAATCCAGAATCGTTTAGCAAGTTCTCTTATTAATCGATAAATCACCTCGATTGTGGCGAGAATTCTACCTATCCATCATCTATCGTTCGATTGTTTGTGTGAGCTGCGTATTCTGATCAAAAGCACCCCCCCTGGTGCTTTATCATCTAGCCACGAGACTCTCGCCAAAATTAAGCATATTGGATCATTAAACGACTATTTATTGGCATTTGAAAAGCTGGGCAATCGTTGTTTTGGGTGGACGGAAGAAGCCTTGGTGGGATCATTCATTGGAGGACTTAAACCAGAGATATCTTATGCGATTCGAATGTTCCGACCAGAAATGGTGTGGGAGGCTATTCGTCCTGCCAACATAAATAATGAAAAACTAAGAAAGCATCGACCAATGGTTAGAGGAGCACCACGACAAGGGATGGAGGCTGGGTCATCATCGACGGTTACACCAACACCACCGACACCACCTCGACAACCAACGGCATGGCGAATGTCGCCATAAGAAGTCGCTCGATGACGCGCACAAGGATTATGTTTCCACTGCGATGAGCGCTTCACCATTGGTCATTGTTGCGCCAATAACAACGTCCTTCTTATGATTGGCGCATGCGGTGAAGGCGAGGATGGCACGTTCATCGAGGAGGAAGACCAACCTTGAGGGCAAGGTTGTGATCAAGGAGGGAGGGATGTTACGAGATCGGGTCATCGTAGCATTTCGTAGGTGATTGGGCTTGCGTATCTTTAGTATTTCATTATTATTATATTATTGAGCTTTTATTATCATTGTTTTCCTTGTTCGTATAGGATTTGGTTATTTATTAGTAATATCCTTAGAGGTTTAGGAGTCATAATCTACATAGGTAAAGGTTGAGGCTTTGTGCCTATTAATATGTACTTGGTCTTTCGTTTAATGGATGGGAAGATTGGAGCCCAAACCTTTAGCTTTCGTTTGATATTTGCTATTTCCTTAGTTATTTCCTTTGAAAGTTCTTTGCGTTTTATTCCTTTTACGAGAAAACCCTAAAAACGTCATCCCCCTACGTCACATCACCGTAACAACCCCCAGTGGGACCACTCACCACCCCCGCCACCACCGACAGATGGGGTTGACGACCTCATGGAGCAGATCGACTCCAGTAAGCTCGAGTAGGTTGTACTCGCTGCTCGTTTTGTGTTGCTTTTGTTTTGGTTCGGAGTGCAAACTGGCTTTTGTTTGGTTTATTTTCTTTTCTTTTGGATGTTGTGCTATGAGGCTGACATTTGACCTAACATATCTGTGCTTAAGTCCTTGTGTCTTCTTTAGCCTTGCCATAGCCCGACTGGTCCCATTCTAGTCCGTTTCACTCCGACCGGTACACCTTCCAGTCTCATTGCAATCCGCATACCAGTAGCATCGGTCCCCTTATCCTTCCCTCTTCTCCATTGACGGAAATGTCGAACTTAAGTGTGGGGCGGGGGGGGGGGGGGATGTTTCTATTTTGACTATTTAGATCTGTTTGTGTGTTTAGAGCCTAGTCCACTGTCCAAATTTCGATTTGAGGGCTCCAAGTACGTGTTCCTTGCAAATTGCCTTCTCGGTATGCTTTGAATTGACAGTCTCTATAGTAATGTGTAATCTATGGAGGTAGTGTAGCACTATGGAGGATGTTGAAGTATAAGATTTTTCCTATCTATCTCTCTGCTGTGCAGGTTGATTTTGTGAATTAGTGGAGTTAAGACCGTTGAATTCATGTGGTATTGGTGACTCCTTTTGGATTGTGCTGTGGACTCGTGTATCGAACAGGGGGCTCATATGGAAATGAAAAGCAGTTGGTCCTCCATGTCGAAATCATTGAAATCTTAAACATGGGGTAAGCCCAACGTGTGTGGCACCGTTCATTGCACAAAATTGGGTTTTGGAAGAGATTTTAGTGATCCTTAGTGGGGTACTCCTACAAGGTGAAGCTAAGCTGCCTCTAGTACGAGTAAAATTTTCACCCGTTGAACGGTTTGCCTACTCAAGGATGTGTTTTTAAGGGCACGGATAGAGCTTCCGACTATTCTTAATTTCATTGACCCTTCACACGAGTTGAGGAAAAGGAGTTAAAAGAAGTACTCTGTGAGTGTCAGATGTATAGAAATTGCTCTTGCTCGACTAATAAGGGTCGACAGTACAAAAGACTGCAGTTGGAACCCCCGCCAAATGAATGAAAAAAAAACATAAATGTAAAATGAAAGTGAAAAAGGGGTTCCAACGGTGAAATGAAGTGAAAGAGCACCCCGGTACAATGAGTCCTTGGTTGCGAATGGTGTGGGTCCCTTTACCAATGAACTAGTTGTCTTACTTCCACTTCTTCTCATGATCCTTGCTTGAGTCTAGTACTCGCATTGAGAGAGATAGGGGACGTCTTAGAAGACCAGTTGACCTCGTAAGCTGCTATATGATCTAGGAAATCCACTACCGATGATCGGGGTTGTTTGTTTCTATAGAGGTCTGGAGAGCTGCATTGGTTTGAGTTAGGTTTGCTTGGGGACAAGCAAACGGTTAAGTGTGGGGGAATTTGATAGACTATTGATTGCAAACGATTTCACGCTAGGTTGTGTGTTTATGTCATATTTCAGGACTTGGCATTGACGTGAAGGCGAGGAAACGAGTTTCGGGTCGAAAGGAGGACGTTGGAGTAGAAGGGTGATGGAAGAGCAAAATACCCGGTCATGAGTGAAAATATCCGGTCGGGTAAAATGCAATGGGAGGCCGGGGAAAACTTTTTTTGGACGCCAAGAAGCAGGAGGGGTCCCGACCTGAGAGCAAAAATACCCGATCGGGTATTAACCCCTATGGTGTTGCGCTGCGCTTCAAAATCCCCGGTCGGGCACCTGAAATACCCGACCAGGGATTATGACCGGGGATCACGTTCTGCTAGTTCTTAAGGAAAAGAAGGCCAACTTTTGAAGGCTTCCGAGTTTTAGAGAGACAAAGCTGATACCTTGAGAGAGAGTGGCGAACCTGATTCTTCAAGCGCCCTAGATCGACCTTCATCACCATTGGAGCCCGGTTTGAGCTTGGAGGAGTGCTGATTGATTGCCAGAAGCAGAATCTCATCCTTCACAGTCTGGTTTCCGCATCCAAGCTAGATTTCCCTCCTCTCTCTATGGAGTAACTTTCTCATTCACCTGGGTATGAAGAACCCTAGATTTGTATGTTAGATATGAGTGTATGAAATGCAGTCAAAATCTAGATTTTGAATAAAATCGAAAACTTAGGTAGAATCGAAATCGTAGATTAAAATCGTAAAATCGTAAGATTTTAAGGTTCATATTAAAATAAATACTTAAAACACTAAATAGTAATAAAAATGCATATCTTGAATAACAATCAACCACATAAAGCATAATTACTTCCCAAGATAAGTTTGTTTGCTAAACAAACACAACTAATCCATATATTTTTCTTGTACATAATAGAAACACACAAATAAGAAACTTGAAACATTATAGATATCACTGTTAATTAATTGTTAAGAGTAGAAAATCACATAAAATCGTTAGGATCAACATTAACATCACTTACACATCATCGTCATCATCCTCAACCTCACCCTCACTCTCATCGTTTTTATTTGTTTAAGGACTAATATCATTACTCTTATGATCACTTGAAGTACTTTCACCATTAACCATATTTCCTTGATTACCATCATCTGGAAAAGATAACTCATTGGTTGATGCTTTCCCTTCTTAATTGATAAAAGGTCGGGTTAGTGGTGCTGAAGGATTGGGAGATGAACAAAAGCTTGCAATGTAATGGAGATTTGGATTATTGTGAGGGTGGTGGGGACAAACTACAAGTTAATTGGGAGGGTGGAAGATATCGTTGATGGAAGGAGTTGGGCGCCGACGTGCGAAGGAGGAAGATACGAGGAAGAGAATGAAAATAAAATTGAGGGTTAACTATCAGGTTGGGGTTGTGTTGTTCATTATGTTGGGTTGGGGAAAGTAAATTTGACTCGTTTCATGGGCATAACCCAACTTGACCGGCCTAATTTTGATCCAATTGATATGAACCTTGAAATCGTACAAAATCGTAGATTTTATGGATTTTAGAGTTTTAAATCGGGATTTTATGGGATTTTAAGGTTCAAAGATTTTACAGTAAAATCAGGATCGGAACCCATAGGTAAGATCGTAAAATCGTAAGATTTTAAGATTAAAATCGGGATTTTGACTACATTGGTGTATGAACCCAAGTATGATTTCAGTGATATGATTATATTCAATTGAGCTTTGATTTCTTGAATGGCATGAATCCTGATCAAATTCCTGTTATTTCTGCTTTGACCTAGAAAGAGAGTATCTGCCTAGGTTGATAGAGCAACCTTGATTGAAGGTAGTGAATTGACGACTTTAGTCGAGGAGTCAATTCATTATTATGTACCGGATTTACTTCGGTAAAGGAGGTTTGGTTCGTTAGGGCCTCAATCTGTTTACTACGTTGGAGGTTAGTCGCCCGCTGGGGACTCAGATTGAGAGGGTCTGGAGACCTTTAGCCGAGACTGCAGACTGTTTAAGAACCTCCCGCAGTATAACTATCATTGAACTTGAACTTGGTAAATTACAAACTGGCTTGACTGCAGTTTAGGGGGAACCATATCTGGGTGACCTCTCTCAACTTGAACACAACTTTCACAGCTTTGCTTGCTAGTTTAACTAAACCTTCACTACACTCGAACCGCTAGATAACAAGACTTTCACGGAGTAGTCATCACACCTAGGACCCGGGTTGACAATTAGAACTGAACCCGCTATACTACGCATTAGTAGGTGGTTACACTTGGCCACTTTCTAGTGTGACGGTAGAGGCGTGTCAGCATCTGTCAATTAATTTTTTTATGATATGATTAACAAAAATGCCTAGTCAACCTATCTTAACTCGTAAAATTTTATACCTGATCCGCCAAGTCATTAAAACCCCAACTCACCCCGAATGAAATAAGGTACTTAACCAATAACATCAGGAAATTTAGACACCTCACGAAAGATGAAAAGTGCCCACTCTTTAGAGAATATAATGAAACCAACATCCTCTGTCTGAGGGATTGCCCGAGTATAAAAAGAGTATGGGAAAGAAATGTGCCCGGCAGCAACAACATCTTTTCTTTACTTGTCTTAAGAAAGTTGACTGCAGAATACGATAGAAACAAAGGAGTCATGAGAAGACCCGCGAGAATGGTCCAACTTCTTTGCGCTCATCTGCTAGTACATCTAGAAGCATAAGAATGATTACATTTTCAAATTGGCCAGAATATCAAATCACACGCTCATCGATTATAACATTACGAAAACTAAGGATTGGACCAAAATATGGAGAAAGGCTGCTGATTCTAAAAGCCTATTGACTACACCAAGAAGAGAAGAACAACTGATAGGGTGGGCTTCGCCGTCGACAGGATGAACCAAGCTCAATACGGATGGCGTCGCACATGGAAGCCCAAGAATGATGATGACACGAGGATGTCTCAGGGATAATGACGGAGACTGGTTAGGGGTTTTTTGTTGCACAATAGGTACGAGCTATGCTATTATGGCGGAGTTGCGGTGGATTCACCACGGAGTGGAGCTAGCTTGGAAAAATGCCATCCAATGGCTCATTATTGAAACAGATTCCCAGCTGGCGATTGAATTGATTAATAGCATAACTGACCAGGTACACCGTACACCCCCACTCTACATTGCTAAACGCGATTCACAGAATGTTGGCTCAAAGTTGGATAATTCGGTTAGTTCATAGGCATCGCGAGGGGAATAGAATCGCATAATAGCTCTCGAAGCACAATCTCGTCTATCCTTTTCAGAACGTATGAGCTAAACGAACTTCCAGTTGACCTAGAGAGGATCCTTCGATAGGACATTTTGGGGATCAGTTTCCCAAGACAGGTGCTGATAGACAACAACAAGAACTCTATGTATGGCTAGGCTGTTTTTGTTTCTAGTTTTCATGTTGGTTGCTGATTTTTGATAAGTTTTTGTAAAGGGGCGAACTTGTTTTCCCTTGTCCTGTTACTTTCCTCCTGACATTAAGGCCTCCTCATAATAATAAAAAACTAATATGCTAACTAAGCATTTATGTTAGCCACGTCAACAAATAAATAATCTATCTATCTATATATCTATCTATATCTATCTATCTATCTATACTATATATTATGGTAATTCAAAAAAAAATTCTTGCCACATAAGCACTTGGAGGATCCACAATTTGCCAAGTTGGACAACTTTTTTACAAACAAAAAATTAGTTATTAATGTATTTATGGAGCTACCTCTCTCTTCTTTAATATTCCCATTTCTTTTATCCAATTATTCTTTTTCATTTATCTATTTATTCTTTTTTGTCTTTAATAATAAGTTACATGTTGATAAACTTAACCAAACACACATAAATAATAACTTTTTTAAATAAACAAAATATAAATAAGAAAAAAGAGAGTGACATATATCACATTTATTTAAATAAAAATATCTGATTAAAACTTATGAAATAAATTTTCTACTCATTTTTACTAAAATTCAATGATAAGTTACATTTTGATGAAAAAATAGACAAACATACACATAAACAATTATGTTTTAATCGATTAAACCAAAATATATATGAAAAGAGAGAAAATAAACATTTGTCATTCAATTACCTTTGAAAAATAAACTAAACTACTTTATATTTTGTTGCAATGAAACACTCTCTTATTCGTACAATATATATCTATAAAATAAAAAAGTATTATTTAGAAAAATATCAGAGTATAATCTTGATCGAGTAGTTACAGTTATTTATTTAAAAAAATTTCTTATTCATTCAGATCATGTTCTACCTTAAATTCCTCAAATGAAGAGGAATCGCATGTGCAATAATTTGATAATGTGACCTAAGTTCACATTAATAATATTTGCTCTATATCATGTTGATTGACAAAGCTCTATTGAAGTTCTAAGTCGTATGCTAAGAAATTTTCTTTCAGACTTGGAGTTATCTTCGACGATTATAAATCAAAATTTTCAAAACGACTTAAGTATGATTGTTGACGAACTTTGACTTCATACCCTAGGATGAGACACAAGATTCTTGAAAAATAATAGATGTGAAGGTTAGAAAAATCTTTGTTCAGAATCTACGATAAACATCACGTTTCATCAACTACTAACATAGGCATTTACCAAATAAAGGTTGGCAATTTTTAGTAAGATCGTCAATTGGGATAAACATATTTATCCAGCAATCAAGTATCTTTATCCAATAATCTCAACTCTCAAAATTGGTTTTCAGTTCGTCTAGACTCGAGAAAAACGAATTAATATATGTTGTATAAGATAATAAGTTAATGCAAATAATCAAATGAAATACACTGATATTGTTCAAATAATAAGACATTTTAAATGCACTTAAAATATGTGTGTATTGGAGACACTCTTTATCAATTATTAATATATAAGTGATAAAATCTTTGAAAATTACACATTCAACGACCATGTTAAGACCAAAAATCCTCGATAGTGTGTGTGAGGGCCTTAGATTGAGATTCTAAGTCAACATATAAACAATGACCACCGGTTGAGGTTTAGTATAAACTTCAAAAATTAACAATGGATACATATTATATAATATACTAAATTTAAGTGTATGGATAACAAAAAAAATCCAAAATGGAAATGAGTCGAGATTAGAGAATTTAGTCATCATGAGGGCTACAGTGTGTGTCAAGTTTCAATATGGATGAATAAATCCAATAATGAAGTATCTTTACTAAGAATTTCTCACTAAAAAGTCTTAATTTTTACAACATTGGTCGAGAGTTCGTCCAAACTCAAGGATCATGAATGTGTATTGGATTTACAAAGGACCTAAAATCCCAATCCCTTTCGAGGGCTAAATACCTCTGATCACAACCATAGGTGCTAAAGTAGAATGAAAAAGAAGCCAAAAAAAGCAAAAAAGAACATAACCTCTGATAAGATGAACATAATAAAACCATATCGAGCTATGATCCCGTCATCCCTACCTTTTTATATTTTATATATCGAACAATAGACAACCCCAATGGTTCTATGGCGTTATGGGGGTAAAAGCGAGATCTCTAGATAATTTTGAGTGTAATATACACACACACATATATATATATATATATATATACATGTATATGTAATATCAAGGTATACTATACTTTTTATTTAACTCAAGATATGATAGAAGATAGGTATTACGAAGTATGTGCATAAATTAGAGGTTACAGAATTAGGGACTAGAGTTCACCTATTAGAGGTAGGGTATAGTATAATGCCCCAAAAAAATCCGGTTAATTCGGGTCTAAATAGTAAAACTCAATGGTTGTATGGTAGAATGAACGGAAGAGTATAACGTACTCCTGGCGCACGCTAGCTTGAACTATATATATGTGTGTGTGGTTTAGGTTGGCGTACGCTAAATATTAGTGTTTTGGTTGACAAATTTTGACATAAGTTCTAAATGGGACGTGACAGCGACATAATTTATGGTTCGAAAACCGAAGCATCACAAGTGAGTGTGCTAAATATTGGAAATTTCAATATAGACATACTACAAACTCTGTTACAAAATATTTAGAAGATCCAAAATGATTTAAACATATAAATTATAAAATAAATCTCTCCGGCCAACGGGCAGGGTAAAAAGCTAGTGTTATTAATAGAGATTGCCGAAAGGTAACAACTGATAACCAGGGAATGGATCACATCACATCAGTAACCTCATGTGAGCAACCATGAGTAACCCAACAAGGATCCGCCACATCAGCGCTCATCTCTCTCTCCCTCCCCCTCTTATGGAAAACCTTTAATATTTTCCTCTTTAATTTTTATAGAACGATTTCTCTCGTTTTAAGTAAAAAAAATTTGGTACAAAAAGATCATATTAATTGTGCTCTTGAAAATGATATACACTTTGACATATTTTGGCACGAACAAATGAGGCATTTTGTATAAGTCTATACCATGGTTTTATTGATTGGTATTAAAAATAAGAGCATATCATATGGTATGAAAGCCTACCATGGTGATATGAACATACCAAGACTGTAGGTTGGTTGAATACATGATATTAGGAGTATACTAATTGTCATTTACGATTTTCAACATTGTGTACCACAAGAATCCACCCCCATACTGGATGATATTTTTTGGTCCTGTATTTTGTTCACTCATAAATTTATAGATCCAATATATAATGATGAACTCGTTTCTTCTGTGCAAATATTTTAAAAAACGACTTAAAAATGAAGGAGATACTATATGGTATGGAGTTGGTAATGAGAGATGAATTTTTTCTCTGAAAAATATTGAAAATAGATATCATTTTGTAGAGCACAATGAATACGTTCCATATGTGCAATTGTTTTTTTTTTTTTTTTGAAATTCGAGTTTGAACGAAGAAGATAAAAGCTAATTAAGAAAACTAGAAAAAATAAAATGTTTTTAATTTTCCACCATTGAATCTGAATTTTCTGGGACCACTTTTAAAAAAGATACAAATTAGGTTACTCGTGAATGATAACCATTGGTTATTGACATTATCTTGGTTTCGATAATTAAATTACGACTACTTAATTAATATTATTATTGATCATAAATAAAAAATATATTTTTAATGACAAACCGTAAAACAATTTAGTAATTTTGGTGATTAAAGTTGTGATTTACATTTACCCCTTAATATCTTAAAAAAAAGAATTTTATAACTGGCCGGATCGCTTTGATAGCGTTGTTGAATTGCCATTGAGGCCCGGCCCACACAACTGTAAAGATGGTAACCATTCAGCCAAAACACAATAACCATGTGCACAGATAGTTGGCGCGCATATGAAAAGAAATTCAAAATTTCCCGCACAACTCCGTAAGTTTCACGTGACTGGCTGGGGGGAACTCAGAAAACTGAAGTATGAGCGCCCGCCGCCCGCCCTAAATCCCAATTTTCCCGCTGAACCAACTACAGATTCGAATTCCCACCCCTTTCCTGTGGCGCCAAAATCCCTCATTTTTGGTTTTCCGGATTTACAATAAGGGCTCCGTCCTGTGTTGTCTTCTCTTACCCTACTCCACCTCCCATTCTTCACTCTCCTCTTCTTTTCCTCTCGTGTTCTCTCGGCAGCGGAACAGAAGCCGAATAAGCAAAGCCGCCTTCATTTTACCGAACAACGATGGCGGCAAAATCAGTGACCCAGGATGCCATCCCCACTTTGCTCTCCAATCCTACGCCCGACTCTAATTCTGATCTCCCCGAGATCATCGTTCAAGTCACCAATCTCCAGCCTAAGGGCAGAGCTTACGGGTTCGTCTCTTGATAGCTTATTTTTTAGTTTTTCTTATTTCAGTGTTGATTTGATAGAGATCTCAGAAACGCTTGTCTAATCTTATAATTAGATATGGAAAGGTTTTTCTCGTTCTGATGTTTTCCATTTCCCCTTGTAATCTCTCAGCTTTCATTTCCAGCTAGTGAACGACTGTATAAATCATGCCAGTGAATTCTACGTACGATTTGACAATAGGCATACAATCTTGTGTTGTTTACTTGATTGGAAAGCTGATTTGGTTTGCTGTGGATTTGCCTGTAGCTTTGATGCCAATGACGGAAAAACGAAGCTGAAGGCTCTCTTCAACTCCCGTTTTTCGCCCGAGATCATCTCCGGAAACGTTCAGAATCTGGGTCTCATCCGGATTCTCGATTACACTATCAACGAGATCCCAACCAAAGCTGAGAAGTAAGTCAATAATTGACACCTGTTTTTCTCAACCTAGGGTTTGGTTCGATTATACAACTTTTTGACTGTTAGTTTTGATTCGGGGTCTTGCTTTTGGTTTTACGCGCAGATACATGATTGTGACTAAATGTGAGGTGGTTTCTCCTGCGCTCGAGACTGAGATCAACGATGGCCCCAAAAATGAAGATTCAGGAATTGTACTGAAACCAAGGCTAGAGAACGAAATGAAAAATGAAGCAATGGAGATTGATTTGAAACCTAAGCAAGGGACTGTTACCAAATCAGCTGTTCAAATCGTTAATGAACAGAGGGGAAAGTGAGTTCGCTTTGCTTTTACTTACTTCAATTCTGTTCAATTGAAGTCTTAAATTGTATTTATGTTCTCTATGTATATTGTGGTTGCAGCATGGCTCCTACTGCTCGAATGGCGATGACTCGAAGGGTTCATCCTCTTGTCTCTTTGAATCCTTACCAAGGGAATTGGACCATCAAGGTCAGGGTAACCAGCAAGGGGAATATGCGCGCGTATAAGAACATGAGAGGTGAAGGATGTGTTTTCAACGTGGAGTTGACAGATGAAGATGTAAGTTTTGGTTTTCCTTTTGGAAAGAACACTGCGTTATATGGTTGTTTTAGTTTCAAGCTTTGCTGGCAATGGTTGAAGCAATGAGCTTTGTCTACTGTAGGGCACCCAAATACAAGCGACTATGTTCAATGAAGCTGCAAAGAAGTTCTATGACAGGTTCCAGCTGGGAAAAGTTTATTACATATCCAAAGGTTCTCTCCGGGTTGCCAACAAGCAGTATAAGACTGTTGAAAATGACTATGAGATGACTTTGAATGAGAATTCTGAGGTCGAAGAGGTTGCTAGTGAAGCAACTATGATCCCCACGACAAAGTTCAATTTTGTTCCAATTGATCACTTGGGTCCCTATGTTAACTCCAAAGATCTTGTTGGTGAGAATACTTTTCCTCTCGCGTTTGAAAAACATTATGATCGCATGCTTTGTTGTGTCCTCTTTTTACCGATTGACCACTGCAATGTTAATTTCTCAGATGTCATTGGGGTGGTTCAAAGCGTGTCTCCTACATTGAGTATTAGAAGGAAAAGTGACAATGAGCCTATCCCAAAGCGTGATGTTACCATCGCAGATGAGAGGTCAGTAATTCTTTTATTCAGGTTGTGCTGCGTAGTTTCTTTATTTGTTGTGGTGTGGTACTCAAACTATGGCTTTCTGGAATTGCAGCAAGAAGACTATTGTTGTTTCGTTGTGGAATGACCTTGCTACTGGTGCTGGTCAGGAGTTGCTTGACATGGCTGACAAGTCCCCAGTAGTTGCTATCAAAGCTCTCAGAGTTGGTGACTTTCAAGGTAATTGATGGTAAAAATGTAATCTATCACAGGAAGCTGCCTTGATTCTTGTTTAATGTGAGGGAATGATATGGCGCTTCACTAGTAATGACTTCTATTTGCCATTTCAGGTATATCTTTATCAACAGTGGGTAAAAGCATGTTGCAGATCAATCCTGAAACACCAGAATCAAAGAAGTTGAGATCATGGTAAAGAGTACTATGCATTACTTGCTCAGCTTCAGCACACTGCCTCTGTTGGCTATTCCTTACTGGGGGTTTGATTTTCGTTTGATTAGGTATGAGTCTGATGGGAAAGATAGTGCTATGGCACCAATTGCCTCTGGATTTAGTCCTACTATCAAGAGTGGAGGACGGTCCATGTACACTGACCGAGTCCCACTTACTCATATAACCAGCGATCCATCATTAGGTGGTGATAAGGTATAATTAGGCAAATAAAATGTTTACTTTTGCTCCTTAAAATACTTGCAAAGGCTGGGTTCATTTCTTTGAATGTTATCCGTGGATTAAAAACTGGGTTCATTTCTTTGAATGTTATCCCTGAATTAAAATCTTGGAGTTCATTCTTATTTTGCAGCCTGCATTTTTCAACATCAGAGGCTATGTAAGCTTTATAAAGCCTGATCAGACAATGTGGTACCGGGCCTGCAAGACTTGCAACAAGAAAGTGACCGATGCCATTGGTGGTGGGTACTGGTGTGAAGGGTGCCAGAAGAATGATTCTGAGTGTAACTTAAGGTCCGCTTGGCATTCTCCGTTTCTTTAGAAAGATGACATTATGTTTGGTCTTCCCTTTTTGACATTATTGACATTGAAATCCATCCATTGCAGGTACATATTGATAGTGAAGGTATCTGATGCAAGTGGTGAAGGATGGGTTTCTGCATTCAATGACGAAGCAGAGAAGATACTAGGTTGCTCTGCTGATGAACTTGATCAATTGAGATCACAGGTACACAATCAAATCCTTCAGAAAAAAGATTACAGCTTTTGACAAATGTTTTGTGGGTATGGCTTCTGATCTTTGTTTTTGGCTGTAAATTCTATATTGGCAGGATGATGGGAGTGCATACCAATCAAAGCTGAAAGCAGCCACGTGGAACTCTCATTTATTAAGGGTTGGAGTCACCCAAAATGAGTACAACCATGAGAAGAGGCAGAGGATCACAGTTAAGGCCGTTAGCTCAGTTGATTTTGCTGCTGAATCCAAGTTCTTACTGGAAGAGATCTCAAAGATTAAAGGGTCTCAGTAGGGTTGGGACGGACCTGTTTCTAATCTAGCGTGGCAGTTGTTGGTTAACTAGGTTAGGCTTTAAGGTTGGTTAGTTCTGACTGTCTATCTGTAAAGTCTTGGTCAATTGCGAGTTTTTATCTCTGTTGGACACTTTCAATGTGAAAAGTGAAAAATTCCATCGGTTTTCTATTTTTCTCTTAATGTATGGTCTCAGTAAACACCCAAAAGTTAGAATTGTGTCGGTTCGGCTAGTTGGTAGTTGGACTGATCAGAGCGGTTCCACTTCTATATTTGCATTAGTTTGGTTATAGTCGGTACGGTAGGGTTCTAGAAAGTTTAACCAAGTGAATATATTTGACCGAGTCTGAATTCAAGGCTGGAGTTGAGGAAAAGATGACGAGGCAAGGACCTATCTTCTCAACCTTTTTAGGACTTTCAGTTTTATCCACTTCCACATTTCACAAATGTGTTACAAGCAAGGTTGTCTACCTTGGTTACAAGTGATCTATCTCATTCATTCCCTTCATTTCCTTCACATTATAATCCCAACAGTCCCCCAACTTAGGGGTGAACAAACACACCTGCAAACACCCACCCGTCCAACCCGATTCAACCCACCCGTATTTATCACTAAAACGAAGGTTTTGGGTTGAGTGAGGGTTTTCTTTTGTACAACCCGCCTCTTTTGGGTTGGGTTTGGATTTTGGATTACACAACCCGTAGAACCCGACCCAGCCCGTGTTCCAACTATTAGTATGAGTTCGTATCTAAAAAAGATTTATGTCGTATATAGCCATACTTATGTGAAAATTAAGATATTTCGCCATGTTTTTCTATCATGGTCTCCCTAATCTAATGCATTCTTTAACTTAAAGTTTAGACATAAATTGAATATAATTATGATTCACGTAATCCTTTTTCTTGTGTACAATTTTAATTGAATAAAATAATATGGATGCATTTGTTTATAACATTTTCAGCCTATTTCAACAAATATCGTGAAAAAAAACTAGACATATGTTGAAGTAAATCACATTTTATTAAAACTCAAACAACATTTGTGAATTTTGATATCTTTCACCTCGGTTTATTTGTTTGAAATTTTAATTAGTTATAAAATATTTTTATGGTGTATAATAATTATATATTTTATGTTGGGTTGGGTTGGGTTTTTACTTAAAAATATCGCCAACCAGACCCAACCCAATTAGAAACAAACCGTATGGTTTAAATTTTTTTGGGTGGATTTGGGTTTGATAATTCCCAAACCGTAGTGCATGGGTCGGGTGATTAAAATGCTTAAACCCGAACCAACCGACCCATGTACACCCCTACCCCACGTGAATGAAGAATGGTAAGTTTTTGAAAACTATTCAAAAAATTGTGTAATTCACAACTTAGAATTAGTTTTATCGGAATAAGTAGGTTTTCTTTTGAACTTTTCTTAGTTAACATATATCGAGTGTACTCATCTATTGGTAGATGCAATATCTTTGAACCGTAGACTATTTTGTATATAAAGATAATATATTTCTTACAACCAACTCTTAGTCGTTCATTGGTTATCATTATTATGTTCATAACAACCATGAATACCTTCCTATCTCATGAGTGGTTATAGAACTAGACTTTTTTTGTTCTCTTTGAAGCAACTCCACCTTCACATTCACATAAGTGATTTCTGAACGTGTATTCCATAAATACACTATTTGATCAAGTTCCTATAAAATTTGTTAGCTTTATCAGTTTATCCTCATTTATAAACAATGTCACGTCTTTAGAACGGATTGAAGAATGTTGATTGTATATGCTCGACCAACATACATAACTTTATTTTCTCCTTGAAGCTAGAGCTTGCAGTCGCTAATCTACTCGGTAGACTTACCGCCATGATAAATTGTTATAGGCCACAACCCATTACTCTAGAATACTTTTCAATTAACTCTCTATTTACGCCTTTTATTAATGGATATGACATCGTATTATCATGATCGTACATAATCGATCAAGATAACTCCTAGAGATTAGTTATCTAAATATGCCATGTCACTGATGTATTTGACATTACTTCCCTTTTTACATAGCACTTTAAGTCATTCTAGTAGGCAGTAGTTGCTCTACTGTCAGTCTGTTACAATGTATTCTTATTGGAGTTAGTGGTTTGGGCCATATTGGAATGTCTTGCAATAAATCTCGAAGCCACTTGGCTTTTTCATTAACTAAGTCCAAAGTTATGAACTCGGATTCCATTGTAGACCAGGCGATGCATATCTCTTGATCGTACATGATTGACCTTGATAACTCCACCAGATATTAATTGTATAACTTTGTTATATTCCGCATTTACATGACATGGCTTCTCTTTATACCAAACACTAATAGCCATTCCAATTGCCACTTGTTATAACAATGTATGATTTTTGGGGTAATTTGCCATTGTCACGCTCTAGGCTCAATTGTCATGGCCTTGGGGCCATGAGAATTACCCCCAAACTGTGACATTGTCATTTTCTTCACTTTTTGGCATTTTTCGAACTCCAATCGTCCCGAAACTCATTCTCGATCTTCCCAATGTAATAGGACTTGAAATATAACAAAAGAAGCACAACCTACCGTAAAATAGGTCGAGGGACGGTGATTTACCAAGTCAAACAATCTAGAAATGAGGGATAAAACATGTGTAATTATGCCCGCATCACTATCCACTCATATTCCATAGTAGATTGTGTGATGCCAATTTTTTTAAAATTTCCAAGACATTGACCTCCACCAATCTTGAACACATATCCTATATCCTTGAGGGATATGGCTAAATAAGTTTTGTAATGCAAAGAAAATATTTAATATGTAAAAAAAAAATCCAAAACATGGCCATCCAATGTGTGTTATTCATATTATGCTTGGATCGACTCGTTTACTAATTGCACACACAATATGTGGTCAAGTACCATTGATGATGTATATTAAACATCCCAACACTTGTGCTTAATTTGCTTGATACTTATTTCGCCCTAGTTCTTTGCCAGAGCAAGGTTAAAGTCGATCAATATCTTTGCTTCTTTGAAATTCAAATACTTGAATTTATCAACTATTTTCTCAATATGGCGAGACTGTGACAATGTTACAGCTTGAGACATCCAATAATTTTTTGTTTTTGGAATAAAATCGACAACCCATAATAGATGATTAGATTTCTTTCTATCAATCCTGAAATCATTTGACATCGTTAACGCTTTAGATTTAGCATGTCATTGTTTAGGTGAGTAGATTTCTTCATTGGCTAGTGAGTCTGATTTACTTCGTTTATAAGCCTATTGTTTTAATGAGAGTTTGACTCAATAGTTTCAACATATTCTTACTAAATACTATGTAGATTATCATGCTCTGATTCTTAGTCTCAATGACCACTGAGTGCAAATTAATGTGGAACTCCGTCATAAAATCTGTGTGGTGTCGTTTACTTTTGCAGTTATGGCTTGTGAGTTACATTTTGCTATCTTTTTCCATACAACATATTCAATAGTATAATCAACTCGTCATGATGCGGAGACGGGCAAATCTTAAATAATAATAATAATGGTATAGAATAGAAGGAGAAAGAATGAAAAGTTTGTGAATCATCAAAGTTTTAACATCTTGTGGTTAACCGCAACAACAAAATCTTCATTATGCTAACCACCGACTGCATCTCAATGATTTGTAGTTAACCACTAGTCACTACGGTTTAGTGCAATTTGGTTGTGGTTATCCGCAAAAATTGATCTTTCAAAATTGGAGGTGTGGCCGACACCAACAAATCCGCTATTGTCCACTAGAATGTAATGATGTACTGTTGTGTTGTTCATGCAAATGAGATTTTTTATATCTTAGTGTGAGGATTTTTCGTTTTCAAATTTGGTATCTGAATTTTGTTGGAGAGAAGAAAGAGATAGAACATTTCTACATTATAAAATGCAAATTAATTTCACACAGAATATATTATGAAATATTATTATAACTAACTATGATGAACGTAAGGTACAACAATTGTTAGCTTCATATGAACATGTGATTATAATGAATTTTTCAATTAACCGTATTAACCACAAAAAGTAAAACTCCCATTTCCATCCCACTAACCCACAAATTGAAATGAATGGCTATTTGTCGCCCGTAGTTTTACTATTTGCCGCCCGTAGTTACAAAAATATGACGATTTTGCCCTTGCCTCATTTTAAAACCCTAAACTTATCCCAACCCAACCCTTCACCTCCAACCCTTCACATCCCAACCCTCACCTCCTGCTGCCCAGAAGCCCCCGCCAGCCAGACACCTCCGCCGCCGGCGCCGTTCAGAGGCCGCCGCTCCCGTCGCAGACCCAAGCTCCCGTCGTCGCCGCTGTTCCAGTCTCGCTCGCTGTTGCCGCCGCCGACCTCCCAAGCTCGCTCTCGCCGCTGTTCCAGTCGTCGTCGCCGTCTCCAGGTAATTTTTTTCTTCATCTGCTTGACGCAGTCCGCCTGGCCTGAGCGGACGCGGTCCGCCTGGCCTGGTCGGGCCGTTCTGATTGGGTTTGGTTGGACCAGTCTGATTGGGTTTGCACAGTTCGGTTTAATTACATATTTATTAGATTTATTTTAAATTCAATTGTTGGTATCGTAATTATTTTAATATTGATAGTTGAATAATTAGTATATAATTGTTGGTTGTATAATTAGTATATAATTGTCAGTTGAATAATTAGGATATAATTGTTAGTTGAATAATAAGTATTTAATTGTTAATTATATAATGTGTTAGTTTATTAATTGGGTAAGTTTAAATAATTATTTAAATAACTATCTATCGTATTTAGTAAAGTAACTATCTAGTTAAATTAATTAGATAACAAATAATGCGCCGAAGCCTTAGTAAGCACCCCGGCAGCGAAGAGAGAGAGGAGGATGAGGCGGTGGCTGCATCTGCTGCAGGGAAAGCAACAACTCCAGATCCGGCGGTTCTTATATCTCCACCATTGTCATCCAGTCTCGCTGAGTTTCCGCCATCGTTGTCAGGTCTCGCCATAGGCAAGCAGCAGCGGGAATCCTCCTAAATCCACCTAGATCCAAAATGTATGTGGGGAAATCTTGGCAGAAGAAGATGGCTGCAGAATCGGATTATGGGTTCTAGCTGTCGTCGAGTTCTGTCTACGCCACACCACCGGCCAACAAGAGAAGAGGCAGAGTGGGAGGGCGTGCAAGAGGCGGAGCTGAGTGAGGCGGCACCAACCGAAGCGGATCTACGCTAGCAACAACAGAGGAGGAAGCATATTTCGATGGAAGCATAATCATCTTTTTACCATTGTAGATTTATTGCATTCATAGTGTGGATAAACCGCAACTTCCGGTGCTACGTCAGCCATGGCTATGCCTTCGTGCGTGAGAGAGATAACCAAGCACTTTATTCCTCATCTCCCAGTGGAATATGCTTATGGTGAAGAATCAATGGTTTTCTAGATCGGAGATGAGGGTTTGCTAGATCGAAGAAAGAGGATTGAAAGGAAGGGGAGAGAGAGGGCCCCAACTCAGTACACGGTAGGAGAAAGAGGGCTTGCTAGTGAGAGGAAGGATTGGGGCATAGAAGCTCTTGGGAGGAAAGATGTTGATGAAAAGAATGGATATTTTCTGGTATTGGGACATAGGAGCTCCTGGGAGGAAAGATGGAAGATGAAAGAATTAGGTTGAGTGGGTGATGTTGCACATCTCTCTCAATTAGTGGACTCCAGAAAGACGAGAAGTGATTCTTGTTTTATTATTTTTTATTTAATTTGATTAAAATAAAGAATAAAATTTTGAGTATTTTCCACCTAACATCATTTTTGAATAAAATATGTCACATCACTAGCTGTTGTTAGTCCAGCCAGCATGTTAACTAACACCGTCAAATAATTGGACGGAAGTGGCTATTTTTGGTATTTCGCCAAACGTGGCTATATTTGACCCAAACCATCAAAATTTTGGCTACACAGGTGTATTTTGCCTTAAATTAATTAGATAACAAATTGTATGTATCATAATTAGTATATGAAACAACAAATAATTGCTCAACAAATAATTTATTATAAGAGATTAATAGAAAATTATTGACTATGTTTAGAGATGACGTCATCTGGTGATTCTGGAGATTCACGCAAGAGATTGAAAAGATTCCTTGGGAGTAACATTAGTATGAGTACGAGAAATAAGGACCCAAAGGATCGAGATGAGATGGAGTCAGAGTCAGATTCAGAGCACGAGCCACAGCCACAGCCACAGCCACATCAGCTAGTGACACCGATGAGTTTGAGGGCATACGGTTTTCCTCAGTTTGATTTTCAGTTGCCTAGTATGGCTGGTAGTAGACCTGGTTCCAGTATCAACTTTGGGGCGAGGTATCATCATACTTCACCATTTGAGCCTTCAGACGAGATTGATTACGAGTCTGAGCAGTATGAGTCGGATGCTATTGAGTATCGCATTCCACGAGTCAGTCCGATCAGAGATAGAGGTGCCGCCAGCGGATCGTCACATGTCGTTACTAGGGTTCATGCCGTTACTGGGATTTATAGAGACCATTCAGGGCATTTCTACAGAGCTCCACAGCCTGGTGAGGGCCAGAGTGGTAATGCTGATGTGGGAGAGGCCTGGGAGTTTAGAGGACCGTGTGCTAGAGGGTCGAGCGACCCGAGTTTGCTCCGTAGCTTTCTTGGGCATGTTGCCCACCGTCTTTACATCAGACAGGATGATAGAGCGGTGATCACTTGCTATGACAGGAGTTTGACGCTTTGGCACGTTCTAGACGGTTATGAGATCCCAAATCATCATGCTAGGACTACCGTGGAGACATCGGGCCTTGCTCACCTCGTTGATATCACCTTCCAGAGCGAGCTGGACACTGCTCTCATCTCGGCATTTGTGGAGAGGTGGCAGCCGGATACCAACACCTTCCACATGCCGTTTGGAGAGATGACGATCCTCCTTCACGACGTGGCTCACATTCTTGGGCTTGCGGTTGAGGGAGAGGCGATGGTAGCGGATCCGAGGCAGTTGGAGAAGAGCTCACTAGAGGTTGACATGCGAGCACTACTAGGATTAGATGGTGATGATTTGGACCACGGGGCGCAGGTTGGAGAGGTTGCCAGAGATTCTAAGTGGTATAGAGGATATGGTTTGCTGGGTGTGCTAGCTTTGACTCATTTGCAGGAGTCTGGTCCGCCAGCTAGAGAGGCTTAGTGTTACCTTGTTTTGCCGCTTGGGTCTACACTGTTCGTAGATAAGAGTAAGGACCGCGTTTCTGCTGTTATCAACTTGTTTGTGGAGAGGCCGGATATGCTAGGAGAGTACGCGTGGGGGGCTGGAGCACTTGCTTATCTATATAGGCAGCTTGGTATTGCCTCCCGGGCGGAGGCTAAGGGAGTGGCGGGTTGTCTGACTTTACTACAGTGTTGGATTTACGACCACTTTCCTACCTTGAGGCCTAGTCGGTTGGAGCCACGACAGCTAAAGCAGGGGCAGGCAGGAGCATTCAGGTGGCGCGGTATCTCAACTCAGTCGACGAAGAAGAATACACAGATGCTGGCTTATTATCGGCAGGTGATTGATAGTTTTACCCCACAGCAGGTGATTGTATAAGTAAAATTATGTTTGATTGCAACTAATATGTATCTAAATTGTCTGATTTTTGTTTACATTTGGGATGCGAGATGTGGATGGAGATAGCTCCCGTGATGGATGGTGCACAGGGTAGTAGGGAGGAGTGGAATGCTAGGTCCGACGAGTACTATGACTTATGTCATGGAGTCGGGAACATGTGGCCCGAGTTTAGAAGGAAGTCGGGTTTTCTACTACCTCCACAACAGTTGTATGATTGTTATGTCATATTTATTAGTGTTATTTGTTGTCTTTAGACGAGTGGACTTGTGTTATTATGTTGTTCTACTACGACTTATGATATGTGGTGTTCAATTGCTTATTTGTTGTTTTTAGACTATGACTTATGTTATTATGTTGTATCTGATTATGACTTATGTATTTATGTTGTACTTGGGATGTTTTTATTATATCATGTTTCCATGTGACGTAAACAACCTTCATTACATTTTATTTATAAGAGATAGACGAGTACATCAGACTCCCTCTCAATTACAAATTTATATCTTTGGAACCCTCTTTATTTTGCACGATGGATCGCTTGACTGCCCACCCCCAAGATCGAACCACAGTTGACTAAACTGCGCGAAATATGTATCCCATCCAAGCACGCTATCTTGTTTACCGCCTGGCCACATGCCATGTATAGGGGGCATCGTTATCCTGTCCGCCGGGAAAGAGAGGTTGATACGACTCTTTTGTCTCCTCCTTCATGAGAGCACAACATATGTTGAAATTATTCCCAACGGGAGTGGCACCTACGACCTCCACCTACAACATTTTATACGCATTGGTCTTATACGTTGAGTCGATCAGAATCACGTACGACCAAGCCTTCAACATCTGGATGGAAGTTGGATGGGCAAAAAAAAAAAAAGATGGTTAAGCACGTCGTTATCGTCCTTCATAACCTCTATATTGTAATTCTCACGTTCAGCTGCTTGCAACGCATGCTGCACTGCATTCATCTCGTCTTTCCTAGACTTGGACCCGAGGTTATACATTTTCCTTTTGGTGTGATGCCCTTTGTCACCCTTCTGCATGTTTATTGTCTGCTTCTGTTGCGACGGAGGTACCCCACCATCTCTCATATGCTTTAGAGATTCTTTATCCTCCTGACTAAATTTCTTCATTTGACTGTGGCCCTCCGGATAAAGCATCTTCTCATGATTGTGATACCCTAGCCTTAAACCGGTTTCTTGCTCCCTCACTTCTTGTATCACCCAGAATGAAGGTCCATTAAGAGCATCTGGATCAACCAGTGGTTCTTTTGATTATAACCTTGAACATGCAATTAGACCATTTTGAACTTGTATTACCACGACTCACCTTGGAAGGATCCGGCTTGTATGACTTCCTCTCCTTACCGCATCTGTCACAATACATATAACACATACCCAATACTCTTTTGTTGCGCAACTCACGTGGCTTCATCGATCCCTTAATTAGAAAGAAACCAAGAGACATTGCGATGTTTTTGGTCACTGTTACAACATCTTCGAAATTGTCATATTGGACGCCAATGAGAAAATTGTCTGTGTAATCACCATTTAGTTCAACATTGTAAGCCATGTCCACTTGCAATTATGATTTTACAACTCGTTAGAAAGATACAAATTATATGATTCTCCAAAATTAAACTAAATGAAATAATTTAATTAACTTTACAAAATAACGGTAATTTGACGATAAGAAATTTAATTAAATATAAATTATTAAACCAAATTAGCTCTACGAATTAAATCTAAACACAATAAACTAATTAGCGCTACAACAAAACACAATCACTTAATTAAACTAATTGGCCTTCAATTAACTCTACAAAATTAAACTAAATGCAATAATGTAATGAACTCTACAAAATAATGATTATTTGACGATAAGAAAATTAATTAAATATAAATTATTAAACTAAATTAGCTCTACGAATTAAATCTAAACACGATAAACTAATTAGCGCTACAACAAAACACAATCACTTAATTAAAATAATTGTGTTTGATTGACTTTACAAAATCAAACTAAATACAATAATTTAATTCACTCTACAAAATTACGATAATTTGACGATAATAAAATTAATTAAATATAAATTATTAAACCAAATTAGCTCTATGAATTAAATCTAAACACAATAAACTAATTAGCGCTACAACAAAACACAATCGCTTAATTCAAACTACATACGAAATTAAATGTGTAAAATAAAAATAAAACGATAAATTAAATCTAAATTATTAGCTCTAGAATTAATAATAACATAATATATATCAAAATACAAAAAAAATAATAATAAAAAAAACCGCCGGCGTTGGTCGCCGTCCGCTTGCCGGTCTCGGGTGCCCTCCGCTCGGCAGGATCGGACACCGTCCGCTTGCCGGGTCGGACGCCGTCCGCTCGCCGACGGTCGGACGACAAATAATAATGATACGGACGACAAATAACACACTTCTAAATTGAGGTGAAATGACCCATGGCAGATCAGCCCACTTAACTCCCAAGCCCAACTACAGTTCTTCCATTCAGTTCGTTTCCAGTTCATTCCAGGCCGCTGCCCAGGCCTTTAAATAAAAATTGGGGGGAAAATCCCGAATTATCGCCAGAAAAATATATAACTAGAAAAAATTGGAGGCGACAGGCGAGTGAGGCTTATAGTTATATGTGTGCAGTCCATAGACCATAAATCTTCCTTTCAAAGGGAGCGGCAAAATCTCTTCTCTTTTTCCATTTTCCTGTTGGCGTGTGGCTTATCCGCTCGCAGTCATCGTCTCCCTCCGACTCCCTCCCCTGAGTTCCTAACCTAAACCACCATCCCAGTCGAGGGATTAGGCGAAGTATTTTGAAGGGGGTGGGGAGAAATGGCTGCTTCTTCTGGTATCGGCATTACTTCTTCTATATTCAATGCGCCATCTATGGAGCTCGCTTCCAGAAGGGGAACAACAAGTCCCACTATCACATCCTCTTGCCTATTCCCCCTTACAATTCCGGATAAGCCTCATCAACTCCTAAGTTCTTCCGTAGCCAGCAGCCGTGGCAGTGGATTAGGGAGACTTACGCTCCTTATGGTAGAGGGAAGTTCCCGCAGGCAGAATACGGTTCTTTCCGCCATTGCTTCTTCCAATAATTCCCTCCTCAGTGAGCAGGCTTTCAAGGGTCTTGGTGGAATCTCGGGTTTCGATGGTGTCGACAGTGATGACGACGAATTGGCAGATGGCGCGGTTCTTGCTGCTGCTGCTGATACCGACGAACTTGCCCTTACCAAGCTGGGTTTGCCTGCGCGTCTTGTTGAAGCCTTGGAGAAGCGTGGAATTACTCACCTTTTCCCCGTTCAAGTATGTGGGTTACTTAGTGAACTATTCATTTGTTGGGTTTTTGTTTTTGGTTGTATTTTTAGATTCCCATTTTGAAAGGCAAGCTTTTTTATGTTGTTTTCTATTGAATGGTGCAGAGAGCTGTTCTGGTTCCGGCTCTGGAAGGTCGAGATATCATTGCTCGTGCCAAGACTGGCACTGGGAAGACGTTGGCATTCGGCATTCCGATAATTAAGCTCCTCACTGAAGACACTGAACTAAGAGGGCAACGACTGTGAGTGTTGTGTTTGTCTTCTTTTCTTAAATGGGCAGACCTTGCCTCCAGAGTTGTCAACTATGTGGAGTTACATGTATATATGCTTGTGTAACGTTCCTTATATGGATATGGTGTTTCGCTAGGCGAACTGGCCGGCTTCCGCGACTTTTGGTCTTAGCACCTACCCGGGAGTTAGCAAAGCAAGTAGAGAAAGAAATTAAAGAGTCTGCACCTTATCTTAGCACCGTGTGTGTTTACGGAGGTGTTTCATACGTGACACAACAAAGTGCTCTTACCCGTGGAGTTGATGTTGTGGTTGGGACTCCAGGTCGAATCATTGATCTCATTAAAGGAAACAGTCTGAAACTGGGGGAGGTTCAGTACTTAGTCCTTGATGAAGCTGATCAAATGCTTTCATTTGGCTTTGAGGAGGATGTGGAATTGATTTTAGAAAACCTTCCAGCAAAACGGCAGAGCATGCTTTTCTCCGCAACTATGCCAATTTGGGTCAAGAAATTGGCCAGGAAATATCTGGACGATCCTTTGCAGATCGATCTGGTAATCCTCTTGTTATCTTCCCAGTATTTTTCCAGCCCTATGTTTATAAAGTCGCCCATTTGACTGTCTGAATCAAGGAAGTACCCTTTCTAACAGTTTGATTGAAAATTGGGTTACTTGGTTGATATGAGAACATATCAGATTGACCAACATAATAACGAAGTGTTCAGTCTTTGGTCCATTCGTTGTGGACAGATGTTGTCCCATTTCTGTTATAGCCTTTCTCGTTTTTTTTGGGTGTGTTTTTGGAATGCACAGTATCATTTCTGAACATGTAAGTTCATTGGTATTAGTTTTGTTAGGTGAGTGTGGATAGTATTAATGTCCTAACTCATTTCATATTTCTTTTTCTTTATGTAGGTTGGTGAACAGGAAGAAAAGCTTGCTGAAGGAATCAAGCTTTATGCTATAACTACTACGTCCACTTCAAAACGTAGCATGCTCTGTGATCTTGTAACTGTATGAATTATTGCCCCCCAACTCCATGCCTCATTTAGTTACTGATCAAAGTCTAATTGTTTTCCACTTGTCATTAGGAGTACTCACGGTTTTCTATATATGTTTGGAGTTACTAAATTCGACCATGATGCTCAGGTTTATGCGAAGGGAGGAAAAACAATTGTCTTCACTCAAACTAAGAGAGATGCTGATGAAGTCTCCATTTCATTGTCGAATAGCATAGCTTCTGAGGCTCTGCATGGAGATATATCTCAGCATCAGAGGGAGAGAACGTTGAATGGTTTCCGTCAAGGGAAGTTCACTGTGCTTGTCGCAACAGATGTCGCATCTCGTGGGCTTGACATTCCGAATGTCGATCTGGTATGTCTGTTTTGCTCCCTTAGATGAATTTTCAGTCATTTGAACAAAAGAAAAAAAAACAGTAGTTAATACTTTCTGTGCCTAGTACAAGTGTTAGTAGCTTGTGGAAATTTGCAGCCATATGGTTGAGTTGGAAGTATGGATATAAAGGCTAGTAGTTGCCACTGCGATGTGCATATATTGTTCATTATCTAGCCATCTTTAGTTGATCAGATACTACTTGCTGGTATTTCTTACTGCCCTGCGAGTCTGAAGGTAATGCTGATGGAAATGTATTGCATTTCTCCAGGTTATTCACTATGAGCTTCCGAATGATCCAGAGACCTTTGTGCATCGTTCTGGTCGTACTGGGCGTGCAGGGAAACTGGGAACTACAATTTTGTTGTTCTCCAGCAGTCAAAGGAGAACCGTTAGATCTCTCGAGCGTGATGTTGGATGCAGGTTTGAGTTTGTTGGCCCACCAGCCATTCAAGACGTTCTAGAATCATCAGCTGACCAGGTGGTCGCTACTCTTCGTGGAGTTCATCCCGAGTCTGCAGAGTGTTTTATGCAAACTGCCGAAAAATTGTTAGAAGAACAAGGAACAAAAGCCCTTGCTTCGGCTTTGGCACAATTGAGTGGTTTCACGCAGCCTCCGTCATCTCGATCTCTTATTAACCATGAGAAGGTGAACAAATAGCCTTAGCCTTATTTTCTCTGACCAATACAATATTGCATGCCAGGGGTTAGGACTGGTGGACAATGATCTTGTGCATTTTGTTCTTTTTTGGTTTCTGCGAGAATGGTTTTCCTATTCTAAAAATATTATCTGTTGTTTTCTCTTTTCTGCTTTTCCACAGATTAGTACTCATTTTTTTCCATATGTAATTTTGAGGAACATGAATTTTCGCTCTAGCAAGTGTTGTGTGATTGCTAGTATATTAGGCACCCTCAGTTGGCTTGATAACTGTAGACTGTATGCCATGTATGCAAACTGTGCTGTTGTCCTCGGAGATGAGCCTTCATTTGAATGGACCTCGTGAGAGGCTAGCAGAATAAACTGTTAGAGGCACCTGTTTTATTTTGTTGCCAAGTCCTAGGTGTTCACTTGGGGCCTCTGCTGTAGTATGCATCATCTGGTTATTTGTTGTACTGTTCTATGGTTTGGTTATGGGATTTATGGTACAAAGCTATAGTGTCTTGAATGAGCCTGTTCTGTTTGTTTTATAGTACTAAGCTACGGTTCTTGGATTGTGAAACCTGTCTTGCAGGGTTGTGTGACATTGCAATTGACTAGGGATCCAAATTATGCTAGAGGCTTCCTTTCACCTAGGTCGGTGACTGGTTTTCTCTCTGATGTATATCCTACAGCAGCAGATGAAGTTGGGAAAATATTTGTAATTGCAGATGAAAAGGTGCGTCATTTTATCAATTGTGAAGGCCTTTTTTTATCCAAGATAAGCCCCTAGGGCATAGCCGGACAACGACAATAAAAAGAGTTGCTGAATATGCAATTGTTCAATTTATGCAGCGTTCAATTTAGTTGGTCTGAAAGAATCAAGTGTTGTGTTTTATATTAGGTTCAAGGAGCAGTGTTTGACCTGCCGGAGGAGATTGCAAAAGAGTTGCTGAAGATGCAATTGCCTCCTGGAAACGTCATTTCGAAGATCTCCAGGGTAATTATTCTGGTCACAGTTTTGGCAATTTCGTGGTTGTACTTTGTTTCGATGCCACTCTAGTAGCAATGGTCTTGATGTGTGCTGATTCTGAGGATGTTTTGTACTCTTTGGCCAATTTGTTTTGCAGTTGCCTGCATTGCAAGACGATGGACCTGTTGGAGATCATTATGGCCGGTTTTCTAGCAGGGATCGATCTACTAGAGGGGGTTCAAGAGGCCAGGGGAGCTTCAGACCCCCGCGGCGTGGAGCTGGTCGAGATTCTGATGATGATTTCGGTAGGCGTGGCGGTAGAAGCCAATCGAGGAGCAGTGGCGACAGTTGGCTGATAGGTGGAAGGAGGTCGAGCTCAGAATCATCAAATAGAGACAGGTATGTCTATACATCAGAAGCAGAGATTATTTTCTTTTATATCTTTGGCAACAGAGTACGCTTCGTTGATAACACCAATTGCATTAAACTTTGCGATAGTTGCGCCATCATATGCTTTTCTCATTTGCTTGTTAAATGTGAATTATGCCGAACATCGTCAAATGGTTTACCCAAACCAGTCTAGTCTCAACTCTTAAGATTGTTGAGCAACCTTGTCCTTTTGCAAGATTAATAGACTGTTTTTATGGGGTTTGTTGATAATCTTGCCGGCTTTGTTTCTTGTACAATCGGATCATGTGTATTCACAATCACCGTAAAATGTCTTGTATTTCCAGATCGTTCGGAGGTTCATGTTTCACCTGTGGGAGATCTGGACATAGAGCTTCAGAATGTCCTAGCAGGGGAGGTTATTAGTAGTATATATGACCAAGGTGATTTGGCCATGCGAACAACAACAAAGTGGTAGCTGCTGAGAATCTTGGTTATCTCAGGCTCTCAGCCATATAAATGAATGGTACATATATGCCAAGATGGAGTGCGCTACAGGAAAGTATACTGGATACTGGGACTGAATAGGCTTGTAGCTTATGTTCTCTAGAATCTAGATAGATAGAATGGCTCTAAAAGAGGGAGGGGGGTATTGGGAGAGTTGAAGATAATGTATCGCCATTTTCGTTTCAGTGTAAACTGTTCTATTTATTGACGAGTATGAAGCAGGCTCTGTCCCCAAGTTGCATGTTATTGGCGAGCTAACACGCTGAGCTATGATTATGTTGTGCATTGTCCTTTTTTCTGGGACATAATTTACGTTGATATCAATCGTACGCTTCATCATTTTCCGCAAGCCTAGTTGGAGAAGTTGTAGATTAAGTTCGCAAGTAGATGAGATTCACCATTGCAGAAGCGATGCCCCAAGCCTTTTACGATACTTAAAGGGTGGAAGTTTCGGATGTGCCCTGTTGCATTTTCGAATTGATCAGGACGCTTCTGGCTGCCGCTATTTGAAGCTCCAAACAAGGATTACATTCTGAGCCCTGAAGTAATACATTCTCCAGTGAATTCTCTTTTATAGAGACAGCTAATTGATGTAATTGTAGGGCCACTTCAAGTTTGAACAATATTTGCCTTTATAAGTAGGGACCTGGAAATGTGAGAAAATAATGATTTTGCAGAAAAGAGTCGAACTTGTTGAATTCATCCCATCCCACGTTAGTTAGGCTATACCAATCAACCAAATGGGAGAGTGAGACATCTTCCAAAGCACAACAGCATCAATCCTACTGAAGTCAGGCCCGCCGCTATACAGCAATATCATGTAAAACATTGCCAACACCATAACCTGAGAAAGAGTCCAAAGGTGATGAAAAGGGACCATCTCTAGACATCAAAATGGAACAATGTCCCGCTTTCATTAACATAACCTCCCGATTCGAGCCCCAGAAACAAAAACCTCAAGCCTTCACTGCTGCCTGCCTCGCCCAGTTCTGATAGCCCCAACTTCTTGGGCGGCTCTCTGTATAACGATACTCCAAAATTTCTAACAACACTAACTAACTTGCTAAAGCTAAGTTTCTCGAGATGTAGTCAGATGCTCTCTACCACATACACGAAAAGGAATCTGGATCTAACAGTTCAAATACCTCGGCTCATCACAGTTGAAAAAATCTCGTCGAGATATCTTACAGTACCTTGTATGCTTCTGTCTAGATATACTTCAATCCTGAGATATGTTGCTGTCTCGAGACTAAAGACTGTGCTATTGTATAAATAATCCCCAGAACCCCCAAAATCTTGATCTTCATCACATCTGCTATTATTATGGACGGCAGATTGAGAGGCAGGGTGATTAGAGGCGTGGTGTCAGCCTGTTTTGTGTAACTCCACACAAAACGATTAAAGAGGATATGACTAGGGAATGTAAGTATGAGAAGTGCCAAGTTTTTCACGGCAAAGAACCAATCCGGACCACCGATTTCGATGCTCCATCCGCCATTCCCATGCCATACGTCCTCCCAGATGCTGAATAGGGTGGTCAACACCAGATAAACGGATATAGCTACCGTAACAGGGAAATACCTTTGCTTGTCTCCAAATCCAGCAACAAAATCCGAGTCCTGATTGAGAAGCAGCAAAATGGGAGCTAAGAAGAATATAGCTTGGTTTGATCCCCCTGTCAGATTGATATTCAAGATCAGGCATGTGGCAAAGCACATAACAGTAGCCACATTGCCTACTGCTGGCATCCATGCACCCTCGGCGGCCATTCTTTTGATGGTGAAGGTTGGGACAGAAGACACCCGGCGCTGCTGCATGAACCTCATTCTTGGGGCAAAACCAGAACTGCTTTGACTAGATTGACTATGTCGAATGCCACCACTTTCGACTGATTTCTCCCGCATAAGTGAGGCGAGTTCAAATTTGATCTCCAAAGCTATTAGCATGAAGATTGCTGCATACAAGCCAAGTAAAGAAGTCCTGGCCCCTTCAACAGCCAGTAAAGTGGAGAGCCTCCTGTCTTCCTCTCCCAAATCTACACCATCTCCAAGAATGCTGTTAATCCTTACCTGACCCTCCAACAGGTAAGTAACAGGGAAGAGCGCTATAAGCGAAGCAAACACCCAGGGTAGTAGCTTTGTGCTTGAAGCAGATGGGATGTGAGTGAAAACTACAAAGACAGAGGTGCACACCATTGTGACAACAACAAGCACATGTAGAACTGCAGCTTGAAGAAAGTACTCGGCTGATATGTATACGCCTAGAGCAATGCCCATTGCTATGGAATAGACTGCTCTCAATTCTACAATGTACTTGATAGGTATGAAAGATGTCACGGACGCCAATGTAAGCAAGATTGCAAAGATAAGTAGCCATGAAGGCCAGGTAGGTTTCGATGCAATGAAGCCATAGATAGAAATATCATCAGAAGATTGACGAGCTGCTTTTATCATTTCGGACCGGTAAGTCCATGCCATTGGAATTGGAGGCTGCATTAAGATAAATAATACACCAGTTGCCACCACAAGCACTAGGTACCTCTTGGCAGACTGCAAAAGATATAAAAGTAGAGAACATATAATTTAGTAACAGGACCAACCAAGGACCAACAATTTCTTATCAGGACACTACAGTCGAAAAATATTCGTCATTACTCGAGTTCACAGGAAAAGCCTTCTTCCATCAGACCTTCATTTACTTAATATAAGTTGCAAGCTTACTTTCTAATGTCAATTGCAAAGTTAGAGGCTGACCAGCATGACCAACCAAGAACCAACAGTTTCTTATCAGGAAATTACAGTCGAAAAACATTCATCATTAAGTTCACAGGAAATGCTTCTTCCATCAGACCTTCATTTACTTATATATAAGTTGCAAGCTTACTGTCTAATATCCATTGCAAAGTTAGAGGCTGGCCAGCATGAAGCAAATTTATAATGGTCATCTAAGTTGAGAGTTCAGTATGTCCCATCAGTTTATTGCTAGACAGACCAGCAATATCATCACATCATGCATGCATGGTCCAAATTATCTACTTATACATAACTAACATCCTTAGTTTTAAGGTCCATGTTAAAGTTAGTCTGACCAGCGTAAAGCAATTTTACAAATTACAATGGTCTTCAAAATAAAGAGTTCCCAATACGCCATCAGTTTAATGGTCTTCAAAATTAAGAGTTCCCAATACGCCATCAGTTTATCGCTAGACTAATAAGTAATTTCATCATATCATGCATGCATGGTCAAAACCGTTTAGCAAGTAGAATATAACATCTTTGGTGGATCTCTAGGTTCTGCTACGAGGTCTATTCCTTACATTTAAACAAATGAATATCACACAACTACAAAATCGACTAAGGAATTCGGAAGGAAAACGAACCAGGACATGAGAGAAGTGCATAGCAACAATTGGGAGGCAAGCCAACCCTGTCAAGACAATGCAGAAGCCTAAAAGCAAACCATCCGATGGAGACTTCCCATTCCACCATTGGAGGGCTTCAAAAATTGTTTCACGGAAGAACCAGACTGATAGAGCAACCACACTAGCATGTGCATAACCTTGCCATGGTTTCATCTTGGAGGACATTCGGGTCTTATCCCTGGAAAGTGGTTCAGCAGAAATTTAATGAAAGGTGTAATAGAAGAAAATGATAAATAAAACTAGTCAACATGCATAAGAGAGATAAGTGATCGGAAGATGAAATGGAAATTACTTGTAAAGGAGCATGGGAGGAGAAACAGCAAGTAGAAGTATGGCTGAAACCCATACAACTGACTTTGATGATATGCACATCATGGCTAACTTTGAAGAATACAGGCAAGTCAAAATCCAAACGGCCTTTTGCCCAATTCGTTGGTCAACAGATAACCTCCTAACTAAAGCCAATCCCACAAGTGTCGTGATAATAACCATGTAGCTTGGGTACATCACATCATCCTCCAATCCATAGTAGTATATGCCCGAGTAATTGAAAAATCTGTTCTCGATGTAGCACAGCAGCAATGCATGGCAGGTTAAACCAGCCTCGGCTAGAAAATGAAGTTTTTGAGGGAGAAGGGCTAACCCAGGAATAGCCATGGCAATCATAACATTAGCGACTATCAGTTTACAAAAAGATTTTAAAGCCATACCAGCCAACCATATGTTCAGATCCCAGAAGTTATGCATCACAAACCATGCAACCATCAAGCTCCCAAGAACAACAAAGGAGAAGTATGATGGCAGGCTCTTCTTTGTGAAGAACCGAGCTAGATAAAAGCCTGTAACTGAGGGCAAAGGAAGGAACTGCAGAAGTAAAAAACACATTGAGATCAATAGTTGTAGACATTTATTTGAGACAATGCTTGCTTAAGACAACAAACAATCCTACACAAACGAGCATAATAGATAGGCTATCTGAGAAGCTGACATTGATAAAACACAAGCAGTATCAGTCTCCTTCATAATATAATTAAACACAACTAACATGGTTCACGTCTATATAATAATTGGAGGACCAAAATAGCTCCAGAGAAGCATCATAAGGCGATAAGACCACTTAGGAAGACATTGCAGTCAAGAATAATTTACTAACAATATGATACAATTGAGTATCTGTATGGCTCAACAAAGATAAAGATACATATTCCAAGGATTCTCTACATCAGAGCAAAAGATCTATCTTAAATCGGTTTTATACCCACATGCCATCTCCTCAGGGGTACTAGCCTAGAATTGTTAACAACAGTCTCGCAAGCAACAATGGAGGGACTAGAAAAGAAATAAAATGTCAACAAGGCATTTGCACCACCTAGTTCAGCAATTGAAGTAAGTTGAGAAAGGAAAAAAGAAAAAGTACCAGTATCGGGAACCCGACAACAATTGCCCCAGCAGCACTAACAATTACGGCCAGAGAAGTGAAAACCAAGGAGCTGAAAGCATCGGAAACCATGCCCAACGCATACCCACCAGCACCAGCTGCTCCTCCAAGCATTGTTGTGGTGACAAGCAGATAATTCAAAGGAGGCGGGACCTGAATGTAGCGGCCAAATGAATGGAAAACGACTCTGACTTCCAATGCAACGATGACCAGGACCAACGCGAGAGCGCCATTGACAACGCGAATGCTGTGCAGCTGCTGCGGGTTCCTGGTAACCCACCGAAGTGCTCCCCTGGTGGAGGCGAAGAGTTGGAGCAAGAAGGGAATGAAGAAGAGCAGGATCAAATCGCAGAGCGAAGCAGCGGATGAAAACATGACCGAGTAATGGGAGGCCACATGAAACATGAGCGGGAAGAACAGCAAGTAGAGTGTAAGGAAGCAGCTCTCTACAGGGCTGAGAATGAAGGTGTCATCGGGAACCTCGCCACCGTGATACTTCACCTCCTGCTTGGCCTTGAAGGAAGACACGCGAGGGATGGCGAAGAGCCAGTAGAAGACGCAGTTGAAGACCATGAGATAGTACGAGGCGTTGTTCATACCGACGGCGGAGATGGTGGCCCAAGCGAAGATGGAGGAAGCAATGAAAGGCAGGCAGGCAAACAGGAGCCGCTCGAGCGCGAGGACGATGCTAGGGTTCTCGAGCTGGATCCACTTGAACTGGAGCGAGGCCCAGACGCCGATGAGGAAATTGGCCTGGGAGCAGAGGAAGGAGGCGAGGAGGCCGAGGGGGACGGAGCTGAGAGCGGAGACGAGGGAGGAGGTGAAGAAGAAAGCGACCTGAGAGGCGATCAGTGAGAGCCATACTCCGAAGAAGGCAGCGGACTTGAGGTCGAGGGAATCGAGGATGTAGGAGAGCATGAGGCCTAGAGTGAGGGTAGCCACGACGGGGGCGCCGCCGAGATCAAGGAGGAAGGCGGCGCAGGGGACGAGAGCAACGGCGATTCTGGCGTTGTGAGAGAAGGATGAAGGGGAGAATCGGGATCTTGAGGCGGAGGTGGAGCGGGCGCCGGCAGGGAAGTGAGAGTTAGGGGCGGCGGTCGCGGCGGCGGATTGTTCGGGGGAGTAGGGACGGCCATCGTCGTTGAAGGAGGAGAAAGATGGGGCACTGAGGGAGGAGGATATGTAGGGGCGGAAGAATCGGGGCTGGAGCTCCGGCGGTAGCATTTTCGGCTGTGCGGACAATCTCAATTATGGGGGAGAAACCTGATGAGAAGATAAAATTAATGGATCGATTAGGACAGATAGCAATAGCCGAATCAGTTCACAGGAACGGATTGCTAGGAAGGAGGGATTCTTTGTGGGATTTTAGAAGCAGCACCTAAGCTGCAATTGAGTCTGAGTCGAACTTGAGTTTTATTTCAATTTGAGTGACTTGTGAATAAAAGAGTTGTGTACTTGAGCCTGACTTATTTATTAACGAGTCGAGTTGAGTTGAGTTCGAGCTTGTCATTATCATGTATGATAAATGTAATTAATATCAAAATAAAAAATAATAATAACACTTTAGTGTTCAATATTAAGTAATCTCATGTCATACTTTATGGGGTCATATTATTTAGTTAATAAATTTTAACTAGTCAAAATTTTGTTATTTTATAGTATCGAAACAAACTATTATATATAATTTATTTTAAAAATTATATAAGACATATTTACTCACATTATCTACGTGTAAAACTTCATATTGGATGAGATATATAATTTAACAATCCTATGAATTATCAAAATGAAACTCATATAGATCGATTGACTCATAAGTCGGTAATCGAGTTGGCTCTCTACCTACATTGTTGAGAGTTGAGACATCTCATGAGCTATAAATAAGACAGCTGATTTTTGTAAGTTAACACGTTGTCCATTCAATCCTTCATAGGCTTGAAAGAGGGAAAGGAGGGTTGTGCATGATAGCGGGTTGGCCTCTAAGAAGAGATAAGAGTCATCTGCAAGGAAGATGTGAGAAACCATTGGGCAAGAAGCTCAGATTCTAACTCCTAAGTGTCCTATTGTTACTATGTGCCTTATCATTGCTGAGAACCCTTCTACACAGATAGCAAATAGGAGGAATGACAGGGGATCCCTTTGGCGAAGGCCTCTTGAAGGACGAAAATAATTGGAAGGGACCCCGTTCACTAGTATAGAGTAGGAAATTGTCTCGACACATTCCTTAATCCAGGATATAAACTTTTGATCAAATCCTAATTCTTTCATCACCTAAAAAAGGAGCGGCCATTCAACACGATCATATGCTTTCTCCATGTCCAATTTTAGAGCCATCCAGGTTTTTTGTCCTGATGCCTTTGTCCTGAGAAGATGAGTTATCTCATGACTGATTAAAATACTATCCGAGATTTGACGCCCTTTTATAAATCCATTTTGATTATGAGATATTATATTTGGTAGAACCCGACTTAGTCTGTTAGCCAGGATCTTAGCTACGACCTTATAAATTACTTGGCACAGACTGAAGGGTATAAGATTTTTCATGGAACGAACGTCTAATGTTTTTGGGACGAGAGAAATTCAGGTCCTATTCATTGATCGTAAGAGATGACCAGAATGAAAAAAGGAGAGACAACCTAAATAACGTCATGCCCTACTACATCCCAATAAGCTTGATAGAAACCAGCTGTAAAGCCGTATGGTCCTGGTGCTTGAGTCTTTCCTATACTGAAGACTACTTCTTTGATTACTTCCGCTGTGATTCGTTCAATGAGAGCTTGATTTTTCTCGTCGGAGACCATACCTTCAAAACGAAGGTTAGACAGGTAAATTCCTTATGTAATCTGGGACTGAAATAGGGTTTGATAAAAGTCTACTGCTATGTTTAGCTTCCCATGCTCATCTGTGTACCAGAGACCCCTAGAATCTTCCAGGCCCCAAATGAAGTTGGCTTGACGCCTAATTGCTGTTATCATATGAAAATAGGGAGCATTACGATCCCCTTCTATTAACCAATTAACTCGTGATTTTTGTCTCCAATAGAGTTCTTCCATCTTATATTGAACCTCTAGCCTTTCTTCCAGGGATCGTATCAGGTTCCAATCTACTAGGGTAGATTTTCGAGCATTGTCAAGGGCGAGATTGAGATCTTTTATTAATCTGGCAGAATTTGAGGTACCACCTTTGCACCAATCTACCAGGGCATGACGGACCCGAAGAAGTCTATAAAATAGACATAATTGTAAGGACCCGGTTATAGGAAGATTCCAGACATATGATATGATGAGTTTTGCTTCTTGCATTCACACCCATCTTATATCAAAATGGAATAGTCGTTTGGCTCTAGACATTTCAGGGGATGTCATTAAACACATGAGTCTGTGGTATGATCCTTTATCTGATAGATGATAAAGATATGAATTAGGCCAAATATTCATCCAACTCGTGTAGACAAAGGCTCTGTCGATTTTTTGTTCTATCAAGATACCATTCTTACCATGATTAGTCTAGGTTAAATTTAGCCCCCTGATACCTCACCTCAAGGAGTCCCATAATGTTAAGAAAGTTCCAAAGAGGTCGGGCTTTATCCATATTCCATGGTGCCCCTCCTGATTTCTCTATCGAGAACAAAGAGCAATTAACATCTTCAATGATTAGGAAAGGATCTGACAATCTAGAGAAAAAATCACGAAGATCCTGTAGTTGTGAGCGATGTTTTGTGATGATGTACGAAGGATAGGCTCCTTTAGCACAAATCGAGGACAAGCACCATAGCAAAGGGAGTTATTACTAATAACCGAAATGGCAATATAAAAAAGGGGTTGAACCAATAATTGACACCGAAGCACCTCGTCGCCAACCGAACACTAGACCCCTGACAGGCCGGAAGGGTTCAACGGATAACAGTCTGAAAATCCTAATCTACACATAAAAGACTCAACTTTGTCACTAGGAGACATAGTTTCACAAAGAAACAAAAACGATTTAGACAAATTTCGGTGAGCTTTGAGCGTTTGGAATGTGAAGGTACTCCCCATCCCTTGACAATTCCACGCATAGACATTCATTAGGACTTTGGAGCCAATTGGGGTTGGCTACCTCCACCCTTTTTCCTTTTACCATTGTCTTTCTCGCCAGGACTCTTTGGAATAAAATTCACAACTCCTTCTTCTGGTTCTTGGATGCAAATTCCAGCATTTTTTCGAACATAAACTCTTGGGAATTCTGACGATTCTATCAATATTGTTTTCCCCTTTGATTTCCCATCCGCGACACACCCTAGCGGAGAGCAAGAGATGGCAGTATTTATAGATTGATCTAATCCTTCATTATCAAAGAAACCCATCCCTTCTCCTTGCATGCCAAGTAAGTGATTATCCTCTAAATCATCGAATAAAAATCCAGAATCTTCACTACAATATAAGTTACCTAACCCATATGATAGAGATGGTACTTGAAATTGGAGAGGCATGGGCTCTATCAACAATGGTTTTGTGGACAGGGCCTCCTCCTTGTTCGTGGGCTCGCGCCCAGTTTACTTCTCCATTGGTTCATTAACATTCGGTTCTATTTGTTGAATTAATTTGTTGCAACCTGCCTTTTCAAGTATCTGGCCCGACTGTTTACTCAGCCCAGGGTTGAATTGAGACCCACTAGGGATCATTAATCTCCCAACAATTGCGCCTCCAGCTAGCCTCTCCCGACGAATTGACCTCGGCGCCGCCTGTCTTCCTCTGGTTGGATTTTCATGGTTGCGCAGGGGAGAAGGGCCTTCTAGTTGCAGCGAGTTGGATCTCGATTGAGGAGTTGGACGAGCACCTTGACGCCACACGTTTCCGCCCAATTTATTCCTCCTTTGCGTGTCGTCGCATAGGAATTTTCATTGAGTTTCGGACCTGTACGATTTATGATAATTTCTGGTCCGAATCCATCGTCACCCATCACCAAATCAAAGGAACAAATTTTTTGATTGTGACCAATTCTCCGACATATGAAGCAGACTATCTTGATATTTTCGTATTTGTGGGATACCCAGAACGGATCTCCCAACGAACCATTTGCGTTACTTTTCCTAGCTTCCAGCCGGTGTTGCAGAGGAGGTGAGATGTATATCATCACTTTTGCTTCGAACACACATCCCGGATTCTCCCAAACGGCATACATTCCAGCGTCAACGATGGAAGCCAATCGAGAAGCGAGGAGCCTTCCCAGCGCGACATGTATGTATTCCTCAGGTAGGTTCCAAAGTTGGACGAGATAGAGAACCCGGGCGAGCTCGAAGAAGATTCTATCGGATGGTGTTTCCTACTTTTTTAGAGTGAGGATTTTTGAATAGAGGAACCATGGAGCTTTCCCCAGTGCTTCTTGGCAATCAGTGGCATTTGAGAAAACGAGTTGGAATAGTCCATGACCTGCATCAAGTACGGTGACTGGTGCCCTTTTTGCCCACAGATTGTTGGTAGTATGTTGGACGCAAATTCTGGATGGATGAGACAAGCAGAGGAGCCGACCGAACAGACTCATGCGAGCTCTATTCTGCCCAACTTCCAACACAGCGTCATTAAACTCGACCAGGCCTGCCATTGTGGGAAAAATTGAAAGCAGAGAGTGCTCTGTTTTAGGTTTCTCGAAGCAAGGGACTAGAAAGGGAAAGTGATTTCGATGAAGAAGACGATAACTGTTTGGCTTCCATATAAAAGGCCCCACAACTAAGGTAAGGGTCAGGGTATGCTTTAACTGATGGGCAGAATCGTGGGCTATGATTGCGGGCCTCCAGAGATTATAGGAGGGGAGAGTTTTAAAATTTAAACATCTTCCCGGACCGTTCCTTGGGTCTATATGTGAAATAGCTTTTTCAATTCTCCCATTTAATGGGGTTTGCGAGTCCAATGTGCTATCTAGGGTAAATAACAACCCATTTACGTCCCTAGGGGTACGCTTCTCAGACTTAAAGACATCCTTAAATTCGTTGATTAAAACAGGGAATAAATCATTTAATTGCATCCTCATTAATGGAGTAACGACGGAGAGAGGAGTTACGTTGCACGGATTTCTGCCCAATCATCACCAGAGCACAATCTCCACGGTTGGCCCTAGATCGGTGGGTGAGTGAGAGAGTGATGGAGGAGGATCCACCAGTGATTAGGAAAGGAGGATATTAATGAGGGACGAAGATTCTGATCGGGATAAACGAGGGCTGATTTTGGGACAAAGAAAATTTAGTCACCTGATTTCAGATTTATATATGGAAATCTTTAGCCATTAATGTGATAACCGGTGATTCCCGTCGGAAGTTGCCGTTCTCTCCCGCCAAGAAGATTGGCGCCACCACCATGGTTTTTCAAAACTTACATTCTGGTCAAAGTCAAGACGTCATAGTACTTTGCTTTCCACTAGACAGGGAAGCTTCTCACTTTTATGCGGTTAAGGTGTAATTCCGGCGTATGCCTGAATCAGGGTTGCCACTGTATAATTCACCCGGCGGTCGGAAGTTTCGTCGACACAGTTTTCAATTAAGCAATCAGCCCGGCTCCATACTCTCCATTCTTCAATTACTCACCTTCATGAGGCTTCCATTGATGGGGAATTGGGAAGAGAGGGAAGTAGTCTGAGGCGGCAACCCAGTTTGTTGCTAAGTTTCGCCCTAATTGATTAGCTAGTTCTTTGTTAGAAGCTTTTTCTGCACTGCGAATCAAGGAATTTCGACCATTGAGCGAAGAAATGGGACGGGGAGCTCTTCTCCACTTGATCCGATCTCAAACCAGATGCATATCTTCTGCCACCAACCGCTTACCTTTTACTGGAATTGTACGAGGAGAAGAAAGTTCCGATCTTTTCTTGTTTTAAGCTTGTGATTTGGTTCTGTCGGCTCTTCTGTTGACAAGGTCTTTTCTGAATGACACTGTATTGTATTCATATTAATATGTCGGTGACGATTAGTTAGCAACTTAGCCGAAGTTCTGAGTTATGACTATGAAACCCTAATTCTAGTTCTTGCAATAAGGTAGAAGAAAAGAGCTATACTTCTATTTGTTTTTCGCTTATACTGTTCAACATACTCCAAAAAGATACTTTTAAAAGTTCACACTCACTCCTGTGATTAGTCAAAATGTGACTAAAAAATCTCATTACATTTTCAAGAAGAAAACAACAATTATGTATCGTGTTTGGATGATTTAATTGATAATGTAGTATATGTAGTGTAAAGTAATTCTAAATATTATACTTATGTGTCATTTGTTCATTCTTTAAACTATTGGATGTATGGAAAATTTATAAAAAAATTAATAAGTCAGTTATGACGTACTTGGATTTCTCAATTTTGGGTGATGTTGTATTAGCATTCTGTAAAAAAACAATTGCGATGCCTTTCCGGAATGGGTCTCCTTGCTATTCCTAGAGGGGTTAGCATGATACTAACCAAGCTTATCTTTTTTTCCCGTAAACTGGGTCCATCAGTGTTCATTTATTTCAACTTCGACCTGACACGAGGGAATTTGGGAGGGAAAGTTGAGAATTTGAATTTTGTGTAGGTGACATTTGTCATGATATGAAGGAACCTCGCTACAAAGGGGAAATTAGGGGTTGAGAGAGAATTTTGTGACATTTGGGTTTTGTGCATGTGCCCCACCCTTTCTCTTCTTCCCTTCGATCTCGTCAGCGTGCCTCCTTGATCTCGGAGAGAGGATTTCATGTCGTTTGAGTGTTTCACGTTTTCTCACCACTATCATCTTCCCTTCCATTCTCGTTAGTGTGTCGCCTGATCATCTACCTCCTTCGGCTTCCCTCTCTCTCGACCCCTCCTTTCCCCCAAACATAAACCACCACCACCATAATTGAAATAAAATTCCACCACCTCTCTTGCCAACAAATATGAATTTTAGTGTTTTGAGGATGAGATCTGAGTTTCAGATGTAATTTTTGACGAGTTTAAGTGGAAATGAAGGGGACATGAAGGGAATGGGAAAGAAGGGAAGAACCAAGAAGAAGATTAACGAGTCGATTCAATGGTTTTGGGTTCATTGTGTTTGGTTCGATTCATTGTGGTGTTTCTTCTTTGCCAACGAGACCTAAGAGACACCAATGCTTCATTTGACTTGCCACATTAAGATCTTTCTCGATATGGTCTTCATCCTAGTTGTCGATGATTTTGTAGGTTTTGCCATCAAATTCAAGTGAATCAAGGAAAAAGGACAAATCTAGCATTGGTAAAAAGGTGAGCCGAAGGAAGTAATGAAGGAGGGTTGACACGAGAGGATCGAGATTTGAGAGAAGGAAGAGCAGTTGAAAAGGCGGAAAGGGATAGATCGAGGGAGAGGAGAGAGCATTCTCCCTTACGGATGGAATGTAGTCGTCGAGAAACTCCTCGTCTACAAGATTCCTCCTTTTCTCCCCCTCCTGGACTTATTCTCGTACGTGTCAAGAACGATTTGATCCCACTAACTCGAGTTATTGGGAGCAAATGGTTCTTGACATGTTAACAGAGCCTTATGTGTCTGAGAGGTTTTCTTCTTGAATCTCGGTAACCCTCATTGGTAAGCACATGGTGTCCGATGCTTGTGCAAACTTCAAGCATATACGAGTGGATTTTATTTGAAGGGTCAAGTTACTATATGGTATAAAATTCATTATCGAACCTCTCTCAACAACTCGAGTTATTGGGATCAAGTGGTTCTTGACAAGACGAACCAAAAATCTAAAACACGCTAGCCTGAAATGTCGGCATCTCGTCTTCATCATCCTGACACACAAACTCATGTAGCATCTCCCCACCATGCGACAAAGTAATACTAATGGGGACCAATCTAATCTTGCCTCCCTCGCAAATCGAGCTCTATTGTTCCTCCAATGTCATCCTAGCTTCAATTATGCTCTTTATAGTGTTACCACCTCCGCGTCCCAAACTTGGTCTTCCTCTGTTGTGAAGAAACCCAGAAGATCTAGGAGGTCTTGAATTAGTGGAGAGTAAGAGCTTGACATCGTGGAAAGCTTAGGGATTGGGTTAGTGATAAGATGGATTGAGGCTTGGGGGTGGTGATCGTAGGAATAGGAACAAACATTATGGTGACCTATTACATCTTTTATACATGGTCAATTACAAAATAGTCACTAAAAATATCTCATTACCTCTTGATCTAATCCATTACAATCCCCATTCCTTGAAAATAGGCTTGTCGTCAAGGCTACAAATGAATTGCAAAACACAACAACCCATAAAATTATAATAAGAACCCAATGAAGAACAAAAAACCAAAAAAGAAGAAGTTCATTAAGTGCAACATATGACAATGGCTGCAAGCAGTGAGTTATGCTTGTGAGAACATAAGTGGAAAGCCAAAAATGTCAATATATACTTCAAAGTCAAGCCAGCTCCCACCATTAATAAGCCACAATCAACACCTTTAGTTCCACCAAGAAGCTACAACCGATTATTCAACTTCAAAGGAGATTTCATATCTTCAATTACTTCCAACCACTACCTTGTCTATGGAATATTTGTATGAATCCTTTTGGGATATTAACCCCTCAAAAACGAATTATCATGACCACCACAACTATTAAAATTCCCCTTTAGACACAACCCTCCAGCAAGCAATACCCCATCACCAACAACATGAATGAGTCGTGGAATGAATAAAACATCTTTATAAGACTCATTAAAGGTAGGTTTTGTCCCCTGCCATGTGAATTAACAAAATCACAAGAATAACCAACACAATAAAGTCCATGTGCATCACCAACAATCATCTGAGTTTTGTGACAACCCTTGAACTCCCAAGCCTGAGTGCTTTGAACTAGAGTTGTGTCGTTATATGGTTCCTTGAATCCGAGACAATTTTCTCTTATGTTAGACACCACTCCAAACTTGTAAGAAGCATGTCCAATATGGAGTTCATGGTGGTGTAGCTGCTGAGTTGTATTGTTTTCATTACACCCACACAAAATACAAGTCACCTCTTCGGATTTTTGTGACCTTCCTGTGAGCACAAAATGAACAACATATGCTACTGTGAGAGAAGTGGAGTTGGAAGGAGAAAATAGATTTGCATTCCTAGTTCTCCCATTAACCGGTACACTATCAACCCAACCTTTAGGTGGTGATTGTTGCTTCCTTTAACAATTTTGTCTAATGACAACCGCTTATCAATGGACACACATGGGACACCTAGTGAAATTCTCTCCCGCTTTATCTAAATGCTCTTCAATTAGTTTATCATGTTCATCCACTAATTCCACATCATATTTTGTCATTACACACTACAACACCTCACTCTGATTCTTGTACAGTTGAAATACCTTGTGAGAATCAGATATCAAAGGAGGAAAAGGCGTTGCAATAATAGTACTCCCTTTGGCTGCTGGAATGTCAAGATAATCCTTAGGATGTAATGGTTGCTTCCTGTTTCTAGCCTCAATGACATCTTCTTCCAATTGAGATTGGTGGTATGCTTGGAGAAGAGTTGTGGCTGAGACTTCCTCACCAATGCTTGAATCTCGCTCGACAAGCCACGGATAAAACTCTAATGAAGCAAGCCTAAGGTAACATGGGATCCAACCTAAGATATACCACTTTCACCACCTCAAATCACTCATGATATTACTCCAATGATTCTAACTTCCTAAGGTCTATTGAACACTCCAACTACCCTTTCTATAATCCCCCCCCCCCAAAAAAAAGAGCACACAAAGCTTAAGCAAACGTTTTCCAATGGAAAAACTCATTATCAGAATGAAAATATTGAAACCATCTTAGAGCATTCCCCTCAAGAAAAATTATGTTTGACCCACCTTGTCATTATCAGCTACATTGTGGGTACGAAACACCTCTTCTCATTGCCTAACCAAGCCCTTAAGGTCATTACATGAGAAAGAGGGAATTGGTAGGCTAGGGAGATGATTATGTTATCTAACTAGAAGTGGAGGTGGAACTCCTCGAGCATGGTACTCTTGATCCATTGATGGAGGAACCTATTCGTGATGACGGGTGAGCACAAATGGAGGTGGAGGTGAAAAAACAGGTTGAATTGAAAGTGGAACTCACCAACACCCTTCATGTTTTTTCGGTTGTGGTGGCAATGAAGTTTTATAGATGTTGCACGCTTCGATTGAATCAAGAATCGATTTGACAGTTCTAGGCAGTTGAGAAATTAGTGTTCCAGAAACCACCATCGTTGGAGAGAAACATAAAGATTGATTTCCTCTGGAACTCGAAGGAACGACCAATTCGTTCAATCCATAGCGTAAGTAGGTGAAACCACCATCCATGAAATTGTAATGAACCAAGCACTGCAATTGACATCCCCTATAGCAATTTTTTTTATGAATTGGTTAAAATTTTATATCAACAAAAAACCCCTGAATCTAGTGGCAACAACACTCTGCCAACTGAGTTAACAATCCACTATCTACTTATAGTATCCATAATAAATCAAAATCTATCAGGCCAAAACTCTGAAACATTAACATCATAAAAGAACATTTCAATGTCCTTCTTAATCTGCACTATTAGATCAAGGATACTTCTTCTGGTTCCTCCATGTCTCAGGGCACATCTCTCTTGCTAGATTGAGCTGATAATGGCCTGTCATATCACTTTACCTTTAAATCTTAATAGCCCATGCCAATTCCTCCTCCCAGATGTCCGAAGGAGTTCTAGGGAAAATAGGGTGCAACAACCCTGAATACATCTCACGGAAAACTGAGTGTAGGTTTGTGAATTGGATAGTGATGTGTGTGACCACCCCAAAATTGAGTGTAGGTTTCAATGGGGGGGGGGGGGATTGTGGGGTACTTCTTAGCTAAGAAAGTTTTGAGACAGGGCGCATCTCTCTTGCTAGATTGAGCTGATAATGGCCTGTCATATCACTTTACCTTTAAATGTCTTAATAGCCCATGCCAATTCCTCCTCCCAGATGTCCGAAGGAGTTTTAGGGAAAATATGGTGCAAAAACCCTGAATAC